GTCACGTACTTATCACGGTCCTTGAAGACCAAAATACTTGTCTTGTAGACCTTGATGGCACGGTGTAGCGGGGTAGCATCCTCGTCTTCCTGGGGGAAGGACATGGCGTGGTAGACGTTGGCTTCCTTTCCGGTAGACAGACATCCATGAATCTCCGAGACAAGTCCACGGTTGATCATCTGCAGCAAGAGCATTCGTGTACGAGGATCCAACACTTGTTCCGAGGTGGCTCGGTCAGCCTTATCTCCGCCCTTCTCAGCCTTGCCTGAGATACCAGCCTGCTGATCGTCGAGTTTGATCTTGCCAGCATGGCGAGTGAGCGACTTGACCTGGTCATCGATGGAGGCAGATGTGTTGACGGTAGGCTTCTGGGTGTTTGTCTTGGGATAGGTCCATTTCGGAATATTGGAGTCGGCAGCGAGATCGTTGATTTTGCGCTGGCGGTTGTAGGCCTTGGTGAGGTCGGAGTTATCGGAAGAGAGAATGTCCTCGCGATCCAATTCCTCCTCGAAAATATCCTCATAGTCCTCGTCGTAGTCATCGTCCTGCTCATCGGGCAGATCTTGCCCCGCTGCAGCGGAGTCTGCATTATCGGGGTTCACATAGCCCTCGTTGGGCACGTAGGTGTGGGATGGCGCAATACCATCAGCAATGCCAGTTGCCTGGCCAGTATTCTCGTTTGAAGCCATTCTGGATCTTCAATGTCGAGAAAGCAGAGACGTGAGTTCGTCCGTCCCCAAGGTTTTTTTTTTCTGTGGCCCAAATTTGGTTGACCGCCCGGCAGAACCCCGCGCCCAACGAGACGCGCGGATTTCGTTCCTCGCGTAGTCTCCCTGTCTGTCGCAACACACGCATCATTCACCTCGGACTTTCTTTATTCTTTGCCAGGGCATTCGTGACGCTGATACTCACGGCGCACATTTTCACTCTCTAACATTCGCGCCAGTCGCGTTATGCCGCGGGCGTTATAGGTGATTATCGCGTCGCGCGTATCCTAACGATGTATGTCAAGCAGATCATCATCCAAGGCTTTAAGAGGTATGGTGGCCCAAATGAACAACCACTGGGTTCTAAAAGCTATTTCTGACAAATACGATCTTTAGCTACAAGGACCAAACGGTCATTGAGCCATTCTCCCCAAACACAATGTTATCGTCGGCCGCAATGGTTCTGGCAAAAGTAACTTCTTTGCTGCCATTCGATTCGTCCTTAGCGATGCCTACACCCACCTCGGCAGAGAGGAGCGTCAGGCTCTCTTGCATGTATGTAGCTCGCCATTGATCCTATGCGTGGTTTACTGACCCCATGCAGGAAGGTTCCGGTTCTGCTGTGATGTCCGCTTACGTCGAGATCATCTTTGACAACTCCGATGATCGATTCCCCACTGGCAAGCCAGAACTTGTCCTCCGCCGTACTATCGGTATCAAGAAGGATGAATACACACTCGACCGCAAGAATGCCACTAAGAACGATGTCATGAACCTCCTCGAGTCGGCCGGCTTCTCTCGATCTAACCCTTACTATATTGTCCCCCAAGGTCGGGTCACCGCATTGACAAACATGAAGGACTCCGAACGATTGGTCCTGTTGAAGGAAGTGGCTGGTACACAGGTTTACGAGGCTCGTCGGTCGGAGTCTTTGAAAATCATGCACGAAACCAACAGCAAACGGACCAAGATTGACGAACTCCTTGACTATATCAACGAGCGACTTGCCGAACTCGAAGAAGAAAAGGATGAGCTTCGGAGCTACCAAGAAAAAGACAAGGAACGCCGATGCTTGGAATACACTATCTACTCGCTTGAACAGCAGGAAATCGGCAAGGTCCTCAATGAAATCGAGGAGCGACGACAGAATGGCGTTGAAGATGCAGACAACAACCGCGACCAATTCATTGATGGCGAGAAGGCCATGGCTCAGATTGATGCCGAGATCGCCGAATGCCGACAGCAGATTGAGTTTCTGAAGGTCGACAAGGCTCAACTGGAAGAGGAACGCCGTGAAACTTCCAAGATCCTGGCACAGAACGAACTGCAGGCCAAGTCTCTTTCTGACAACCAGGCTGCCGCCCAAGCCCTGAAATCCCGTTACGACGCTGATCTTACTTCTGTTCAAAACGCCATCAAGGAGCGCGAAGCTGAACACCAGGAAATCCTTCCTCGCTTCAATGCTTTGAAAGATCAAGAAGACACAGTGAAGTCGCAGTTGACAGATGCCGAAACATCTCGCCAGCGTCTGTACGCGAAGCAGGGCCGTAACTCACGCTTTAAGAACAAGTCCGAGCGCGACAAGTGGCTGAACATGGAAGTCAGGGAGAGTAACAACTCTATCAAAGCAGTCCAGAATGTGGTGTCTCAGACCAAGGAAGACATTCAGGAACTGGAAACCGAAATTGCTCGTCTGGAGCCGGAGACCGAACTGCTGCGCCAGCAGATCGATGGACGGGGTGACACGATGCACACTGTTGACCAACAAGTTCAAGATGCCAAAGACGAGAGAGACCGCTTGATGGACCAGAGAAAGGAGCTATGGAGAGAAGAGGCGAAGCTTGACTCTGTCCTTTCAAACGCATCGCAGGAGGTTGACCGTGCTGAGCGTAACCTCTCGTCAATGATGGATAATAACACCAGCCGTGGAACAGCAGCGGTGCGACGAATTAAGCGCCAGTATAACCTCGAAGGCGTTTACGGTACCCTGGCAGAACTTTTCGATGTCAACGATAGATACCGAACCGCCGTCGAAGTCACTGCAGGACAGAGCCTGTTCCACTACGTCGTTGACACCGATGAAACCGCCACAAAAGTCCTTGAGATTCTACAAAAGGAGAAGGCTGGCCGTGTGACATTTATGCCTCTGAACCGACTTCGCTCAAGGCCCTTGAACATGCCTCGCGCTAGCGACACAATCCCCATGATTGAAAAATTAGAGTATGACCCTGCATATGAGAGAGCCTTCCAGCACGTGTTTGGCAAGACAATTATTTGCCCCAACTTGCAAGTTGCGTCACAGTACGCTCGAAGCCATGGTGTCAACGCCATTACCCCAGAGGGTGATCGATCCGACAAGCGCGGTGCTCTGACTGGTGGATACCACGATTCACGCCAGTCCCGCCTAGACGCAGTCAAGGGTTTAGGGAAGTGGCGAGATGAGTATGAAACAAAGAGGAACCGCGGCACTGAGATCCGGAAGGAGCTGGAGAAGCTTGACCAGTTGATCACCAAGGCGGTTGGTGAATTGCAGAAGCTTGAGCAGGAGAGACACAATGTCCAGAACCGGAGTGGACCACTGCGACAAGAGTTGCGGGGCAAGCGTGACCAACTTCAGAACAAGAATGATACCCTCGACGCCAAGCGCCGCGCCCTTCGGAATGTGGAATCCAACCTGGCGGCTTTGAACGATCAGGTGAGCGCTTTCGAGGCGGAATTGTCGTCGCCGTTCCAGAAAGCCCTCACCAGTGAGGAAGAAGCTCGACTTGAGGCTCTGAGCAGCACGGTGCAGGATCTCCGCCGTCAATACCAGGAACTGTCTAGCCAGCGCAGTGAGCTTGAGGCACGGAAGTCGGTGCTTGAAGTTGAACTCCGGGAGAACCTCAACCCTCGCCTCGACCAACTACTCAACAGAGATGTTGAAATTGCCGACGAGGAAGTTCAGGGTAATCTGAAGGAGGTACAACGTGAAGTGAAGCGCCTTGGTCAGGCGTTGGAGAAGCTCAACACGCGCCTCAAGCAGGTGGACACCTCTATTGAGGAAGGCAATGCTCGTATTGTTGAACTGCAACAGCGCAATGCCGAAACCCGCCGTGAGATTGAAGATCTCGCTCGATCCATCGAGAAGCATCAGCGACGCATGGAGAAGAGTATGCAAAAGAAAGCAGCACTTACCAAACAAGGCGCCGAGTGCGCAGCCAACATTCGTGCCCTGGGTGTGCTTCCCGATGAAGCCTTTACGAAATACCAACACACCGACTCCAATACTGTCGTGAAAAAACTCCATAAGACAAACGAGGCCCTTAAGAAATATTCTCATGTCAACAAGAAGGCCTTTGAGCAGTACAACAGTTTCACCAAGCAACGTGAGACTTTGACCTCGCGTCGGTCCGAGCTGGACGCCTCGCAAAAGTCTATCGATGATCTTATTTCCGTCCTTGATCAGCGCAAGGACGAGGCCATTGAGCGAACATTCAAGCAGGTCTCTCGCGAGTTCCACAACGTTTTCGAGAAGCTGGTTCCGGCCGGCCGTGGTCGCCTCATTATCCAGCGCAAGACGGACCGCACCGCGCGACCAGAAGATGATGTCGACTCCGATGATGAGGAAGCTCGCCAAAGTGTCGAGAACTATGTCGGGGTTGGCATCAGTGTCAGCTTTAATAGCAAGCATGATGATCAGCAGCGGATCCAGCAGCTGAGTGGTGGACAAAAGAGTAAGCATTTCCATCTAACCCAGCCTCGATTCATATCTAACAATCCTACAGGTCTTTGCGCCCTTGCCCTCGTGTTCGCCATCCAAGCTTGCGATCCCGCACCATTCTACCTCTTCGACGAGATCGATGCCAACCTGGACGCCCAGTACCGAACCGCTGTCGCCCAAATGCTCAAGTCGATCTCGGATTCCACCAACGGACAGTTCATCTGCACTACCTTCCGCCCTGAGATGCTGCACGTCGCGGAGAAGTGCTACGGAGTCAGCTTCCGACAGAAGGCTAGTACGATTGATGTGGTCTCCCGAGAGGAGGCACTGAAATTCGTAGAGGAGCAGAAGTCGTGAAGAGAATTTCCTTTGCTCTGTATATTGTAATCATTGCTTCGGTGGATGGGCTGGCGCATGATACCGGATTTTTTTCTATGTGATTCCTTTTATTCTTTCGAAAGTAGTGTGTAGGATCGAGTAGTTCATGTCGGAGCAATTGCTGTCTTTCATCATTAAAAGCCAAGTTAATTGAAATGCGTGTAGTCTATGATACGCTGATGCAAGCCTGATCAACAAGGCAGAAACCCGGGGAATCAAGCCTCGCCCGACCATTCGAACAAGATATCCTCGGGCACATCACGAACAAGAATGTGAACATGTTCCAAAGCCCTCACACTCTGCAGGCCAACCCAGTTCTTAAACCACAAGACATGTGAAGCAGCATCCGAGGTAATTCTCGGATCCTTAGCCAATCGATCCACGAAAGTCTGTTGAACAAACGTGTCGATCAACAACCTTGATTCATCCGTCAAATGGCCCTCCTCAGATTTGACCGCAATCGGTGTACGCAACCAAACAACCAGATGCGAAATGCCGGGCGTCAACCCATACGGCCAGTCATTGCGGAGAATCTTGTAGTCCTCGGGATCGGCAAAGGGACGCGGGTTCTTGAACGCAGCCACAGGACGTTGAATAGCCGCAGAGCCGGCACTATCTAGCGGCATTTGCCACTGCAGTCGCCGTTGGCAAATGTAGTTCATGATCGACCCATATTGGGCTTTGGTGTCTGCGCTCCACGCTAAATATCGGCGCAGATCGGAAGGCTTCCGCCTGAAGGCGCCGAGATCATTCCGGGCTGTTGTGCGTGAGGGGAGCCCAATTTGGAGAGGGAGAGAGACATACCGATGATGTCCTTGAGGTCTTCCCAGTCGTGGTATACAAACTCCTCATCGGTCATGGCCAGGAGTTGGTGGTCGAGGTCAGTGAGATTGAAAGCAGGCGTCATATTAGCTACAGCCATAACAATACTGTACTTTGCAGAATAGATAGAAAGATTAGAATAAACAAAAGAGAAGTAAATATCCCGCGGGGTAACTCGAAAGGGTATCAAAATCCGTTGGGGTTCCGCCCGTCACTTCTCTCCGCTCTCTTGACTTTCTTGACTTCCTTCTCTTCTCTTCTCTCTTTACCCTCAACCTTCTCTCCAGTGTCACCATGAGGTAAATTGCCCTGTTCCTGTTCCGTTCCGGTTCCGGTTCTGTTCTGATCTCGGCTGATTATCTTAGTCTCGCCACTATCGGAACGGCCCTTGCGCCCTCCGTCCTGCTTGTCGCAGGTGTTTACGCCATTAAGCCCGAATTCGTCTCTTATGCTGTCGCTGTCGCGGGTGTTCTCGCTGCATTCCTGGCCCTCAGAACTTGTTTGTCAACTGTCGGCTAATTACCGAGGAATTGAGCTAATACCGTGTAGCGGCACCCCGGAAGGTCCTGAATCCCACCGAGTTCCAGAACTTTGTTCTCAAGGAGAAGAACGAGATCTCCCACAATGTCGCCATCTACCGTTTCGCCCTGCCGCGTCCCACCGATATCCTTGGTCTCCCCATCGGCCAGCACATCTCTCTCGCCGCAACCATCGCCGGCCAACCCAAGGAGGTGGTCCGCTCCTACACCCCCATCTCTTCCGACAACGAGGCTGGCTACTTCGACCTGCTGGTCAAGGCCTACCCCCAGGGTAACATCTCCAAGTACTTGACCGGTCTCAAGGTCGGCGACACCATGAAGGTCCGCGGTCCCAAGGGCGCCATGGTCTACACCCCCAACATGTGCCGCCACATTGGTATGATCGCCGGAGGCACTGGTATTACCCCCATGCTCCAGGTCATCGAGGCCATCATCCGCAACCGTCCCCGCAACGGTGGAAACGACACCACCAAGGTCGACCTCATCTTCGCCAACGTCAACCCGGACGACATCCTGCTCAAGGAGAAGCTTGAGAAGCTGGCCAAGGAGGACGAGGGATTCCGCGTCTACTACGTCCTCAACAACCCTCCCGAGGGCTGGACCGGCGGTGTCGGCTTCGTCACCCCCGACATGATCAAGGTATGTTGTGCGTCCTGGCTGTGTGGCTGTGACCGTACTAATTAGACTTTAGGAGCGCCTCCCCGCCCCCGCTGCCGATGTCAAGATTCTCCTCTGTGGTCCTCCCCCCATGGTCAGCGCCATGAAGAAGTCCACCGAGGCTCTTGGATACACCAAGGCCCGGCCTGTCAGCAAGCTCGAGGACCAGGTCTTCTGCTTCTAGGGTCCCGGATCAACAAAAGTTGTTACTTTCGAGCCGTGCATGCTTTCTGTGTGAGTTATTGAAATACAGGATTGGTGAGCTGCTGCAGAGCAGTTTATCTGGTGTATATCTGTCTGGAATGGTTAGAGGTGTCTATAGAACCCCAGCTGGGGAGATAAAAGATGTCTTTCGGATCCTTGATGTCTGATTTATTAATCTTGATTTCGGTTCTAATATCTATTTTCCCACTGTTATTGACTGTACAAATTATCAGAGTCTATTCCAATTCGCCTTGATTCTTGATCTGATAGAAGACCACTGCAATGTAGGACACGCCACGGCACGTGCCATAATTGCCCTGGAACTGTTGGCTGGTTTGTACTTTTATGACTGGTAGATCGATGTTTATATTGATCTCTCAGCATTGTCCTTCACCGAATCCTCGATATACTACGAACGAGGTTCACCATCTACAATGGTATCGCTTGACCTACCCCAGTCCACAATCACCGTCGAGGTTTCCCTCATCGATTCGTAGGTTGCTTCACACATTCCGCCTTACCCATCAGCTCCTACATACAGGGTACCCGCTTAGAATTCCCAGCTCGGCAGTTCATAACTCAGAGATCCAAGGCTATGACTGTCTAGCAGTGCCCTCGTACTCTTTTCTCGTCACGCACCCGTCCGGCCAGCGTCCCATGCGACCTATCCATCCGAGACGACTACCACAACCTCGCGCCGAGGTTTGCCGAGCGCTGCACGAGCACAGCAAGTGGTGGCTGGAAGATACATTCGCCGCATGGCATCTCGGACATCCTAGTCGATAATGGGACACCCCTGGACGAGGTCAACGCCATCATCTGGTCGCACTTCCATTTTGACCACAACGGTGATGCATCCTTATTCCCCAGCTCCACCGATCTGATCGTGGAACCAGGTTCACCAGCAGCCTCACTCCCGGATGGCCAGAGCAAGCTTATTCCCCGGTCAAATCTGATGACTGGAAGGTGCGCACGCTGCAGGGAATCAACTTCGATGATGGCCAGAAAAGGCTGACGATTGGGCGCTTCCCTGCGGTGGATTGGTTTGAGGATGGAAGCTTCTATCTGCTCCATACCCCTGCAGAGCATCTGGTGGGGTTAGCCCGAGTGCAGTCTGATTCCTTTTTCCTCATGGGTGCGGTGAGTGATGCTAGCTATAGCTTCTATTTTGGGGGGTTTGGGAAGCGGGTGGTAAAAGAAGACGGAAAGTTGACATATGCCAACCTGATCGACATAGGCTCGTGACTACATGACTCGGCAATATTGATTGAGGTGAAATACACGATCAATGGTAACATGCGAAATCCAGCCCGAATTGGCCACATAAACCAATGGGGATTCAACGAAGTCCTCCGTTCCTGATCTACTGGCTTGAAGCCAAAAATTTTGATAGATCACAAAGCCACCGACGACCATTGAACGTGACAATTAATCCCAGTCAATCACGCTTGTCCCACAATTTTCCGAATCACTAGATCTACACTAGGAAATTTGCTATTGGACACGAGGCTGTCCCACTCCCGCGGCACATCGCACCCCTGTTCGCAGGATCCGCTATAACTTCAGCTCGCTAAGATGCAACTTTAGCACCGAGTACGCAACCAGTATGCAGTATTCAATCTTGAGATTCCCGCGATGTGCAGCCCGTTCTCGACCCCCTTGATCCAGGATGATTGCCAAGGCTGCGCGTGGTTTTAACATTGACCTTGCACAGTTTACATTCCATTGGCGGATTATATTGATTGAACTCAATCAATCTTGTCTGTCTTGTGCTGATTGTCCATTTACGCTGTATTACTAAAGTTGCAAGCACAAAAGTCCTTGTATAGAAAAGTCATTAGAGTGAATTATAAAGAGTGTAGGCATAAACACATAAAGGCACAGTAGAACCACACACTTCAAGTCCGATTCTGCTCCTTGAAATGCGACATCTCCATCCAGCCTTCTGGATCACCATTATGGCTAAGGATAGTATGAGGCGTCTCAGGCTCCTCCCCGAATCTCGAAAGCGAGTCTGCGGAAGAAGACGGGCCTGCCGTTGTAGCTGACGCCGCAGCGCCCTTCTGAGAAGAAATAGAAATAGTAGTCGTGACAATCGGCGGCGCAACTGATTGGTTTCCTCGAGTTGTAGAGCCGTAATTGCCATAATAGCCATTTTGCCTGTATTGAGGCTGGCTGCGGTTCGCTGTGGATCTGATGAAGCGATGGGTCAACGGCCGGAAGAGTGGCCATACGGGTGGAATTGACATTGTGATGAGGACGATCCATTCTTCGACTTCGCCCCAGCGAAAGAGTATGCCCACTCCATCTGTTATCATGTTAGCGATTGCTTGGTTTGGGTAGATGTTGCGGCTTACAGGATGAGTCTTCGCTCATGATGAACTTGGCAGCCCATGTTCTAACAATTGCAGCAGCGCCGGCGAATACACCGCATCCCATGAGGAAACTCAGACCCCATTTTAACTTCTTGTCGATACGTAGGGGTACCAGCATTGTGATTGGGATGATGGCGAGGTAGATATCCGAGATGGCGGCCACGGCACCGACAAAGTAGGTATAGTATACACTCTTGCCGTGGTCACATTGACTCTGGCGGAGGGGATCCCATAGAGCACTGGGAGGACTGCATTGAAACCAGACCAGGAGGACTTGGGGGATGTTCACGATAATATTCAAAGCAGCGACGACGATGAGACTGCGGCGGATTTTGGGATCTATATGACGCAGGGCGTTAGCTGTGCTAGCGAAATAGTTAGATGATACATACTGCTCTGTGAGTTCATCTCAATCAAAAATGCAGCCACCGCGACCTTGCCGGTCGGAATCGCTAGGTTGAAGAAAAAGACCGTGATCCATGTGAATAGAAGGAAGTTGTGTAGTTCGCCGACTTCTTGAACGATGGTGATGTGGTTCCCTAGGCCGTGGAGAATAGAAAGAATACCGAAGATTTGAGTGAGAGTAGTAAATAGCTGTTGTCTGTTAGTGGAGCAACTTTTGTATAGATCAAGATCCATACCCAAGCCACGAGAGACCATATCAATGCCGTGGTTCCAAATTTGTTCATACGGAGACGAACATAAACCCGCAGCACCATAAAAACAGTCGCAACTGTACCCAAAGCAATACCCAAGCGCAAGTCGCTGGGGCCGCGACCACCGTACGCGGGGAAGCTTTCATGAAGACCCATGCTAAAAGGAGTGAAAAGGACAGGTAAAGACCGAAACGAGAGCCATTCTCGAACAAAAAGGAACACCGCTCGAGCGCACAGCGCACGATGGCCTATATGTATTGACACCACCACGCAAAGTCGGCCCCGAGGCTCCAAGTGGAGGCCCCCATCCGTGGATCGCGTTCACCTACATGTACAGCAATGGACGTGCTAAATCCGATTTGTACAAGCATATAGTGGGGAATGAGGACAAGACAGAAACAAAAGGCTTAATTGGCAACAGGCAGGCGGCCTAGTCCGATCAAGTGGGGAATTCATAGCGAAACTGGCAATGCTACAGTTTATATCCATTGGTTCACGACGCCACTAGTATTTTGTCTGATATAGCGTGGATGGGCCATTGAGAGCCGATATATCCGCTATTTTGTCATTTACTTGTACAGGACTGTACACAGAAAATCTCACTTGCCGATCGCTGTCATTGTAGGGAACCTGTTCAATAGTGCCCTAATCCAACCACTGGGCTACTCGTATCTCCGGCCGATCCTGGAAGAAATAGGCAGCTGATCCCTGAAGATCTTTGCTGTGTTCTTGCTGCGTCTGTCAGGGTTCTGGGCGGTCAATGCATCGGGTATTCCTACCCCTGAGTGGTTATAGGAGGGCTGCCAGGTACCATGTCGCGGTCAGACAAAGTATGGGGAAATGTAAACTTGGACTATAATTTAAGTTAAAATTTAATGAACACGAGCTGCGCCAATAAAAGGACCATACATAGAATTGAACTCTAAATAACCGATACCCGGCAATATTAAAATATGAATATCCTCTCAGCCGCGCGTTCTCTATGGAGCATATCTTTCATGTCTCAGTAGTAAGCACAAATCTTGAACTCCTCGCTGAGTATCGTGAGGGAATATCTATAGGACGTAAGAACTTGTGTAAACTCACGTCCAAGCCGTGGGACTCTGGGGTCCAACACTCGATCAGTAAAGACCAAACGGCCAGTGTCGACGATGGATTCATCTTAAGTAGAGCTAGCAAGCGGGGTAGCACAGACATGCAGCTCATCGGACGACGCGGTAGTCTTGAGGAGCAACGGTTCAGGGGAGGAGTCTGAAGAGAGTGAGAGCTCACGAAGACGGTTTCTTGGTCCGGACGAAAGAGAGGTGGGAGGAGAGAGAAACGTGAGCGAGAAAAGAAGAAATACGCGACGCTACACAACGATATTTGCAACTGGGCGTAATAAATACAGTCAACATCAATACGGCCACGGAAAATTTTCGCCTTACAAAATGACAAGTAATATGACTAACATTATATCAAATATGTAAGAGGTAGCGTGCTAGATTCCAAGCTTCCCTGCTCAATGAACCTCAATCAATCCTGCTATCATAGCCAGGAAACTCTCACGATATTCACTTGGCGTGGTCGTAATTGTCATGGGACCCTGTCGACCAATGACATTAAATGTCTGCACCACACCCGAAAGTGCTTGAGCTTGCAACTTGTGTCGGGCATAGAAGAAGTCGAGCACAGATGCGCGATACTTCCACTGTCCATCAGCGGATAAAAGTCCTGTCCTCCAAGGACTCGCTCGTCCTCGAACTGTGGGCTCTGATGAGGCAGGTATCCGCACTAGGAACAACGAGTAGTCTACCGCATTGGCGTCCTGTAGGAATTTGGTATCGTCCTGGATTGACTTCCAGAATTTCTCGTAGTCCGCACGCCAGAGGCGGAGCTTGTCGTTGAAAGTATCTGCCAGCTTGTTGAGGGTTCCTTCGCTCACAAGAGGCTCTGGTACTAGGTCACGCTCGGGGTAAAAGTAGTCAATCGGCTTCAAGTCGTAGGTCTCCCATCTTTCAGCTGCTGGGTCTTCATCTTGACCGCAAAGTGCGTTTTCCATAATTATATGACGGGCTGGAGTGCAACCAAAGATCGTTCCAAGAGTAACGTAAGGTGCAATAATATAGTCTGTGATCCAAACCAACAATGAATCTGGATGCTGAGACATATATTCATAATATGGCTGAAGGAGATCTCCTTCGAAGAACGAATACTCGAAATGTCTTGGCAGACTTTTTATAAGGAATTGTGCATCGAGAGTTGAGAAGAATGTCTAGATTCCAGGTCAGAAAAGGTAGTCAGTATACTGTATACTTGGTGCCTTACCGAGCCCGAGTAACCCAAGTCACCCATCGCCTTCAACGGTGGTTGCCCACTTGTTGTATGAAAGCTTCCCTTGTATTCATCTTCGTCAAACTGCCAGACATCCTGGCGCAGTTGTTCAAATACTATCTTCTCATGGCGGACAAGCTTAATGCGGTACACGGAGAAGAAGGCCAACAATTTGCCTAGGGCGGTCTTCTTGAATCGGTCCGGCTCACGAGTCAACGCAGACTGGATAGACTTGGATAATGACGATTGGCGACGACTGGTGCCCATATTAATTCTGGGTTTGGGCTTATGTAGAAGCTGATGACATGTGTAGAAATAAACAGGTATATATAAGGAGTAGATATCAGGAATACTGGTGACGTCAGATATAGAGCCCCGCGATGTGATTGGCGGCACGGATTCTATACAACGGCCTGAATTGTCAACGTTGATTGCTCAGATCAAGGAAGGAGGTAAATATGGGAGTAGGAAAGGTGTAGTTAAGAGGCAGATAGATATAAGAAAAAACGGATCAAATAAGAAAAACAATGAGAGAGCGGACGGTATATGTGCAGTCAATGTTTGTCTCTCTCCCTCTTGGGTCTCTTGTGAGGAACCTGGGACTCAGAACAACGCAGAATTTCCAATCAAGTAATTCTATGTTTATTAGTTCACCTAAATATATAGATAGACCAGTGTGTTCCTGTGTGTATCTGTGTATAGTATAGATATGCCGTCCCACGTGACTCACCGCCGGCTTGACTCATCGGGCAAAAAAAAAAAGAAAGGGCAAAAAAGATCAAGTTCCCCCTCCTTTATGGGTCATCTAAGCGGGGCTCGGCGATTCACAGCCTTTTTTTCTTTGCGCTCTCCCTCTACGTACCCAAGACCTCGATTTCTCGCAACGTCGCGATCTTACACAATGGCGTCCGCTGCCTCCCTTCCCGCCTCCGTGGCGGCTCTTACCCTCCAATCGACCGACCAGAAGTCCAAATTCGCCGGATGCTTCCCAACTTTGAACCCTATGGATATCTACCGTGAGCACATTGCGGAGCAATTGGGAAATGCCACCGGCATTGATGCTGCCAAGATCTATGCTCGTCTTGCATGGACCAGCACTCTGGACAAGGGTGACCTTTCATTGCCCGTACGTGCCCAGAAAGCGCTGTCTCGCATGTCCACCGTGGACTGGAACTAACAGTGTATCGGATGATTCTAGGTCGCTTCCCTCCAGATTAAGCAAAACCCTATGGAGCTGGCCAAGGAGCTCGCCTCAAAATTCCCCGCGTCCGATCTCATTCACCCGCCCTCTGTTGCCGGTCCTCACATGCAGTTCTTCTGCAAGACCGAGCCATTGGCTAAGACCGTTCTTGGTCGCGTCCTGTCCGAGAAGGCCGCGTATGGCACGAACGGCAACCAGGGTCAGAAGGACCCATCAGACCCCTCCAAGGGCCAGAAGAAGATCATCATTGAGTTCTCGTCGCCCAACATCGCCAAGCCCTTCCACGCCGGCCACCTGCGCAGCACCATCATTGGTGGTTTCCTTGCAAACCTCTACACTGTCATGGGATGGGATGTCATCAAGATGAACTACCTTGGTGACTGGGGTAAGCAGTATGGTCTGTTGGCCAACGGCTTCAAGTATTTCGGTAATGAGGAGGCTCTGACCAAGGACCCTATCAACCACCTATTCGATGTCTACGTCAAGGTCAACGGTCTCGTTGCTGGCCAGGACGGTCCCATCAAGGAGCTGAAGGAGCAGATCAAGACCAAGAAAGAGAAGAGTGAGGACGTTGCTGAACTGGAGGCACAACTCGCCAAGCTTGTTGACGCCAGCGAGGATGAGAAGGCCCGTCGCTACTTCAAGAGCATGGAGGACGGTGACCCCGAGGCCCTTGCTCTCTGGCGCAAGTTCCGTGATCTTAGTATCGAGAAGTACAAGCAGACCTACGCCCGCCTCAACATTGATTTCGACGTCTACTCCGGTGAATCGCAGATCAAGGGTGAGAGCATGAGCCAAGCCTACAAGCTCATGGAGAAGGCCGGCGTTTCTGAGGAGTCTGAGGGTGCCGTCATTGTTGACTTTACCAAGCATGGCGCAAAGAAGCTGGGCAAGGCTATTATTGTTCGCAAGGATGGTACCCCTCTTTACCTGACCCGTGATATCGGTGCTATCACCGAGCGTGACGAGGAGTACCACTTTGACAAGATGATCTACGTTGTTGCCGCCCAGCAAGATCTGCATCTCGCTCAGCTTTTCAAGGTCACCGAGCTCATGGGCCACAAGGACCTTGCCTCTCGTTGCCAGCACATCAACTTCGGAATGGTCCGCGGAATGAGTACCCGAAAGGGAACAGTCAAGTTCCTCGACGATATTCTCAAGGATGTTGGCGAAAAGATGCACGAAGTCATGAAGAAGAACGAAGTCAAGTACTCGCAGGTCGAGGACCCCGTGAAGACTGCCGATACTCTCGGCATCACTTCCGTCATGGTGCAAGACATGACCGGCAAGCGGTATGTGGAATCTAATCCTTTCATATTTTGATAACTTCCTTCTCATATACTAACTGCATTCCAGCATCAACGGCTATGACTTCAACCTGGATGCCATGACCTCCTTTGAAGGTGATACTGGCCCATACCTGCAATACGCTCACGCTCGTCTCTGCTCAATGGCCCGCAAGTCTGAGTTGGACGCTGACGAGCTGGTTAACGCCAACTTCGACCTTCTGACCGAGCAGCATGCTTCTGATCTCGTCCGTCTTCTGGCCCAGTGGCCTGATGTTCTCCTGAACACTGCTAAGACTCTCGAGCCCATCACTGTCCTCAGCTACCTGTTCCGCATGACCCACATGCTCAGCTCTAGCTACGATGTGCTCAAGGTTATCGGCAGTGAGCCCGAGGTCAAGAAGGCTCGCATGGCGCTGTATGCTTCCGCCCGCCAGGTTTTGAACAACGGCATGCGGATTCTCGGCCTCAACCCCGTTGAGCGGTTAGTCTCTTCCCTTCTTTATTAAATCCCTTTACTAACTTTTCCCAGCATGTAATTTCAATATCAACTTTATGGATGGTGTTTTCTTTCAGTTTCTTTTAAGCTATACCTTTTAGTTGCATTGGGCGCCAAGAGCGGGGCAAGCAAACATGGCATTATGCTTCTTTCTTACCAGGATTATCCTCGGCTTTCCATTGTTGTTTGCTTTTTCCGAAGATTCGTAGTTTCCAATGGTCGTGCCAGAACGTGGAGCAAATCCCGGGCGACAAATACGTGGCCCTAGACGCCGTCAGACAATGCCGTTGATAATCTGCGGTGTTAATATGTGTTGGCTGGCTTATTGACTCAGACCCTCTGGATTCAGCCATGGAATAAGCAGGGCTTTCTGAAGCCCGAAGTCCACGAAATGAACACCGTACCAACCATCCAACCGGGGACCAGAAAATCTTAGGTAAGCCGGACACCCAAGCCCTACTTTTCTTCAGGATCAATCGGGGACCTCGGACTGACCAACAATGACTATTGATGGTCATGCTCCACTGAACAGGGATATGTAATCACTGCAGTGTTTGTAGCTGAACCCCGATGAACTCGAATTATATAAATGCTAAACCCGACAACCTGGCGGGGACGGCCTGGAGCCAAATCACCTCGTATCTGCCGTCAAACACCCTGCACCGGCACGCAGCATGGTCGATCCCACACCAAATGAGGCCGGTATGATGGACCTGGAATGCAATGACAACGGCCATTTTCTGGTGAACCAGACCGTGCACGACTTCTCATGGCGAGGTCTGACGGTGACGGTCAAGGATCGTGAGACGAAGCAGTCTCGCGATTTGATCAATGACATTGCCGGTGATGTGCAGCAGGGTATGTATCCTTGTCCATTATCTACCCTAAGGCTTTGATATTGACGCTTGGTGTACAGGGGAGCTCGTTGCCTTAATGGGCCCGTCGGGCTGTGGCAAGACCACGCTGCTCAACGTGTTGGCTCGGCGTGCCGCGTCATCTGGAGCCAAGGTCCTCGGGAAGAGCTATGTCAACGGTTTACAGGTAGACTCGAAGGCTTTCCAGCGGATGACTTCATATGTTGAGCAGGAAGATGCGTTGATCGGATCCTTGACAGTGCAGGAGACGTTGAGGTTCGCAGCAGATCTCTCGCTGCCTAGGTATGTCATCGTGGATTTACTTCTCCATGGTCTCAGTCCTACCTGGTACTTATTATTGTGTCTCACATAGCTCGGTGTCGAAACGCCAACGCATGGATCGGATCCAGACACTTTTGGACGCATTTGGTATACAGAACCAGGCGAACACGCTAGTTGGCACACCAATCCGAAAGGGTATCAGTGGTGGTCAGAAGCGTCGTGTAAGCGTTGCTAGTCAGCTTATCACTTGTCCCAAGATTCTGTTTCTGGATGAGCCCACCAGTGGGCTGGATTCGACTGCGAGCTTTGAAGTGATGTCATACGCAAAGGAGCTGGCACGGGCCAACAATGTAAGTATCTGGTTGTCTCAGGCATAAGCTTGTGAAGGCACTAATCACTGTAGATAATCATCATTGCCAGTATCCATCAGCCCTCGACCACGACTTTCCAGCTCTTCGATAAGCTCCTTCTCCTTTCAGCCGGAAGATCATGCTACTTTGGACCGGTCCTTGCTGTGGAGAGTTACTTCAATGACATTGGTCATCCAATCCCGACGAACACCAATCCAGCGGAGTTCCTGTTAGATATTATCAGCGCTGACTTCAACAGCTCCAAGGAGTTGGCCCAGGAACGAGTTCAAGCCATACAGGTTGCCTGGGCGGAGTCAGCAGCGAGCGAGGCAATGAATAGGAGAGTTTCAGACCGAGCCCAGTCGGTGGACAAGGATGGTGAAGACGCACTGATTGATGACATGGCTCGCCCTGGACCGCTGCTAATCACTTCGGCTCTGCTTCATCGTTCGTTTATCAAGTCTTATCGCGATGTCGTTGCTTATGGGATTCGAATCGTGATGTATCTTGGTGAGGATCATTATGCCGTGTTGAAAGCATGCAAGGCTAATGTGACACAGGCTTGGCTATTATGATGGGCACGGTGTGGCTACGTCTTCACCCGTCGCAGGAGTATATTCAGCCGTTTATCAATGCTATTGTGAGTAATATCATCATGTTTGATAACCACTCACTGACAACATGCAGTTCTTTGGCTCCGCATTCATGTCCTTCATGGCCGTAGCATACGTGCCAGCCTTCTTGGAAGACCGAGCAACGTTTGCAAAAGAACGAGCCAACGGTCTGTACGGTGCAACACCCTTTATGGTCTCAAACTTTCTCATAGGCCTGCCCTTCCTGTGTATGTCCTAGTCCACCCTGCCACATAAACCCCTCTAACCAAATCACAGTTATTATATCAGTCCTATTCTCAATTATTTCATACTGGCTCTCCAACTTCCGACCCACGGGGGAAGCCTTCTTCACCTGGGTGATGTGGATATTCCTCGACCTCGTGGCAGCAGAGTCCCTAGTCGTCTTCGTGACAGCCATATTCCCGAACTTCGTGATCGCTTTGGCGCTGGTAGCGTTTGCAAATGGTCTATGGATGAGCGTCGGAGGGTTTCTGGTCACGCCGACGATTCTCAATCCGTTCTGGAAATATGTGTTCCACTACATCGATTATCAGGTAGGCCAGCGCACTATCAGAACTTTATTTCTTGTCAGACTGACTTTTCAATTCTCAGGCATACGTTTTCCAGGGCATGATGGTCAATGAGTTTTCCGAGAGGACTTACTCTTGTGGTAGTCAGTGTCAGTGTATGTACACCACTGATTTGGCGGATCAGTGTTTGATCCGGGGGAATGCGGTGCTGGAACAGTATGGATATGCCACTGATCGGACAGTTAAATGGGTTGGGATTCTGATTGGCATCATTTCTGTCTATCGGCTGTTTGGATGGATTGCTCTGTATCTGCGCAGATACTGAGGTGTCAGCATATAACCGGGAATTTCTCCCCGGTGTGGGTTTGTAATAGTATATACTTTCTAGATACATATTAAGATAGAAGAACAGCACTTGGCCGTTTCTAATCACTATCATTATGTGAATTAACTTCTTGTTGAACAATTGCAACTCTCCATCGGGGACTTCATCCAGGCAGCCACTTACGCCCCCATCTGAGGCACAACAATTCCAAACGCAGCAAGATGCTTATAAAGCTGTAGCGTCTCAACAGTATATTAACATTCATGCGTATCACCGGGAGTGATTGGCTCGCAGGATTTCGGGCTTCGTACCACATCAGATGATCCTAATCGCCGATTGCGTGCCAGGGCCAATCTGAGCAGACAGCACTTGAAAGAAGAAGTATCAGAACGTACAAGCCGGCTAGTCTCGACTAGTCTGGCCCTGTTATGGGGCGATCTGAGTATCGATCTACAGACATGCAAGTCATGTACCCAGAACTTCTTTCCCTCTTCGACGACCTCCCTTCCCGCTGCAACACTAAAAGCCCTAAAAAGTATCTAGAACCTAAGTAGAGGTAGTTCCAGCCGTGCTTCCCCTCATCTTCCACTGCCGTGGCAGTTATCAGCATTGTTGAACTAGCGGTGAAGGTCTTGACCTCGAAGAGCTGATGCCATCTTGCAGAACCACGAGGCAAGGGGGCTCCTTGACCTACTTTTTTCGTTCCGAGGGAGGGGGAGAAGCAATCGATCAATAACGATGGCTCTTGTTATCACGAGGACCGTGATTATTGATATGCGACCAAAGCTTATTAGCTGAAGCTGCCTTGCGATTCGAATTTAGATATGCCCCGGCACGCACGGCATGTTCCTGGTACTTCGGCCCCGATGCTAAGACCGCTTACAATCGTCCTCGTCAAATGTGTCAAATGTACTGGGGAAAAACGGGGGTCTAGTTCTGGAGCCGCATGGGGATCTCGGGATATATTTGGAGCGGAGCTCTTTTCCAGTATTTTGAGCCTCCACTAGATTTGGCGTCATGCCCGCCCTTGTAGCAATTCACCCCGGGTTTACCCTAGGTAAATGGTATTTGAGGGGTCAACGGCATGGTAGAATCTTGGAATTGCATTGTCACGTCTACATCTCTTCCACACGTGCGGGATGGTTCATGGAACCTTGGGTCGAACGACGCAAGGGATATGAAGGAATCCACCAACTCGGCAATGATAGACCGTCTGTGCTGCATGTCATACCGAGCTAGCCATTTTTGTTCGTTCCCGAAAAAAGGCTCCGGCTATCTTGTAGCATGATCCGTTCTCTCGGAAGTACTTGAATACCGGTACCAGTACCAGTGATCAGGACGTAGGACTTGGCCATAATGCACATACAGTAGTCCTTCTGTATGACTCACGAATGAGAATGCAGGCGGAGAAAACACAACATCCAAAGATAACCTGCCACATGTGCGACGACCCTGACGACAACGAATGCCATGCAGTGCTCAGTCCCTCTTCTCCGTTCTGCCGTTTGAAGTCCATGGGAGTGGGAATTACATACTGACTCACACTCCACTCCAGTGGCAATTCTGCTAGGCCTCGTTGTACTTACGGCGTGGGTGGCAGGGATCCATCCCCACCGACTTTTTCCCGTGTACCGAATACATTGACATTGTACTAGTACTGAGAACTGGGAAAGAAAAGAAAGAAAACATAGAACAGAAAGCAATGGTCGGGGGTGGAAAATAACAGACTCTTGTATAGGGAGGCGATCATTGGGCCGACATTGGGCGTTAGTAGGGATGTTAGGAGAAAATAGGGATGGAACGGAAGACGTCACGGGGAAAAAGGAAGGAACGAATATAAAGAACTGGCAACCATGGAAACATTGTCGAGAACCAGGGATCCTAGCGGGTCCCGAGGTTAAAAAGAAGTAAAAAAGTAAACAGAGAAGTATATATAGTATACATTCTAATGTGTGTAGTGTGTGTATAGTACTGAGTACAGTGTAAGTACGAAATAAATAAGAAATAAAGTCTTTGACTCCCCACTTTCTTTTTTTTTTTTTCAGTTGGGCACCCGAGAGCCTCTTCGTGAAACCTCTCTCTTTTTGGCTTTGAACTATTATTTTTTTGTTTTCTGCCGCTCTCTTCCCTCTCTGTCTTCTATCTCTCTATCTCTCTGTCTTTCTCTCTCTTCCCTTCCTCTCCCTTCTTCTCGTGTCCTCTGTTCTCTTCTCTACTGGTGTTATCACCCCTCACTTTTATCGCTGCCCATCGACTCCACTCTCCCCACTGAGTTCTAAGACCGTCAGGCAGAGCATCCCAAAATTCTCAACCCAACCTCACTCCTGCAGCTGCTCCACCACTCATCGTCTGCCAGAGAGGTCCTTTTGTCGTTTTTTGCCTTCTTTTCCTTTTTTCTTTCTTCTATGCCCCACGACCCAACGCTTGCCCGATCGGTTTGCCAACTGTCGCCTAACATCCCACCTCTTTCGATGGAGACATTGCGTTCTGGAAAGTACTACGCTTCCTCCGCTCGCTGACAGACTCCGTCGCCTGCCATCGCCCGCTGCGATCGGCAGGTCCGCTTACTTGGTCTTGGGGGAAGAAAGGAACTCCGTCAATCGGGGTTGAGGGGAAAAAAGACTGCATTCTGACTCATCGTCAAAGTGGGCAGCAGTGGCTTGCTGTACGTTGAACATCAAGGGAGCCACACACGTCGTGGAAACGGGACTAACCCTGTTTTCTTTTTTTTTCCCTTAGGAAACCCGCAGCCCACATTATGGCCACTAAGGCCCGGCCGGCCTTCGTCGAAGATTATGACGAAGAATCCCATGCCACTCGACCTAATACTCGCATGACTGCCAATGCTACAGCCAACTCTGCTGCCAAAATAGCCAGGTCGGATCTATTCCCAGAGCCGCTGATCGACGGCGCAAGTGACTCAGGTTATTCTAGTCGCACCGCTGCCACCGTCAACAGCACCCAATCCGGCCCATCGGGCGGACAAAGTCCCCCTCTTAAATTGGAGTCCAAACGGGGCGACCTCGCCAGGAAGTCGTCCACCCGCAGAGAACGCAAGGAGGAACGAGTCAGACCGACGCGCGACGAGACAATGGTTGGTGCCTATTCGGGCGCCCATCATGCTCACGCGCCAAGGTCGTCGTCCAAGTCTCGTCGACATGAAGCTTCTCATGCCCGCTATTATAACGACCCATACTACGACGCTCCTCCGGCTCATTACCATCAGTCCGACCACCGTCCAGTCGAAGCTCCCTTCTATATCCCACAGCGTCCTCCGGTCCCAGACTACGCACCGTCCCCACAGAGTGCCCGATACCCCGCCGGCGTCATTGAGAATATTCACGTCAACCATCCGAGTCGACCCAGTCGCTCTCACACGTACCACACCTACCATTCCAACGGTCGACCTATGAGTTTCCACGGAATGCCACCAGGGATGGGGTCGGGAATGGCATCACCTATCTACAGCCAGGCGCCCATCCACGGCTACGATTACCATGGCCCTCCACCATCTGGCTCGGCCTACATGCACAACCAATACTCATCCTCTCCATACGGAGGCTCCTACTATACTCCATCGGAGTATGCTGCTCCCTCGGAATATCCACGAGAGCGATCTGAGTCCCGGCACCGGGAGCCCCGTCCACGTGAGTCCCGTCCCCGTCGATCTTCGTCGATCTATGGACACCCGCCCCCGGCCATGGACTCAGGCGCCTACTCGCCCTGGTACGATGACAGTGACCCCTTGGAGCGTCCCTTGGAGCGTTATACTTCACGAGAGGCCTATGGCCGTGCCTCAGCAGCGCACAGCCAGGACCCGGATGAGGACTTCTACCGCATGCCACCCCCACCACCACCTCCAATGCCCAGGCCGAAGCCCAAGTCCGCCCCGCAGATTCATCAGCAGAAACGACCTGAGCCCCGCAAGGCCCAAACCAGCACTGCTGTGCCCTCGCAACGTCGCCCGTCCAGAGGCATGGACCGTGGCATGGATCGAAGCATGGACAGACTGGACATGTCGGATCTTGCAGCGGAGTTGCCAGTGGTGACGGATCGGTCCCATCGTCGAATGTCAAGGGAGACTGCCCTGCCAGAGAGAACTCACAGCCTACGGAGCAGCCACAGACGGTCTACGTCCTACCAAGACGATCGACGTGGCGCCCAGGTGGCTGTGGCAAGCTCTCGGCGGCGGCAGCCAACCACGTACTACTACGATGAACCGTCGAGCAATGCCGGTGACATTCTGGAAGATCGTGAGCGTGAAGTCGAGAACTACCAGGCAGCACGGTCCGGCAGAAACTCAACTGCCAACGTGCCTCTCTCCGCAGAGGCCATGCTCCCCGCTCCCGCCAAGGCAACCACTAATCGCCCGGGGAGTGAGAGTGGCAGCCAGAAGAGCCGGTCCAATAGCAGCCGTGGCAGCGGCACAGGCTCAAGGCCAGAAGAAGACAAGAACATGACCCTCATGGTGAATGGAGTGAAGATGCAATTTAACCACGAAACGATTGCAGGGCAGTCCATCAACATTCGTGCTGGGGAGGCGGGCAACGCCGTGCGATTGAACATCGCTGGTGGGCCCCGACCCAAGCAGTATTTGACTGGATCTAACTCTGACTATACGGGCGGCTCCAGCCGCCGGGACCCGGAAGAATCACGACGATCTCGAGGAGACACCCGTTCGGAGCGTGCACTTCGCCGTTCTAGCCAGTCTACCTACGGAAGTACTCGCTATCATTGATCCGGGTCCCATCTGGTGGATTTATTCAAGTTGCTTTTCACGTCTTCCTTATGGCTGGATTCCATTTTTGTTATGATTCCGTCTTGTATGTGCCTGCATAGCCATTGGTTGAGTGGGCCGGCCTGTTTAGTTTGTCAAAAGTTCCATTGCTTTGCATATGTTTGCGTTTCTTCGGGTTCGGGTGCTGCGGTTGGACAAACAAAAAATCAAGGGTAATTACCTACAGCGAGGCTGCTAGGCAGCAGGCTGGATTCCTTCTCGAGCGGTCCAGAGCTGCGAGGCGGCCTCGCCAAACTGGGAGGACTTGTGTGTGATTTCATTTGCAACTGCTGTCTATTTTTGCGTGTGTCTGCGTGTGTTTGGGCAAAACGTTGGGCACGAACGACTTGATGATGTGTCTCCGTTATGGCGATATGATTGTACGATTCTGATGACCTGCGATGACAAGTCTGATGTGCTTCACTTTCTGATGTCTCCTTTTTGTCAGCGTTCGTGTATAGCCTTTCTTCTCATTGGGCCTGTGTCTTTCTCCTTACTTTGTTCGCGACTCCGAGTGGCGGAGAGAGATTATACCCATATCTGTTTACTTGTCATGTCTCAACACCAGGTCATCTTTTTCTTTGGCCATATCCACGTTCTATATTTCGTGTTTTCTGATTGTATCTGGCTGCGCTTGTCTGGGCTTCGTAGTTTTATTTGGGACTCTGTTTCTATTGATTCGGTTTATTTGTGCAAGTTTGCGCTGGCTTTCTCATTAGCATTGTCTTTGATCTTACACTGCCTTTTACTGAATTGGTTTTGATACCCCGCTAGCTGTCTGGGTGCGATCGCAGGATTCGATCAGGGATGGCTTTTTCCAGAGGCTTATTTCGAGCGGGTGGCCCTCCATGATTTGTTATTTGTGATGATTGATATATAATCGAAATGAAAGCATACCGCTACACATCAAATTAAAGTGAATCAATATGATCGACGCTTTTATAGATCGAGCGGGCCGATGTGGGGGGATGATGTAAGCGGGTTGCCCGGGACAACAAGCCAGTAAACACAATCCCCAGCCTCCTCCAACCTCCTCAATTACGTGCAGTCTCAAGTTGGGCTGGAATATATCTCATTCGGTATTTTCCCGTCTTTGCATCTTCAAGATTTTACTGACACCTGCTAGACGTTCCGCACTTTGTTCCACATTCCATATCCACATTCCAGTGTCAAAGATCGATATCTAGATCTGGTGCTGATCACTGCCTTCAATGTGAGCTCATGACTCGATTGCAAGAATTCACAGAATACTGATCATTATCCAGAGAGTCCCGTCTTGAGCCACGCGCTCTCGACCACTCTGATACTCCACCATGGCTCCAGTTCCAGAGAATCGGGAATTCCCCAGCATTCCAGCTGTGGGAGCTGCCGGGCTCTATGTTCGGGATGTCAGCAATGAGGACACCCTCGACACCTCGCCCTCTCTCAATATTATATCTCATCCCCTCGCTGCTCGTGCCGACTCGACAACAACCAAACAAACCCCAGTCCGTGGAGCGGGAACAGTCGACCCACACAGTATAAAGATGCAAGGTCTGATGGCTCTGTTCGCTATTATTGGAGCACTATTTGTCCTGGGCGCAATCTGGTTCTTCTTTTGGGCCAAGAATGGTGGATTTGTGTGGCGGAAGGGCGATTGGGATGACTACAAGTCCACTGTCCTTCGACGGAAAGGACCCGACGGAAAGACTCTCAGTAATGCTACTAAGAGTACCAAGCTTGGTGGTGGAAGTGTGGTTGGCAAGGGCTACACCGACGATGGATACTCATTCACCAATGAAACATACACCGACACAGCGACAACCGTTACGGAAGAGAAACCCCGACGCAAGCGATTCAGAGAAACCGCGAAGGAGAAGCTTCTCCGCCGCAACAAGCACGAGCAATGGGAAGGCGCCGATGATGCCGACGTGCGCGCATACCGTGAAGAAAAACCTGCTCGCATTGGTGGCATGAACCGTGAAGCAGACGGAACCTATCACGGCAGTGACTACGACACCTCCGCCCCGCCAACCTCCTACCAACAAAGCGAGATGAGCCAAGCCCACGACTTTGCCTACGATCCACCTCGCCGTCAACGCCGCGATCCCTCCGGATTCTCATTCACAGAGGGCAGCGAGGACGTCATCAGCCACACAACCGAAGAGCGCCGCGTCCGCGACCCATCCACCCGCCGTCACAACCGCCGTCGTGACCGTCGCAGCCAGGTCGGACCACCTCCCGCTCCATCATCTCGGACCAGCAGTCCCCGCAAGCAGGACCGCCGCTCCCAACCCCACCCTCCAGGCCATTTCACCGAGCCGCTTGATTTCTCATCGGCTGGTTCTCGCTCTGAATACCAGTACTCCAATGTCGACACCGAAGACTCTGGCACAAAGAGTTACAAGCACCCTATTCCCGGGTTAACCAAGGGCTACCGTCGCGATGGACGTAGCCGTCGTCGTGACAGTCTGAGTGACAGCGAAGGCGAGACTCAGTATTCGTAAGCTTTGGCATGATTGAGTTTCATTTTTATGTACGCAATACCCGTGAGAGCGGAATCGATTAAGAATATGGACCTCGGAGGGACTTTATGGATTATGGGATCAGCGTTTTCTTTTTTTTTTTTTTTAAGGCAATTGTATTGCCCATTGACTTATGGATTGGAATGGACATGTGTGGGAAATTGTTTGGGTCATGTACATAATGAACTGGATTTACGATGCGAATGGATTACATGTCAACGCAATGTCTTTTCTTCGGTAACCTATTCGGTATCTGAGCTGGCCACCCTCCATGCCAGGTTAAAAGTTCTCAATCATCCAGAGCTGGCAATAATAGACACAGTTTGCAGCCATATCACAGGTACTTTTCTGGAAATTTGCAAGTCAAGGATATCTCAGCGGGCTATTCAAAGTCTACTCCACTTACCCTACGCAATGTGTCTCTCACTGTCAAGCCTGGACAAAAGACCATTGTTGTGGGCCGAACAGGGAGGTAAATATGCAAGATACGCAGAACTGACTTTTGCTCGCTTTTGTGAGCGTTTGGCTAATTACAATCCCTCGATAGTGGTAAGAGTACATTGATGCTTTTCTTGCTACAGCTTCTTGGGCCCAGGCAGGGATCTACATTGATCGACGACATCAACATCACCCATATATCACCGAGAATTGTCCGAAAACCTGGGTTCATATTGCAGTGCCACAAGATGGCTTCATAATTCCAACGGCAAGTCTACGCTTCAATCTAGATCCTTATCACACGAGCTCAGACCAAGAAATGTCCCTGAGCCTCCAAAGGACAGGTCTTTGGGATAAGATTCATTCGCCATCCGCCGGTTCGGCTGAGAAGGCAGGCGTGAGTCTCAAAATTCGAAGTCTATTAGATCTTCCTTTGTCGTCATTTCTACCATTCTCGGCCGGACAGGTACAACTATTTGCCTTAAGGCGAACACTGCTAAGGATTTGGGCTTCTGCCCCATAGAAGCCGATTGTTATCTTGGATGAGGTCAGCTCTTCGTTAGACTCGGAAACAGAGTCTATTCTGATTGATATCCTTCGAGATGAGCTCCGAGATTACACTGTTGTTATGGTTGCATATCGCGTTGCTGGTATCATGGGTGCTATGAGACCTGAGATTGATGCAATTGCCACCATGCCAGATGGAGGGCTATCAATATATAGAAACAAGGCGTATTTCTGCAAGTAGTAACCAACCAGTTTGTTCCAAGATAGCTAGTGTCTTGTTTGACTGCCGATGATAACGGATGCGTTGCAATAAACAAAGAAGATCAGTGACATTGTGATTGATCCAGATATTCTGTGCAACCACAAGGAAGCCACATTTATTGGGTAGAAAGCTTTGCAACCTACTGTGGCAGCTTGTTCGCGTTCAGTCGTGTGAGAGGCGATGTGACAAGAGCCTATTTCCTGCACGGTCAGTAAACATGGTCACCGCGCTAGTGTAGATCTCCCACCTGCTTGGCGTGATAAGCTGTCAATGTAACAATTGTCGTAAATTATACAGTTAATGATACGCTATCGAGACGTGGTATTGCTCGACATTGAAAAACAAAACTTTGAATACTTTTGTTCTGCTAGCGTCAGATGAGTACATCCAGTTGCAATTAATCGCCATATTGTGCCTTGTCTACTGAGGCTCTTCGGGTCCTTATTACTTAAATATCTTGGTGGCTTTATCAGGACCGCCAAATGGTTATCTATCGTTTAGTAAAGTGGAAGGTCCTTACAGGCAGGCAATGTCCAAAGTCTATATATATCTTGAGTATTGGGCGTGCATTGCTATTTTGTTTTACGTGACTGCTCTCGCAATTGATTGTAAACAATGTGTGAGACAAACAGAGGCATCTTCTATGCCTTAATTCCATTCATTAATGTAGAAATGCATAAATGAGATTAAAACATACTTCTATGTCCTTGATCAGGCCAAAATTGATGCCTCAACACAGACAGCCTGCCGCCTGAGGCAGCAGTGCTTATGTCATCTTTCATACTTTAATCGTCCTCACCGCCCGCCATTCTCACCGCCCGACAAAATTTCCCGAAAAGTTTCAATCTCCTCAAGATTCAAGAAAATAATGCAAAGCACAACCAAGATGAAGCGCAAGCTGGATGCAAACGACGTTCCCTCTCCGGAGGCTGCGGGAACCGACAACAAAGATCTCGACTTTGAAGCCCTCAATCTCGATCCTCGACTGCGCCAGGCTCTGATCAAAGAAAAGTTCACCAAGCCCACTCTTGTACAGTCGAAGGCTATTCCCCTCGCGCTGGAAGGAAAGGACATTCTCGGTAGGTTCGAGATGATATCCTGATGGATACAAATGCTGACCGACAAAGCTCGTGCGAAAACCGGCTCTGGTAAAACTGCCGCCTATGTCCTACCTATCTTGCAGGCTATTCTCCAGCAAAAGACTGTTCGTACCTCTTTCTCCGATAATGGCATTGCTCCTTACTGATATGATTCAATAGGCCGATCCCTCATTGAAAGCCACAACTGCTCTAATCCTAGTCCCGACCCGCGAACTTGCAGAACAGGTCCAGAAAGTGATTACGACTTTCGCCGCATTCTGTGGCAAGGATATTCGGTCAGTCAACTTGACACAAAAGGTGTCCGATGAAGTGCAGCGTTCGTTGCTGGCCGATTTTCCCGATATCGTTGTGTCCACACCTACCCGAGTTTACAGCAACGTCAACAATTCCGCCTTGTCGCTTGACAAAATCACCCATCTTGTTATTGACGAGGCGGACCTGGTTCTGTCTTACGGATACGACGAAGAGATCAATGCTCTTTCCAAGGCTATTCCTCGCGGAGCACAGACATTCCTGATGAGTGCTACTCTCACTTCGGAGGTTGATACATTGAAGGACTTGTACTGTCGGAACCCGGTTATTCTCAAGCTCGAGGAGAAGGAAGAGAAGGGTGCCGGTGTCAGCCAATTCGTCGTCAAGTAAGTTCTCGTGATTTTCTATCACTCTACCAGATACTAATCGATCTCCAACAGGTGTGCTGAAGACGAGAAATTCCTTCTGACATATGTTATCTTCAAGTTGCAGCTGATCAAGGGCAAGGTTATCATTTTTGTTCAAGATGTAGATCGTTGCTACCGTGTGAAGCTTTTCCTGGAACAGTTCGGCCTGAAGAGCTGTGTCCTCAACTCAGAATTGCCCATCAACTCACGAATTCACGTCGTTGAAGAGTTCAACAAGGGTGTCTACGATATTATCGTGGCTGCCGACGAGCAAGAAGTTCTTGGAATAAGCAAATCAAAAAAGCGCGAAGTCAAGGAGGCAGAGCAAGAGGAAGAGGAAGCAAAAGAAGAAATGGGAGACAGCGACGACGAAGAGGCTATGGAAGATAAGAGCGAAAAGAAGGCCCAGACCCAGAAGCGCCGCAAGATGACCAGCAAAGAAAAGGACTACAGCATTGCGCGCGGTGTCGACTTCCAGAACGTTGCCTGCGTTCTCAACTTCGACCTCCCCACCAGCTCAAAATCTTACACGCACCGCATCGGACGTACCGGCCGCGCTGGAAAGGCCGGCATGGCCCTGTCCTTCGTGGTGCCAGCCGAGCAACACGGCAAGCACCGTCCAACCTCAATCCCAAGCACAAAGCACGACGAAACCATGCTGGCAAAGATCATCAAGCGGCAAACCAAGCTTGGCCACGAAGTCAAGCCGTACCACTTCGAGATGTCACAAGTCGACGCCTTCCGCTACCGTATGACCGACGCACTGCGCGCCGTGACCCGTCTAGCCGTGCAAGAAGCACGAGGCCGCGAGATCCGCCAGGAACTGATCAAGAGCGAGAAGCTGAAGCGCCACTTCGAAGACAACCCCGACGAACTGCGCCAGCTGCGCCATGATGGCGAGCTCCGTGCTGCGCGTGTTCAGGCCCATCTTAAGCATGTTCCTGACTACCTGATGCCGGCCAAGGGTCGCAAGGGAATTTCCAAGGAGAATGCTGGATATGTTGGATTCTCGTCCACCAAGCAGAATCGCATTCGCAAGGCAAGAGATCGCAACCGTGCCCGTGGGAAGGGCAAGGCTGGTGGGAAGGTTGATCCTCTCAAGACGTTTAACCGGCGCAAGTAGTTTGGAACTTCGGTCTTATGAGGTGATACCATTTGTACAGTCAGACATGAATCGGGATATTTCAATGTGGATTTTTGTCTTAATGCCTACATGCAGTATATTTCTATTTTTCGCCACAATTCGCGGTTTGCGTAGTGTTGCCTGGAAAGTAAAGTTAGTAATCGCCGCTTAGGGTTGAACACGAGAATTGGCAAAGCATGAATTTGTCTTTGTATTGTCAACGTTGGATATCTAGATTATATTCACATGGTCACAATGCGATGGAGTATGGCCATAGCATTAGATACAAGGCAGTATGCATTGAACACATCCGGCCTCAATAATCCGTTAAATCCTCACAGGACAACCGAAATTTCCTGTCCAAGCAGTGTGCTCACCGTCTCCGAGTCAACGTTCTCCAGCCCGAAAGACACCTGAAGCCATTTCCCGCGATCCTCCCTCCTAATCAGTCGCACGTGTTTACGCACTTCCAACGAAGTATGAAAAGAATCCCGGTAAAGCTTGAGCTCATTCGCACGACGGAAATTGATGAGCCGCTCTTCATGTCGCGTAGCAGAATCAGAATCATCAGAGTCGTCAGGCGTATTAACAGACAAAGCCAGTGGTCGCGGCGGGTGCTGAGATTCCGAATCATCTCTCAGATCAGGAACCCAGCCAGGGCCCACGTTGATCCATTCCACATCTCTCCACGATCCGTTCCACTCTGGGCCAGAGGCCCCCAGTGGATATGGGTGACCGTTTGGGTCATTGCCGACCCATTTCAAGGCTGGTAACCAGTCGGCACAGCCTTCGAGGTCAAGCCATTTTAGGCAGTATGTAGACCGTGAAAGTTGACGGAGGATGCTCGCGGCTTCGGCCCAGTTGTTGTCCATTGCGGCGTAGTTGTCAGTGCCGCTGTAGCTGAAAGTCAAGGAGCGGTGCAATGGGTGCCGGACACGAGCAGTGGCAGCGCCCGGAGTCCGGGTTGGAGTGGGCCAATGAGCGAGTGAGAGGTGAGTGAGAGTTGAGAGGCGGCTGACGATATTTAGAAGGGAATTCCAGCTTGCCGAAGCAGATTGGGGGTGAGCAAGAGACAAGTAGCGGAGATTGGTGAAGCGTAGACCCTGGGTCATACCCTTTGGAATAGGTGGGGTTGGAACTGCGTCTGGGACAACAGGCTCAGCTTTGTCTTGGTCGATCTCCTGATCCCATGAAGCTGGAACCACTTCATCTTGGTCTAAATCTGGCTTGGTCGAGGTGAACAGCTCGCTTGCCAACTGCTTGAATGTCATCCAGTGCCCCAGCGTATTGCCCAGGTCCAAACGTAAGATAGCAGCATCACTAGCAATAATGCTACTCTCATTGACACCTTCTCCATGCTCATTATTTTGGACATGGTCGCCCTCGGCTAGAAGAAGCGGTTTCAATCCTCTCATGCGTCCTTTCAACTGCTGACCTCTGGCATATACAGCGACATAACTCAATAGCAATGCCTTTATATGACTAGGGAGCTGAGCAAGAAATGGGCCGTCATAGTCCAAATGCCAAAGCCAATTCAAGGCCATAGACTTGAGCACCATATGCACCAGATCCCTCTGATCGGGGAACACGACCCCTGGTAGCCGCTTCAAACGGTGAACAACACGCTCGGAGTCACCCGCCATGTTAGCCAATTGATGCTGGTCTGTCACATTTGTGCTGTCCGTATTACCGGAAAGCCAGCTGTCAGGCGGAGGAGGTCCGGCGAACCGTCGCGGGCGAGTACCGATAGCAGTGCGCTGGGCACCAGGGCGAGGTCGCGGTGCTGGGGTTTCTGGAAGCTCAAGAAGGTTCCGGAGCGAAGGATGGACAGAGCGAGGGGCGACGAAGGAGCGTTGAGAGGGACGCTGGCGGGGTAACCCATCTTCAGAAGGATTCGGTGTTTGTGTCAGCCGCAGGTGGCTGATCAGATCATTGACTGACTCTGCAGCCACAGATGCCCCAGGCCTGTCATGGCGAGACGAAGAACCAAGACTATGGTGGGCAGGACTAGCTGGCTTGGTATGGAACCGCTGGTGCTTTTTGGGCATGAGAAGTTGCGGAGGTGAAGTTGAGGCTCCCCGCTCCGCTTATCGCTTATCGCCCCAAGTAAATAAAGTTCTATTGCCGCCACCATCACAAAACAAATTCTGCTGGCAGCAAATCAGTCTATACATATATAGGTTTACCCTACGGCTGAGGGTAAAGAATGAGAGTGAAACAGAGAGTAAGGAAAGACTAAGTACGAAAGAAGCCCTTACTTTAATATAGATAATTGCCCAGAGTGTATCCTGTTATGTTACGCAATACTTCTAGCATAGGTATATATCAGTCTTAGCCATATTAGACTAAGAGATCCAAGGCTTACTATTCTTTTAGCCGGGTAGGAAGATACGTGCCTAGTAGCCTGAAGCGTACACTTACATAATTAAGTAACGTCTTCAACATTGGCTATACTACATTCAATATACTACGATAGGTTGATAGGAGATTGAGTACATGTATTTGTAGAGGCAATCTAACTTAACGGTAAGTTAACTCAATGATATAAAGGGCTATATAGGGGAAATTTGTTTTGACACTGTGGCGGCAATAGACTGCCATATCCAAGTAAAAAAAGTCGAAGCTAAGCTGATCGTTGCAGGTCTATACATATTTATACACTATTTTATACAATGGCTCAAATATCTCGAACCCAGGAATCGTCCTTCATGTGGCCCTCACGCTTAGGGCCTTCCTCCAACCAGGTGTCAACCAGGCCCTCCTTGGGGTCCTCGTCGGGGAATCCACGAGACCGGCGAACATCCAAGACGAGGTTTCGCACCTTCAAGGTGACCTCTTTGCGCAGCTCAACTGCTTCTTTGTTGTTCAACAGCTCCTCGCTCAAGACACCAACTGGCAGGTCGCGGGACTCGGGGTCTCTCTTTTCAACCTTGGCTTTTAACTTGTCCCAACGTGACCTCATATCTCCGAAGACTTCATTGGTGTCCACCTTGGATCCGAAAGTAACACTGACCCGCTTTCCAGGCCGAGGCAAGAACCGTGGGAACTTCCGACTCTCGTGCATGACATCGTCGAAGCCTTCGATCCACATCGGAACAACGTCCGGGCACTCCTTGGGCTCTAGGATAAGGCGTGCAATACCCCACTTGAAATAGCGCATCGTCTTTCGCGGTGACTGGTGAATCTTGCCCTCCGGGAAAATGTGCACCCACGAATGGGAGTTGCAGGAGTACGCGGAAGGGGCCAAGTGCGCGTCCTGGCCGTTGGTGGTGTATGCGATTGAGAGGTCCGAGAAGGGATCGACGCAGACGTTTTCCTTGCTCCAATGCTGGCGTTCAGGGATAGCGCGGTGGTGGTCAACAGGGAACGGGCCCTTGGATAACAATCGAACGGCTTCGGTGATGGCAGGTTGTCCTAGGCCACCAAACGGAGAGTGTGCGAGACGGTGTGTAGGCAAAACCTTGCCCATAGTGAAGAATAGCGCGAGGGGTCTATAATTGTCTCCAGTCAGCAAGTCATTGGTAGCCTAGACGAGTTGCCCATACCTGTTCTGATAGCAAATATCGTGGCTTCCAAATGACCATCGCTTGTTCCAGAATCGCATAGGCAAAATGCCCCAAATCAATGGATCATCCATTCTGGTATCCCGGCGCAAAGTCAGCTATCTTCGAAGTTTGGGTATAGGTTGTCTCGAGGGGAGTTGCGTGAACGTACACGCTAAGATGGTTTGACACTAGTATCAACCAATTCAATCAGCATTGTACTAGACATATTCCGAGTCCTTTCTCAGACGTACCTGTAATCAATCCTCTAGATCGTTCCGATATTTCATGTCGCGAGTCCAACAACTCTGTGAAAGCTTCCTTCCCATGACACTCTGCATTACAGAGGACAGACAGGAATCCACGACAGAGACCCGCCACTCCCCACATCGTTGTGTTGGAGAAAGCCCTCCAAGGGAGGGACGGGGAATCTGCTGTTGCGCTGGAGTCCATGGTGGATGTTGTAAGGGTGCTATAAACAATCCATAGACAATTCAGCTCTGTTCAAGCCACTGATAGCTTGAGAGAGAGGGGACTCCACAGAAGAATCGCTTGCGTCGAGAGAAGAAGGAAAATGTCGCGTTCCTGGAAATCCACTGTTTCGGGATCACATGATTTTGGTTGGGGAAGTTCAGAGCAAATCAGCAGTCCAGCATTACACTATTTCCATTGATGAAACAGTCCGTATTGAACTAAAGCAAGGCCATTGACCAATGTAGCCAAGTTACCCCCGAATTACTCTCTTCTGCCTTGTTTAGCCCGCGCAACTCTCTCTCCGTCATCTATACATCGGGCGCACGGACCAATTACAGTCCCGACTCAGCGCACGATTTTCTCCCGACATTTCAACACCAACAAACCACAATGTTCAAGTCAACCCAGGCATTATTCGGTGGTCTTCTCTGGTGCGTGTGATCTACAGGAGACTTCCCAACAGGTTCAAGCTAACAATTCGTCCCCGAATACAGGAAGACCCCGTGGCGTCTCTCCTCACCCCAGAAGGCCCGGCAGCGCAAGCGCCTGCGCTCCGTGGACCGGGTCGTTGACACCGTCAGCGCCGCACTCGCGCGCAACGGACAGAGTTCCAAGGCTGTGGAGCGGTGGTACGCGGAGATGCCGCGCGAGGAGGAGATGCTGCCAAAGGACAAGTACACTCTGTTCGATAAGAAGGAGAAGAGCTACCGGAAGAGCATTCACAGTATGTTTCCAGCACTATGCATCATAGCAGTGTCAATTGTGTCCTGTCATTGTGTTTTTTGGATTAGATGAGCTGACTGTCTTCCTTTTCTCCAGAGCTGCCCAAGTGGACTCGTGTCAGCCAACGTGTGAACCCTCCTGGTTTCTAAGGGATGCTTTGTCCCTCGCACATGTACTATACAATAAATCCGACGCTCGACTTTGGAACGGGACTCGGAGCGAAAACAACATATGGACTACCGGAGTTTTGGCTTTTGTGAATTGCTGCGCAGCCATTCTGAAGAGGATGGTGGCTTACAATGTTCCATTATTACCCCAGCGCTTAGATCGGGCTTTCAATTCAATTGCATTTCGATATACTGTCTTGTGTTTGGTACTCCGGCTACTCCGGGGATGCTAATGATAGAGATGGAACAAGGGGAATGGTAGTGAGCGTATGACAGTCTTGAAGAGATGGATATGTCGAGTAATATCTCAGGTTGAACGACAGAATAACCGACTGAAATAAACAAAGAAACTGCGCTGTGCAGACAGGATACCCTCGTCATGAGACCCGACGGTTTGGAGCTCTTCGTTTGCTGGAATTGTGGCTGGGAATCAATTTGGCCGACGCACTGCGGTAGCATTTGTTGACTTGCGACACCACTTCCTTCACTTTTCCCCGATTGACACGCCCTTCATAGATGCCTTTGCGAAGACGATATCCCCAACGAACGTTCTGCCAATCTTCAAGCTTTTCCTGCCACCCTGCACCTCCTTCGTACCAGGCGTTCTTCTGTGAGGTGGACATTTCAAAGCCTTGAGGCGGTTTCGGCAAAGCCCAGCAAGCTGGATCAATATGTCCATCAGGCGGTTCCTCTGCCGACCCTTCAAACAGTTCAATGCTGCGGATAGCATCTCGAATGCCAGATACCTTCCGCTGCTTGTTGACCGCCGCACGCCAGGAGTCTATGCGAGGTGTATGCGCTCGCTTCTTGATGGAGTTAGGGTACTTGAGTCGAGGACTCAGACTTGGCTCCGGATATGGAACGTTGAAGCGAGGGTCTCCCCAGTCCCGGCGTCCATCGTTGTTAACTCTTGATATGGGATCGTACACGATCCAGGTTTCTCTGTTCAGCCAGTGGTTGGCAAGCAAGGCAAAATGATATGGCTTTTGCCCGGGGCTGAATTCGTTGAAGACCCATGCCAGTTTTCGATCTAGCCTTTCCATCAATCTGACCTCCCAGTCACTTAATTCGTCGACAGGCCCTCCTATTTTCAGCTGATTGTGGTCTGTTGAGTGTCGGGTGCACCTACTTTTCCCTTTTGGACTTGAGCGATGAGGCACTTGGGTAAACAAAGAGCGGCTTGAATCATGTGCTGATCGCCATTCATCATGGAATTTCCCTCTGGCCGGCTGTCCATCCTTTCCGGGAGGGCGGCTTCTTGCTGGTGCAGAGTTCCATTGGATAGACCTGGTACATATCTGTTTCTCATTCGAAGAGAGGACCTGGTCACCCATGAGTACTCTCGAAGTGAAAGGCATCCGATCTTCGGAAATCTGCAGATGTCCCTGGTCTTTCCTTCGTCTCTTCGGGCGAAGAGGGATAGACGAGCTGCGTTCAGATATATAGCTGGCCAATAATTCAGTCATCGGCGTCCCAGGAGGACCAGATGAATCACGAAGATTTTCCAGGGCTGTAACTTTGGGCCCTACCTGCATCCGGGCTGCCCAACTGCGATGTCTTTTTGAACCCCCGTGTTGATGAGCTGGGTATGGTGTATTCAGGGTGGAGGAATCGATTGATGCAGCAGCTTCGTATTGCATATTCATATGGTGGACAATCGACTCAACTGGAAATGAGATGGCGTGAGGCCCATCACCTTGTGACCACGGAACCACTCTCCGACGCTGGTAAATATTGTTATGTCGTGAGGGTAATGAATGGACACGGTCAAACGGAATTGATGCTCTGGTTGTCAGCCTCGGTCTGCTTTCAGGTGAATTGAATGCTATGTGGTGATCTGAAGAGCCAGCAACCTCTAGGGGATGCCTGAAGAGCTCCTCTATGATCGAACGAGTTATAGGCTGTTGGCCGTTGTTTAACACGTGAAGTGGCCGCGGGATCGACTGCAAAACGTCTCTCTGCTCTCGCTGTCTTTCCAAAGAATTAGAGGCCCAGACAGAACTGGACAAGGCATCATCCACCAAAGCCCCGTGGCACTCCGGCCGCGAACAAGGATCCCAAATCTCATCAGCCGACGGCAGATCATCATAGCTCTTCAACCAATCCGGTAACCACCAAAGCCCTTTCAGCTCGCATCGGCGTTTCTGTCTCTCCTCGCCGCCGGGATCCCACCAGACCCAACTATAATCAGCCCTTGTGGACTTCCACGCGGTCATTCTCCGAATCCAAATGAAGAAATCACGAATGACCCGTTTGTTCCTATCGTGTGTCGGGCGTGATACCCAGCCATACCATGTGCGCGCATACCGGGTCTTGGTAGATTTCCCTGCTCTCAGCACCTTGTTTTGGTTGAATCTTCTGATAAACTGGCCCAGCTTCCAGAACAACACTGCAAGTATAAATATGCCGACCGTTCCGGCCATCAGTTCGGCGAATACCTTCGGATCGATTGACTTGTGAACTTCGACTGGGACGTTCGGCGGCCGTTTCGGGGGACGAGGAGTGCCAGGTCCAAGTGAGTGGCTCTGTCGAATACCTAGTGGCGCCATTGATTGATGCCGGGTGTATTTTCCAGTAAATAGTAAGGATATAGATGATGGTGTGTCGTTAAGACTGTTTATCTTTGACATGCACACTTGGGGAGGGTTGGGATGCCACGAGGCAGCAGCAGCTCACGGAATTGCCTACCTGCCACCTCCGGCTTCATGGATGTATGAAATATGAAATTCGCTTTAGTCTTATTTCTAGGCGATACTATCAATAACTTCATTGCGGATATGGATGATTTTATAGCTTACGGTCATGAATGTGTCCTAAGCTTCTCAAGTATCGTGGAATCTCTAGCATCTTTCGAACATTGTTCGCGAAACCCCAATCCGTAGCGTCACTGATTATAAAATCTCATACCATGGAAATGTGTCGGCGTAGAAACCCTCATACACAAGATGGATTGTGAGAGGGCTCTTTAAGACTTTCTACATCGTGCAATATACATGTAGACTAGACCGAGGTAAAATAGGTATGCTTGACTTAATTCCTCTGACTTGGCGTAGCGTCGTCATGGAGAGTGGGTTTAAATAAGGATTGACTGGCATCCCAGTCTCCCGATGCAGTCAAGATAGCAAGCAACCAATCACAATGATTTCATATATGCCTGAGGCTTGTTTCATTATTTATGTCTAGAAATACTTCTTGAGTATTAGAACGAGATTTATTGCTACCCAAAGTCTAACACACCTTTAACATAGTTTTATACTGCCAAGACATTACGACATAAGATTTATCAGAAACAAAAACCTACCCTATGCAGAGGAGCGCCCATCTCATCGGCGGCTCGAGATCGATCGACGTGAACTCTCGGAGATACTCTTCGACTCTCTTCTAGATGAGATGATTCGATAGGGCCACCACTACATTGAATTGAGGAAAACCATAGTCCGCACTTCGATACTATAGACTCCTTATAGAGGAGGGGGGTGGGTGTATGGTTAGGAGTTTAGTTGAGTGCGAGTTATCTTAGACAAGTCTTTCTAAGCAGTTATTAGGTAAAGATATCATACGAAGCTTTGTACTAGGCTAGTAGAAACCCTATGGACTAACTTATAGAGTCAAAACTATATGTTGCCTTGGTTTAATCTCTTTGAATACCCTGTTGACTATCCTCTTTAGTTATCGGTCAAGTAACCTGCGGGCTAAATGACCCGAATTCTACACCTTCATCTTCACCTTACCGACATCTTAGATCTTACTGATCCATATTTAGTTGCCTTCTTAAGCCCTTTGGGGGTACCGTTTCGTTCTTCTCATTCAATCTAAGTTTAAATAGGGCGAATGGCGGATCAAATGCCTATGGCTCGAATCCAAGTTACATTTCTCTCAACCGATGACGGCATCGCGAAACGACACACCCGCTCTAAAATGATGAAACCACATCTCCTCTTCCCGTGCAATCTGCAGATTTGTGCATCGGGATGTGGTCATGCTGTCTCGGACGATCCTCAAGGCATCTAGCTCGCCAAACCCAGCTTCTGCGCTCCCGGCAGAGAGCAAGGCGGTCGAGAAAGACCTGGTCGTGCGCGCGAAAGACCCTGCAGGTCTGACATAGAATATCATGTGGTGGTCAATCTTGAAAATGTCTCGTCGCAGTCCGTCTTGGGGCTGCTGTTTAGGTCACAGCCATCCAAGAGTGGGGGCCTCTTGCGCGCCTGGCATATACGCTGTTGGTGGCGGGCATTTACTCGTGTTTATTTGATTAGCTGCATGGTAAATCAGTCCACATGTATTTGTTGAGGTCAGATTCCGTGTATCTTAGGCAGTCGGGCTCGGACAAATGGAATAAGCCCTTACAATTCCTGCCTAACTCTGAGACAAGTCTAGACTTGTACTCCGGTGGCAAAATAGCCCCCACAATCGTGACGCTACTGAAAGCCAAATTCTGATATCAAAATGATATGTCAGTTCGCATTGTATACTCTAGGGCTGAATCTAAGCGACAGAAATCTATGACTGCAGATATTCACATGAAACCCCGAGATGGGAATATTCTCTTTGCTTTTTCCAGTAGCTAATGATCAAGTGATATCAAACCAGTCAATCGATCGGCATTAATGTCTGGAACTCAAGTTTCCGTTCATGCCTGCCTAATTGGGAAAGATACGCGGTCTACCGCCACACCGCTCCAGCCACCCTTGCCTTCTAGCCACATCACTAGCCACCTGCGGCTGAATCGTGGCTGTGCAAATAGTTGCCGATCAACACATTCAAGGTCTCCCAACACCCCTATCTTACGTTTTGTTGGGCATCCCGTGTTGAGTACATCACCGCAATCTCTGATGCTTTTGCTTCATTGACGATCTTGGTTTTCTAGTCCGATTTGGCGCCAAACCTGTTCCTCAGGTTCGTCACTTTCCATCTTGAAATCATACTTTGCCCTGCATGCGCTTGCATCGCGCTTGCATCACAGGCTTCTGCCCAACTGAGAGACACCTGAATCTTGATCATAGAAGCAAACAAGGCTGACCTTGTTTCTCTTTCTTCTCGCGGGTCCGAAGCGGGTCCGAGAGATGATGCGAACTATCGAGGAGATCGACAGTCTGATCGCCAAAGCAGCCCTGCTGGTTAGTGTCACACGTGGAGCAACTGAGATAATGCCAAACCGGATCCCGCACACATTGATTCGGTGTTTTATGCCGGGTTTCTGGAGTATAATTAAGTTTGGCCAGGTGAGGCTGATCGCGCATCTTGTCAGAACCAATGTGGTTAGGGGCTCGGCTGTCAGTTCAGCTCTAACACTAGCCTAACGCCTTTTCCTTGCCCCCTAGGCAACACTTTTTGAAGGAGCAAATCCCAATTGATTTTGTGAAGACCAGAAGCATTTTCCCAAAATTGGGCTCACTGAAGCTTACTGCAGGTTGTAGTATGTCGGTGGTACCGAAGGATGAATATCTCCTTCACTTGCCTCCACTGTCGCCACAGTGCACTTTTATGCTGTGGCTTGCAGTTCTTTCTTGAAGGGAGAGCCCTGCAGAGCCGAATGTTGCGGTCTGCTCTCCCTTGATATCACTCGGTTCTTATTGGTCAACTAGGTCTAGTTCGGACCTCCTGTGGATAATAAAGCTTCGATATACGTCCCAGATGAGATGCCTGCAGACTAGTGGTGCGCCACATCTCCAATGGAGGTTCGAACGGTAACATCCGTGAGAAACTGAAATGACAGACATCGAATGACAAGACACCGGTTTTTGGTAGCGGTCCCCGGATGTCAAGCAGCGACCCGCTGGTTGATCCGTGCACGAAACTATTGAATGGATAAGCCGATAATCCCATCTCCTGTGCCTCAATCCACAGGATTCCCAACCCTGCTGATGAACGTTGATTCTGCATGCCAAGACGTTCATCTGACAAAGTTCTCATGGAAAATGCACCCAAGGCGTGAAGGGATCGAATCAAAAGGCAGGAGAGAGTGGAACCCCATGCCCTGAACTCTATGGCCGATCCTGCCACTAGCTTCAGATCTCCTGTGCATCTCGATCCCTCAGATCTCGTACTTACTCCACATCTATGTTGGACGCGTACCCATTGATCAGACCAGAAGACAGGACTAGGATCAATTCGCCCCACTGTTCGATCCCATGCTGTCGGAACGTGCGGCGGCAAGGATCCTGCATGTGCCGAATAGTCAATCGAGCTCATAATTTTTCACTGCATCACGGCTGGCTTACCCGTCCCAGGTACCTGGTCACCGACCATTGACGCAAATCGCGTACTTTTGGACGGTGGCAACATTGGGTCCCATCTTTTCCAACTGGTAAGGTTATGCGTCCAGACTACGGTATTGGCCCCTCGGCGTATGCCGTGAAGTATATGAAGTCCCGGTCAGAACCACTTCAATCTCGATCTATTCATATCCCATCTCTATAATCATCTCTGATTCCGAGTTCCCTTTGATCCAATCCTACTTAACCTTCTCGTGTTCGTCTCTACCTTTACTCGGACTTTGTTCCAGATCCTTCGTGAATATACTTCACTTATACTTCACCAATTACGCCCGTTCCACCAGTTCCTCGTTGGGCCAAAGTAGATCAAGGTGCCTTAAACCTTATATATCTATGAGCTCTTCCTCCTTCTACGCCCTTCAACAAAGCAAAAAATGGCCGGTCGTGAATTCACTCTGTCTTTCGAGACCACTCCCCCAACAGCTGTGCGGCCCGGACTCCCTTTTACCATCCCGGTGGTCATTGCAGTGAATCCCATCGGGACCCCAGCCCAAAACGTCCAAGCCCTAGTGGTGAACGCCTCCCTTCGCAACGAAGCCGGTACTGGAGCCGCAGCGGGCCTGAGCGGCAATCTTACAGCAAGCGTTCGCAGCCGAGCCGACAATGCAAAGAGCGGATACGCAAAATTTAGCCCTCTGACGATTTCACAACCGGGAAAGTTTCGCCTGCGCGTGATGCTCAGCGCAGCCTCGTATAACGGCGTGGTGACCAAGGAGTACGTCGATTCAGCGGTAATCCACGTGCACACCGGCGCAGCAGCTGGGCAACAACCAAGTGGGTCTTTCTTTTCCTGTTTTCCTGGCTTTTGTGTGTCAATCTGTGTTCCTTTGTTCTCATATTGGCCGTTGGATCTCTTCGCGTTCTCTTTCGCTCCCGCTGTTTCTATGCCCCTCTCCCACCACAACGGTTCTCAGCTTAGGGCCACAGCTTTAACCCCTCCCCTGCCATTTTCGGACTCATGCTGACTGCGGGAACCTTAGCTGCTGCTCAAGTGGCACGCCTTCAGCGACTGACGGCTGAAAATTTGGATATCTCCGCTGCCGACATTGCGGCATGGCAGCGCGCGTAATTCGGTGACAGATATCTTTCCTTCATTTTTTTGGAGTTTTTTGGGCATCGGTTTTCCTTGGTTCGTTTTGTCGCAATTTTACTTATTCGAAATACGCCTACGTCTCATGCGGAAGAAAGTAATAAGGAGTATCACAAATATTGCACCTTTGTTAAATAGTCCAGGGCGCACCGGTCTATTAAATACCCACTTGTCTCGGCGAATTACTCCATATGCTTGATCGCATCGTTTTTGGCGTCAGTTGTCGTGGCGCGGATTATTTCTCCTTATCACTATGCAGAATGAAGCGACCCCTTTTCTGCAGAGATCATCCGCGCAACGGGTGGTGATCGTCAGTAAATCACCATACCCCTCCCTAACTAAACTTTGGCGTTAACGCCCTTCAATACGGGATCCTCGAAATACACCGATCTTTCAAAGAAAGTCTGACTAGTCTTAGATAGGAAAATAGTCCTAGTCAGCAGCCTCATCGAGCATAGATGGCCGGTCCCTCTGTGATTCCAGCAGCCCGCACAGGCACAATCTGTCGCGAACCACTCTGTCTTTTTGCCTCATCCCATGCCATGCCATGCTAGTTTGGGTAATATTATATGATCGGCCAATAGGATGCGATCCCGTGGCCTATATGTTAGGTTTAACGGTAATACATATAGTACAGTCTGTCAGCATCAATCGATCGATCGGAATCGTTGAAACAATTTATGGCGTGCTGTAACGGGGCCCGTTTGATTGCTTTTCGGAGTCTCCCTGGAAAGGCAAGTCCATCCACTTGGTGGAATCAGATAACAAGGATCGAGCACGGTGGTCCTTAAATGTACGTTGACTAGATTGTAGAAAAATAAACGTGATTGATCCAATCATGTGGCTCTCATAGGTTGATTTCCTTGGGATATGATTAATTAATTATGTCGCGATATCTGGGACCACAACCAATGGGAGGAGATCAATATATATAAGAGCGAAATGCATCTATGGATTAGACAATAGTTTAGTGAGCAGTGAAGTCCTTCTATTCCTACATGAGGTATCAAGTTGTCGCAAGGGGACGGAATTCCGCATGGTGTATTCCACGTGGCGTACAATCCTTGTCGAGATAAGCGCGATCCCCTAAAATTGTCCTGCGAGGGACACTGGAAAGGGTTAGCGCTGCGACATGGTTTTATCGTTAGGGTGCACAGGGTGGGGGACGCACAGTGGGGGTGCTAAGCTCCCGGAATCAGACCGGTTTCTGCTACTGAGATCAAGTATATGGTTGCGTTCTGGTCTCTAAAAGGTCCGTATGTAGCTCTATAAGGACATACGCTTTCCTGAAAGAATCTTTATCAACATTCTGCTTTGATATTACCTTTTTCGGACGCTTTCTTCAAGCTGCCTGTTTGAGACTGGTTTAGGCTAGTCTTAGAAGGGATGATTTTTTGTTCTACCTCTACGTAGTACGGCCATCTCAATCAAGGTGTTTGCCCTCTCGATCTCGCTTGTTTGCTTTACGACTAATTCTTTACGCAATTGGTTCGAATTTCATCACGTTGGAGCAAAGAGCATTTTTAGAGAATAGAACTTCAATTGATAAGGGACTTCATGATAAAATTGCAAATGCATCTTCCCCTTTATGGGGACATAGATTGCAAATTGACTAAGTTTATAACTATGTCTCTGCAAGGGACAAGGCAATGACCTCCTTCCAGAGGGCCAAAGTGTAACATAAAATAACATCTTCCATCACAGGCGTGAAACGCGACCGCGACAACCTCACGACATGATGGAGGGCATCGGATGAATAACATCGCGGACTGAAAGTCGAATTGAAATGCAGCACGGTGACACACGATTCACTAATGCACACAAGACTGGCGATGGGAGGGGAGCGGTCACACTTGTCAAGGGTTGACGCCCCGGAGTCTCAGAAGATGGAGCCAAACAGCTTCCATTCATGGCGGATCAGGATCAGACCTTGATCTTCGCCAAAGCCAAGGAGTCGGAGCTATCCTGGAGAAACGCATAGGTTTGCGCCTCGGTAGAGTTGTAAAACACGACGGTAGAAGTTTGACCGCAGGACTTAGCAATGTGGGCTTGCCATCAATCATTCAGCTGTCCTTGTCGGAGCTGCGAAGCTTTTCAATGCCCTCGCGGACAGTCTCACGAACACTGAAGCCACCAAAAAGCCAATCGTTTGAGTGCCGTCCGTAGTGGTTGACAGTCCCGCTATAACGGCGGTAGTCTTTGCGGACTGAGGTTGTACCTTGCTTGGTCGCAAAGTCACGCTTTGGGGACCGAGGTAAAGAAATTGTGGGAGACATCTCTGTCGGGCTGGTAGAGTGATATTGGTGGTCGCGGAAGTATGAAAAGTCGGGGTTGTTCCGTGGGATGTCGTGAGCCTGGGAGATAGTCGAGTCCTGGCAGGAACGGCTCTTAGGAATATCGATTGGAGCAGGGGATTTAGACAGAAAGATCTTTGAGGACAGAGAGGAAGATTCGTCCCGTTTCTTCTGGGAGGACTGACTGGTGCGAGAGGAGGTAGAGGTGGTTGATGCTTGGGAGAGAGATCTCTTAGGATATCTGGAAAAGTAGATTTGAGGATACAAGACTGAAAGTAAGACAGCCTGAAATCTGAGGGGGATACTAGCGATATTTATGTCTCCATGATCGTCATACCCTGTAGGGCAACCAACCAAAATGCAGCATGCTGTGACAAAGGAACAAGACGGGACATAACCAATTACCGTGACTCTCAGACGCACTTCGCCCTCCCTTAACCAATAAAACGAACAATATCAAGCCCACCGAGTCCACCTGTAGGGCCTAGCGGTGAGATTCACGGGATTTCAGCAACAGAGTGCCCTATCGCACACTCCCCGGCCAATAAGACATCGTGTCTGCCTTAGAGCCTCTTTTCCCGCTCTTCCCACCCCGCATATTCACCGCGAGTCTTGAACTGAACTGACACGTCGGCCTGCATATATTGCAGGTTGTCCTGTGACTCACTTGTCATTCCTACTCTTTACTACGTACATTCCAAAGGTATTTCGCAGATGACTCAAGTGGGTCGAAACAGGGCAATATGGTGCCGATCAACAAAAATGTGCCCGAATATTGTAGCCTTGTGAGACAGACCTATCACACCTCGCTCCCCGCCAATCAAGCTCGTTCATCTTCTTCTAGCGTCCTTCGAGAAGTCCCGTCCTAACCGAGGAATACACGTGTCTCTCTCAGTCGCTTGGCCCCCATTCTGTCAGCCAAATTTGTACTGTAGCTGAACGTGCTCTCGGCACGGTCATCCCGGGAGGTTTGCATATGTTGCCCGTTATGGGGCGCAGTGGAGCTCGTCTAAATAGGGTGCAGTGTTTTACCCCGGTCAACCACGATCATATTGACATCATTATCTGGCACAGGGACAGGCCATGTGCCCTTTCTCTATACCTCTTATGTTCTCCGATGCCGGAGAGGAACCAGGGGCAAGTATACCTCGTTACACAACATCATACCCTCGAATATAATATCTAACTTTGTCTGTCTTTTTACTATCTCTGTGGATAGATTTACCCCGTAAACTATTTGTTCTTTCTCACGCCGTGATATTAATCCAATTCAATCCCCATGTCTTGAGGTCACAATTTCCAGATACATCTTTCATCTCCTAAACTTTCCACATGCTCGTTTGAAACGTATGGCACTGCATCTGTCCCCTTGCTCGGTGGTCAGGCGCATGAGCACGATGCACTCGTTCGTCTCGTCATGAACGGTGTAAAATGTAGAGGCGTTGGAAAAGGAAAATCTCGTGTACTTCCTCGGTGCATATCGGATAGTAATCACAGCCACTGTGTGGCTTGCCTTTGGGATATATTCCAATGGCCCAGAAACAAGAGAACCTCATCGCATTTTCAGTATTGATAATAACAATCATCATGGGTGTAACCTGGTCGCAATTCTTTCCGCCTCCTCCTTCCCTGACAGAAACCAATCTCCCTAGCCCAGCAGGCAAAGTCTTCATAGTCACCGGTGGCTATAGCGGAGTTGGATTTGAGCTATGCATTATTCTCTACAAAGCAGGTGGTAGAGTTTACATCGCCGGTCGCTCCAAAGAGAAGGCATTACATGCAATTGAAAGAATCAAAGCAATCTCCAAGTCATCCTCTGCAGGTGCAGACATTATCTTTCTCTTTCTCTCTCTGGACGACTTGACCACAATAAAACCAGCCGTGCAACAATTTATTAGCGCTGAATCACGCCTGGACATTCTCTTCAACAATGCAGGTATATCCAATCCTCCCCAAGGATCCGTCTCGCCTCAAGGTCACGACCTCCAGCTGGCGACAAACTGCCTCGGGCCACATCTTCTTACACAGCTCCTGCTGCCTGTCCTTCTGCATACGGCCAAAAGCATTCCTCCTGCTGGTGTTCGAGTGATATGGACAGGATCCCTCGTTGTCGATATCTCTGCGCCAGTCGGTGGATTGGAAATATCAGAGCTTCTTCGAAAAGAAACAGATCCAGCTCGCAATTACATAAACACCAAGGTGGGAAACTGGTTTCTGGCAAAGGCTTTGGCAGGTCAAGTTGGCGCAAGTGGCATCTTAAGCGTGGTACAAAATCCAGGGAATCTGAGAACAGATATCGCCCGGCATTTTTCAGTGATTCTTCGGTGTCTCGTAGCACCGCTGGCATATCACGCTAAATTCGGTGCGTATACTTCGCTTTGGGCGGCTTTTTCTCACGAGCTTAAAATTGCTGATGGAGGGAGCTATATTATCCCCTGGGGTCGTTTCCATCCCTGTCCAAGAGATGATTTGTTGCGAGCCATGGAAACGAAGCAGCAAGGGGGGACTGGGTCTGCGGATACGTTTGTGCAGTATTGTGGCGATCAGGTTGCAGACTATCTAGCATGAGAAGTCTTTTCCTGGTTGGTCTAAGCGGGAGTACGAACATTCAGCTTGGCTCTCATTCGTTTCTATGGCTTACTCTACAAATGGATATTGAAATAACTGCAAGTGCCAGACTGCGTTCGATTTTATCTGTTACGCCACTCGTATACTAGCTAACAAACGGTGCTCTTAACGCCATGAAGTCCTTCTGAATCAGACAAGTCCTCCGTCATTAGAACTTGAACCATTCCATCAAACCAGAAATGCAGACATAAATGCAAATATAAGTGCAAAATGCAATTTAGAAATCAACAGAAAAAAAAAGAAGAAGATCATTCTTCATGTTCCTGGAGTGTCCACAGCGTGGCACTTGGTCTCCTCCACGCACGCGGTTGTTCAGAATGGCATCTTCGATGCCGTCTCTCAGCCACGAACCTCGCCGCATCGGCACCAGATAGCGTCGACCTGCCCCTATCTGAGCCAGCACCCAGCGGTACCAACGCCTGAGGTTGTATCAAAGTAGACAGATTGGGATCACCGGTCATATTGGAAGGAACCACGAGCAACGACTGAGTTTTATTCAACGGTGGCCGACGAATAAGTCTGCGCAATACACCGCGATGAACATTTTTCCGGGTATCGACCGGCGACGCCGACAACTGGATTCCATCATTTCTTTCCCTGGAAGATCGGAACCAGAGTCTAGTCATCCGTCTTGGTGGTCGGACTATACCTGCCATCTCGGTATCATCTCCCAGTACGTCCTCTGTGAGGAGTGGTATGGTGGTAGCTTGGGGGAATGAGCGCTGGATGTAGTTTGCAGGCCCTCTACCTGGCTTCGAAACATGGAGATCGAGGCCGCGAGGCTCCAGCATACACAGCTCTGAACCGCAGTGTGGCCAGGTGTGGTGCCTTCTGTGGTGGCGGGTGTGCGGCATGGTGGGATATGTAGTGGTATGCAAGGTATTCGGTGGTTGAGAGTAATAGATAGTAAAGTCGGGTTTATCCCTTTTCCATGGTGAAAGAATAAGTCAAAGCCGAGTGTTTGTTTGTTCCTTGTTGATATGAAATGTGGAGAATGTGGAGGAGAACAAGCATATATATCTTCCTAATAACTAGTACGATTTTCTAAAAGCAGTTGACTAGTCTACGCGTGAAGGGCTAAAAACTACCGAGAGAGGGCCCAAGTGACTCAGGACTCAGCTGTGGGTAAAAATGACCCGGGTGCTTATAGATCAGAATGCTGGGGAGGCGAAGTGCAACATTCAGATTTGTCGAATAATGGATCAGGGACGAAAGACAGGCGGGCAAAAGTAAAACCTTGTGCAAGCACTCCTGTCGAAAGCCGTTATTTGGACCAATACAGACGGGGGAAATGAATCATTGAAACTGAATTAGCATCTTGCGCCTTGTCGGGCGGATCTTCAGGTGGGAGGAATGACCTGCTAACCTGATGTGGTCAAGAGGACGGTCCGCATAGCCAGGCCCCGGTCGCATGACGGTTTTTAACAATCTTATTTGGAAGTGAATTTAATTACAAAGTAAGAAGCACTTTAAAGACTCGGGCTTCACTATTGCTTCCTTTCAAGGGTTTTACATTTGTGAAGTAATCATCCAAATGGCTCTCAGAACATAACGTCAAAGATGGCCAAATGTTCCATCAACCAGCCAAGTGGTCGAGCAGTAACTCGGTCATTCAATCTTCCTTGGTCTAGTGGTGATGATTTCCGCTTGTCATTAAAACCGATAAGCGCGGGAGACCGGGGTTCGATTCCCCGAGGGAGAGTTTCTTTTTTTGTTTTGCATTTGGCTTTTTATTTACTTCAGGAACACATTGACAGAGAGAGTGCTTCCTTCCTCTCTTTCTCTTCTTCTGTCTTTTTTTTATGAATTCTCTGATTGTTTTGTTGTTCCAAAAATTGCCCCAGGCTGCCCTGCTGGTTAAGCCCTAAATCCAGCACTAATGGACCTAGTTCCAGTTTCATAAGAAAAGCTCTTACATTTGAGCCCCCTTATTTCCACTAGAGCAGGCAGCACAGGCAGCAGAAGCATCGCCAAGCACTCGCTTGGAGAACACCAGTGATGTTGTGGCTTTACGATGCAGCGCTTCATGGCTGGGCCATGATGGAGCCGCTCATGACCGGAACCGCTCTTCCCCCCAGGTGTAGCGCCTCCAGCTTCCTTGCCCCATCTAAGCCCTTGCCAACCTCGACGTCAATCAGGATATTGCTGGCCCGTCCCATCTCAACACCCTGCGTGATCTCAAAGCTGACCGACTGCTCCTCCAGTTCATGCAGGCTCAGATAGCTTGACAGCGCACACGCCGCGCTTCCCGTGGCCGGGTCCTCTACTGTTTGATTGACCATCCTCGTGCGGATCCTATGGACTACCCTTCCGCCGACCCGCTCGGTGCCGAGCCGGACAAAGTAGTATCGCCGCGTGACCCAGCCATCACGCCAACCGTCATCTAAAAGCTCCGCGGGCAGCTCAGGTAGAGCGCCTACCCACACGGCGCCCAGCAGGTCGAGCGACGGCAGCTCGATAAGCGCAAACGTCATGCCCTTGACTATACTGAATAGCGGTGCAAGGCGCTCCACCCTCGCAATCTCGGCCTGGGACACAGGGAACGAACCCGGGTCAGGGCCCGGCAGACGTCTCTGGTGCAGCCTGACATTATGCGGGATCGCGGCCCGGAGGGCACCACCCGCCGCCGGCTCGATATTGATAGGCCCTACTTTTGCAAGCAAGGTCCGCACGCCGTTCGGGTGAAGCAAAAAGGCCGTGCCAATCGTCGGGTGGCCGGCAAATGGTATCTCCTCCTGTGGCGTAAAAATGTCGAAGCGCCGCTCGCCTGTCGCTGGGGGTTCTCAACGTCATGCACAAAGACAGTCTCAGATAGGTTGAATTCCCTGGCGATGGCCTGCTTCTGGGCCTGCGTCAAGACTATGCCTGGTGGGATCGTCACCACTGCGAGGGGGTTGCCCTTGAAGCGCGTTTCGGTGAACACATCAAGGGTGGTGAAGGGCAGCGCCATCAGGAGAGGAAATTGCGATATTTCCTCACGGCTTATCCACAACACAAGATAAATTGTCCGCAAGATAGATTGAATTATATCCTTCTGTTTGCAAACCAAATATATGCTTGGCTGGGTTGTTGGATTTTTGGGGCCGGGGGAGGGGAGGGGGAGGGGCGGAGTATGGGGCCAAGAGACTGAGGTGGGAATGAGTCAAACAGTAACTAGTTCATAGTGTTGTTCCAGTTTTGCAGTACAAGACCGAGAGCACGGCGTGAATCATTTACTATACCAAACATAGCCTAGCGCTTCTTGGTATTAGGGGTTGAGAAACAATTGAAGAGTGTAGATGGCGACACCGATTTCCGGAAGTCCTGTATCTATCCCCTGAAATGCCATCTCAAGAATATCTCTTCGGAAGTGATACGGAAGAGTCCAAGGAGCCTCTTCCAGCACTCCAAGCCGCAGTCGACACGGGTGAAGTGGACACTGTGCGCCAATTGGCATCCACCGCGGACCCTGCAGATCTGACTGCCGCCCTGTGCCGATCGTGCCAACTCGGTAACAAAGCCCTCGTCGAGGCTCTGGTTGACACTGGACGATGCGACATCGATGCAGCCGCAGATGGAGAAACCCCTCTCTTTCTAGCCGCGCGCAAAGTTGACCCGAGTATTGTCAAGTACCTCCTCGAACGTAATGCCGACATATCCGTCAAATCTATGGATCGAGGCCGTCAAAGGGGCGCTCCAACAAGAACGCCCCTCCACGGCGCGGTCGAAGATGTGCGTTACCGCAAGAACCCGGAAAACCTACTCCGGCTGGAGGTGGTAATAAAGTTACTGCTCGAGGCGGGATGCGACATCAATGCACAAGATGTACACGGCTCGACTATACTTCTGCGCTGCCTGGGCGACGAAATCCCAGTAATTGAGCTTCTCTTACAACACGGAGCAGACCCCAACATCCGAGGCAGCAAGGGAGACACACCAATGCACTATCTTCATAGCCCTCTTGAGCACCCGGAATGGCTCGGAGCTCTCATGGCACATGGGGCGCGTCTAGACATTCCCGAGGAAGAAGGAAAAGGTTACACCCCTCTGCATAGGTTCGCGTCTAGGAGCCAGCTGGGCGATCTTTCGTTGTTCAGACCCTTTGTACCTGACTGGAATATCATCGATGCCAGGGGAAACACACTTCTTCATGTTGCGACCAAGCAACATCGCAAAGGAAGCGTTACTCTATCAGAATTGTTAAAGGCTGACCTTGATCCGAATCAGAGGAACCATGACGGACAACAGCCTATACATATGGTAGATGGCAGTGGAGACAACCTGACCGATGCATTGGATATTCTCTGCGCAGCCGGTGCGGATGTTGAGGCTAGAGACTCTCGAGGACGTACGCCACTCACCAGGACCATGTGTGGCTATCCTCGATACAACTCTCGCGAGCTTATCCAGACATTTCTTCATCGCGGGGCCAATATCAACGCGCAAGACTACAAAGGCAATGGTATCCTATGGAATCTCATTGATGGCAAATTCCATTCCGAGTACCTGGACTTTCTACTCTCCCTCGGGGTGAACCCCAAAATGACAAACTATAAAGGCGACACATTTCTGCATCATCTTGCAGCAAACTACGCTGATGGCGTTATTGATCAGGAGAGGCTTATCCCAGCCATGAAAAAGATGGTTGACCTGGGTGTTTCCCCCACTCTTCCTAACTTCAAGGGCTGGACAGCTCTACATGCTCTGTGCAGTCAGGTCTCGGATCATTTCTTTGCGGCGGCCGCGGAGGGCGGGAAGTCTGCGATCGATTTGCTGTTGGATCTTGGTCTTGATGGTGCTATAAACACGGCTGATCACCAGGGCATTCGGCCCATTCATCTGGCAGCTACGACCTCGGAGATACTGGTCGGCAAGCTAATTACCCGTGGAGCCGATCCCACAGCTACCACGAATGATGGGCGGAATTTACTTCACATCGCCTCCACTGCGCGGCAAAGCAACATAGTAGGATTGCTGCTGGAACACTATGCCTCTTTCAATCAGACCGCTCTGATCAATGCGAAGTCAAAGGACGGACGGACACCTCTCCATGCAGCCTGCCGATCCGGAAGGTTGGAGACGGCGGCTCTATTGCTCGCTCACGGAGCAGATGCCAGCGCTCAAGACGAGCGAAAACAGACTCCAATGGATGTATGCAGCGAGTTCCCCGACGAGGACAAGCTGTGGCAAAGTGCCGACGACCAAGAAAACATGTTCCACACGTTCACTGCAGCTGGGATCCTGTCAGAGGACAATACAAGGCCAAGGCAGCCCTCATCCCGCAACAAGAAATTGCGCCACAATGCCAAACGTGTCGGGTGGAAAGGAGAGCTCACCTCTGAAACTTCAACCATTAGGATCGGACCTATCGTTCGACTTTTGGCGTCTAACAGTGGCATCGTTAAAAAAGAGCGGTTTGCCGTTGGCCCGATGTTCCATGCCGTTGAATGCGACGATGAGCAGATGGTTGTGGAGCTTGATAGAGTATCACAAGAGATGAACATCCCGCTCGAAAATCACAGGCCCCTTGAAACCGAGACTATCCTGGCGCGCTCTAGGAATCTCCCAGGCATTCTGGAGGAGGGATTCAAGGGCCATATTTTTGAAGGTGGCCTCTTGTCCATGGTGTTACGTGGCCATGAACAAGAGTTGGCACAGGCCTTGGAGAAGAATGCTTCCAGCGATGTGAACTGGGCCAAGGATCAGACCCGTCTGCCGGAGATCCTGGTCACTCTCGCGAGATGGGGATACGCGGAACTTTTTGAGCGCATTGGATCTCTCATACCAGGAAATGATTGGATCAACAGTGGAAAGGCCAATGTTTTGGGCGAGGAGCCCATTAGCCATCTTCTGGCGGCCGGGATGCGCCATCTTCCCAACTTGGAAGTTATCAAAATCATGGTTGAGAAATTCAATGTGGACGTCAACGTTCAGTTCACAAGTAACATGCAGCTCAAACCCAAGGTCTATTACCAGTCCTCAATGGCCCAGCGGCGGCAGTACAAGGAGGGTGATACAATCCTCCATTACATCGCCCAAGGCGAGCATTGGTGGCATGTAGGTGCAATCAAGTACCTTCTAGAGCACGGGGCCGACCCCAACATCCGCAATAGCCAGGGCAAGACACCGCTGTGCAATGCAGTTGCAAGGGGAGAGCTAGCCGGCCACCGGCAGCGCGACATCACTCAGATCCTTCTAGAGGGCGGCGCCGATCCTAACATCCCTGCTTCATGTGGTTACACGCCATTAGCCATGTCAGCACACGATACCCAACTGTTCCAATTACTGATCGACAACGGCGCCTATCCTTCCCAGTATCACCCCATGGAACTATTCGCCGCATTGGCAAGCTTCAACACCGATGTCCTCGAAGCTCTCCTGAACATGGACCTGGACTGCAACACAACGGTACTATCCGACGCCCAGCCTCACTGGCATACCCCCCGCTTCAGAAAAGTCCCCTCAAGACCGACATGGATCATGAGCCCGCTCCTCTACATCTCCATGCTAGCATACAATGAGGCCAACACGCGCGACAACGCCATCGGCATGATCAAAACCCTGATTGAGCATGGCGCCGATCCCTACCTGCCCTGTGACGATAACAAGATAATTCTACACGAACTATTTGAAAACGGAGGAATCATCCAGCCGTGGCTTGAAATGCCTGGCCTCGATCTCGAGCGTCGTGATCCCAGGGGACGGACGCTACTGCTAGCTGCTGCAAATGCTCCTTTCGGCGTCAAATCGTATGTCAGTATAGCGCCCATTTTCCCGTTGCGTAGCGGTAAAATCATATCGTCAGGGTGGCTAAAGGGTGACCGCACACGTGCAATGGCGTTGTATGAATGTGGTGCAAATCTTACTGCCGTCGATTACAAAGGAAATAATGTTCTTCATGGTCTGGCAGGGCTTGAAACAAACGATATGACCTGCGAGGCCGAAATCAGGCGGACATTGTCTTTATTTGTGGAGAAGGCTCCGGAGCTTGTGAGCCAGACTAATGTGGAGGGAAAGACGCCTCAGATGATTGCCGAAGAGCAGGGGGCTGAATGGGCCAAGGAAGTCCTTGAACAGGGTGGAGTTGGCGCGTAGTAACTGTATATCGATTGTTAGATACCAAATACCAATAATCGTTCAATATTATTAACTAGGATTGAAAAGTAGATTTGTTTGAAATTAGCCGTAGGCGAAGATATACTTATCAATATTGGCCTTAGCTAGGGATCTCAGGGCTCACTCGGGCCGTTACCGTCACTTCAGTACCCTGGTTAACACTATTAGAAGAGCGAAGGCGCAACCACTGGACGGTCATGCTATATGGAAATCCCAAAGTTGAGATAGACACTCGCTAAACTGTCCTTGTCTACTTTCTATAATCTTATGTCTACTATATCGTGTCCATTATGGATATACAGTACCTGAGTTATCTGTTTACTTCTCCGCATATCTGAAAATAAAATGACGTCAATCCCCACACTTTCACGCTAAGCAGACGTCGCTCGATAAGCAACACCAAGCCTCTCTCTCCTCCGCACCCACCCCAGAGTTGTTGAAGATGAGCGATGGTCAAGATATTCCGGGGAGTTTAATGACGAGAACCACGATCCCCAGACCCCTGACGATGGACTTCAATCGTCGAGCCTAACACCGGCACTGCCACCACGCACCCAATGGAAACCGTCGTCACGGACCGTGGATGAAACACTTGCTCAAGGACTATCAAATGAGGATTTGTGGATGCTACTTCGGCGATTTGACAAGGTGGAGTCTGTGGTACCCTTGCCGGGATGCAAAGCTGACGCGTGAGCAGCAAATCTACCATGTCAAAGCCGTACACGATGTCGCTGCGTTGAACTTGGACCTCAACCGCACGGAAAACGAACAATTCCCACCCGAGAAACTGCGGATGACCTTGGAACGATTCTATACGTCTGTTATTGTTGGTGTGACCGAATTTATCCGGCATATCACTCGACTGCGATCATGGAAAGAACCTGTGCGGACGTCGCTTTTCTGTGGGGTAGGTCAATTCTCTGCAGGACAATGAACCAAGAACTCATGAGACCAGGGATATTTCATCGCATGGGCTGTCGACCTCCTCATTCCGACCATACTGGGTCTTATAGTCGCTTTGATAATGGTCCCGCCCGTCCGCATACTACTATTCCCGGGCATTGCCACGAAGGAGGGAGCCGATAAATCGAACGGGAGAGGCTCTCCAACAGGCCAGCCTCAATCCCAAGATAGCCTGACAGGAGTTCCAGAGAACCACAAGGGTGAAGCTGCCGAACAAGAGGCAAGAAATCTTGTTGACAGCTTTGCTACTGTTGCAATGGAGAGTGCGGCGGCTAAATACGGCCAAACAGTTACGGAGGAAGCGCCCGATAGACCCTTGATAACTGATGGAATAGAGGCCGCGGAAGCTGCCGCAGAATCTCCGAATGGTGACGCTCCTGAAGACAAAACTAAGAAACCCATGAAAAAGAAGGTTTCGCACGCGACTGATCAGGCAATGCGAGTGTTGAGCGATATCACCGATGTCTATGAGAAGTTCGCCAAGTGAGTACTTTCTAAACGGCGATAGAGTAAGTGACTCAGCTAACAGTGTTATAGCCTCCTTTCTCCAACACCTCCTTTCTTTTTAGTTTCGTCTAGATTGCGCCTCGCAAGTATTTTTGTTTTAATATCTGCGGTTGTACCCTTCACATCTAGTTATTGGATCATCAAGCTCGTTGGTTTTACTGTTGGGTTGGGCTTTTTTGGTGACCCGGTATTTACGTATACCGTGGATCTACTGAATAGAAAGGTTCCAAATTGGAAAGACCAATTGGATTTGCAAAAGTAGGATTGCCTGTCTTTGCCGGCCTGCGATTGGTTTACTCACAACACATGCAGGACACTTTTGGCCGGCGTCCCAACAAATGCACAACTCACCCTGACACTTCTTCGCATTGGCGAGATTAACTCCACCCCACTGCCACCCCCTCCAACTCCCGAAGACAATGATCGTGTTTGGCCTATCCGAAGGAAGAAGTCGCAACCAATCTCGTCAGAGCTCACCGCACAGGGTTCGTCTACTAGCTTGCAATCAACTAACTCTGATATGTCACTCCCGGAAACCAAACCAAAGAAAAGAATGGTCTTCAGAATTCTCAAGTTTTTCCGCCGCACCATTGCAACAGCAATCAAGGGCCATATCGCATTTGACCGCGCAATGGCAATTGCAGGGTCCGCACATACCAGAAACCTGATCGACATGCTGCAAAAGCGACATTTTGCCGCCACACCCTACGGGCCGTTGAAATTCGATGCCAAGTATGAGCGTAAGAGAGGCGCTGCGGTCATTGACTCGTCAAAGGAACCGCCTATCCTGTATTTCACAACATACCAGTCCTCCGGATTGGACGACCTACGCATCGAGAGTCGAAAGAAGGGATCTGTCTTGTTCCAAATTCCTGTCACCGAAATTAAAGAATTAAAGAAGACAGAAGGACTTGGGTGGAAGGGCAAGTTGATTGTCGAATTGACGGCTGGCAGCAAGGAAGCTGCAGATGGGCTAGTCATTGCTGGCGACGAGCTTGGTCAGTCTTACCATCTTACTGGTATGAGATCGCGGAACCAGCTTTTCAACAGACTCGTTGCTATTGATGCACAATTTTGGGAAAGCCGTTAAGTTCCAGGTGGCTTCATTGGCCTGGAATGCTGGTGTGGAATAGGATCTCCAGGGATACAAGGAGCCACTGCTGCAGAAACCACGTAAATATTCGTCAATGTAGTATGCTAGTGGTAGAAATTTACACTTACTATCGCTCGGTCATAAACGGTGTGGTCGCCTCATGAATCACGAACCTTAGCTTTTCGGATTATAGTATAAATACCAGGAAGTATGTAGAACTCAGATTTCATTTTTCTTCTGGCCAATTTACATGAGTTGAGTCCAAAACGCTGGTTAATTAGTCTAATTTCTATTCTATGCTATAGGAACTTGGGCAATTGCTGTCCCCGCTGAACGGCTAGAAACTCTTCCCTCTCTAGCTTCACCCAAAGAAGATTTGTAAAAGACGTATAGCGAAGCTTGCACTGACCTAACTCACCTTTACTTATTTGAAATAGAATCGAAACAGTACCTTCTTTATTCCGAACATTGGAGTTCTTTGGACTTCGAGCTGTAATATTCATCATGTCGGCGTCGTACCACGAATACAAGGCAGACGTGGAAAGACAACACGTTTGTGCCTTTTGATGAGTGAATGAATTCAGAAGGGAGGGAAATGGTGAGCCAACTGTCTGGAACGGAGTCGTCCCAGCGAGCGGATTCTGCGTATAAATTCACTTTCCGATGGAGCTTATACATACACTCAGATCGCACGTGTGTACCATGATCTTTGATCTAATATCCTCAATATAATTCCGTCGTGTTCCCATTTGACCCTTTGCCAGAAGCTCATTCCATCACCAATATCAAGACCTTTGAATTATATCAGGAGGTTCTTTAACCGTTGCAACGTTGTAAAGCAAGTGCCGAGGGATCGTTGGAGTGTCTGTTTGCAAACTTGAACCACCTTCTCAAAGAATGATGCGTGTGAGCTCATGTCATCGCCAAATGTGCGCATGGTGCCTTGTAACATGCCCAGATCAGCTACTAGCTTACTGAACCCATCCGGGTTATGTTTTGCAACGGCATGGCATTCATCGTGGAGGTCCCATGTCAGCTTGGTGAGGGCGGGGATATCGACGACACCGAAACTTTACGCCATGGCTATATGGCGTGAAAATTAAGCCATGTATCTCTTAAGCAAACCAAAAAATGTATGAGATTGAGTTGTGGTCTTCCCCATCATCTTCTTCAACAAGGCTAGAGAAAAACGTCTCAAGCCGGGGTAACCAGAGAACATATGAGAAAGCATTGCTCGGGGTGACAAAACGAGGACTGATAAGCCCGTACAGGAGAAAGAATAAAGAAAGGCCTCGGGGAATGGCTGCAAAGCATCCCCAGCCAATCCAGGGCCGGGGGCTGATTCGAGTCTTCGATGGTTGCACCCAATGCTCATATTATCGCTCAAGCCAGCCAGTCACACAGCATATCCGCCGAGCTGCCGTGTTTCCATTGGCCAGATCGGGCTCTGTTTGTGCTTAGGTCCGCATATAGAACCATGTCCATGTACGAGGATGGCAGAAGGTTCTTTGATCGCGGACGCCATCAGGCTGTTTTCCTCCAGGCAAACAAGAAGCTTCTATAGTGCCATCCACCAACTAACCGGGCATCTGACGTGAATCTGATTAGCGACTAGAGGGATCTTCATAGTTTTGGTAGGAACTTTTCTCCAGCTCTCGAAAATTACACTAGACAAGCGGAGTCCTTTGTACTTGTCTGCGCTTCTCAAGGTTGCTCAACCAAAAGAACACCGAAGATGCAACGAATTGGCCAATAGAAATCGTGCCATTCATGTGAGACAAAGGGAAGTTTGTCCAAATGACCGACAGTTGCAACGGAGAGGTTTACATGTAGTTGCAGAGAGACCATGACCCACCTGCTGCCTGAGGCAGAACAAAATGTTGATCTCATCAGCCCCTAATTCTTTGTTTCTTTTCAAAGTCTCCCCGTTAATTGTCGACCACTTCTTCAAAGCATGATACGCACCTGAAACTGTCAACCTCCATCAGGCTGCCACATCCATACCCTGGCCCTCCGAAAGAAGCCTTCTCCACCCCTGCGCGATATCTCGAAATAACAACCTCCACTACCACCATGTCATCCACGGCTTCGTTCACTCTGGATGTGCCAACAGTCCTTTGTATTGCCTTTTCTCTGTCATTGATGCCAGTGGCCTATTTTCTGAGCTCGACACTTGTCCCAGCCAACAAGACGCGCGACCGCGTCCTGTTCTTCTGGCACGCCTACGATGCCCTCACCCATATTTTTATTGAAGGCTCCTTCCTCTACGAGTGCTTCTTCAGCTACACAACCGTTGTCGGAATCAACCATGTCGAACCCTTCTTCCTAAACCGCCCAGATCGCATCTATGGCCCGGCCTACGGCACAGGTCCTAGCTCACGCCTGTGGCAAGAGTATGCGAAGGCGGATCGCCGCTGGGCTGGCGCTGATTTGACCGTGGTGTCATTGGAACTGTTGACCGTCTTCCTTGGTGGCCCAGCTGCAATTTACATCTGTTACCTGCTGTATCGCTCTTCCAACCAGAAGATCAGTGCTAAGTCCCGTGGTGGTGTCAAAGCCACATTATGGCTCGTTTCGACTGCACTTGCCACTGCAGAGTTGTATGGTGGTTTCATGACTTTTGCGCCGGAGTGGTTGACCGGTAGCTCCCAACTGGCTACTGAGGACCCCGTCTACCTCTGGCTGTACCTCTTTTTCTTCAACACACTGTGGGTCTTCATCCCTCTATGGGTGCTGTGGGAGGCGGCCAAGGAGCTCCGCACTGCCTTTGTCTCTGCAGAAATCCATGTCGAGAGCAAGAGTCAGTGAGATGGCTGGGTTGAGGTTTGCCAGAAAACTGAATTGGAATACTTTCACTTGGACGAATTTAATGATTGATACATCTATCTTGGTATTGACATGACATATCTGAGTCGTTTAGATTACTCGGGGATAGTCAATGTTAGAAAAGCTCGACGTAATTGATCCATATTTGTGGCTTCTGAGTTAGAGCCTAGGAATTGCAAAATTAAGCCGGCGAAGTCAAACGCTCTTATACTCAGTTCTCAATTGCTAGCCATTTCCTAATATGGAGACCGTCCTCCGTGTTTCCGACCCCAAATACGCATGTATCAGCCATCTACGTGAAATTGGTCTTGAGGCTTTTCGTGAAGGACATAATGTCAAGTCCGGGCCCGAGTCCACCAAGCAGAGGACCAGGCGAGGTAAGAGTGAAATGAATAGCACAAGTTAAGGGTTTTATCTTTGCGAGCATGACCTCATTCAAGCAACTGACTTTACAAAGCGAGCATTTCCCAAGAAAAGATCGGTCAATTCATCGTGGGGATACACTCTCCTAAGTACTGGAAAAAATGCCTCTTAACTATGCGTCTTGCATTAAAATTCTGGACTCGGACCCCCGGACCGTTCTTGTGCTCTCTTATTCCTCCTCTACTGACCTCCAATGGCTCGTCCAGCTTGGCTGTCTGTGCTTCCCATCTTAAGCCGACGCCACATCCATTGTAAGCTGGCAGACTGCAACTTGCGGGAGGGATTACTTGGAAATTCCATCCAGATAAATACAGGGGAAGAAAGAAGAAAGACAAAAGATATATGAAAGTCCGGGATGAACTCATCAAAACAATGATAGCTCTCCACAGTCAGACCTTATGCGTTCCCCGGTCCTTCTCCCAAAACCAATGATAAAAGCTCTTCCACTCAGCAGCCTCATCCTCAACATAATCACCCACCAACTCCGCAGTCTCATTGACGTCATCAGAGAGATGCGAGACAGGAACCTTCAACCCAGAAGAAGCATCAATACCAGAAGCCTCCTTACCCGCATCGCCAGTCTCAGCAGCACTCGCCGAATTAGAAGTCATATCAACAGCCACGCCCCCAGACGTCCCAGCCAGGACCCCCTCTGCACCTTCTTTTGTGCGTTCGGCTAGATCTCGCGCTCCCTCTCGCGCAATCTCAGTATACTCCTCTGCCTGCTCGCGCGCACGCTCGATGAGTTCCTCTGGAGAGGGATAGCGGCGCATTAGCATTAGAAGGAGATAGTAGCTCTTGATAATGGAGGCGTAGACGGCGTCTTTGGCTAGCATTGTGAAGCCGTGCGAGAAGAAGCCCTTGAGGACTTCACCCTGGAGACCGGCGTAGAGGGCTTTGAAGCCGTCTTTGCGGGCGATTGTTATAACTGTTGAGATTATCTGGGGAGTGAGGGTGTTGGGGAGGGATGATTGCGATGCGGATTGTGGAGATCCAGATTTGGATGTGGACTTGAGGACTTGAGCTCTGGTCTTGGCAAGGGAGAAGGGATATGTAATAGAAGAAGCGGCGACTTTGCTCAGCGCCGCGAGAAGAAAAGTCACAGCTGGCGAGGGTTTATCACGCCTTGCGCGTGGTAGCAGAGCCCGCTTCAGGAACTCATTTAGGAAGAAAGTGAGAGAAGGGTTCAGCGTCAGGATCAGGGTAGCCGAATACCCAGACCAGAAACCCGCAAGACCCTTCTCCTTCAGAATCTGCGAGGCGATATCACCCGTCGATAGACTCTTCTTATTGCCCTTTGCCCGCGCAGCAGAAGTCTGCTTCCGGGCAACAATATTCGACAACGGCGTAGTGAACAACTTAGCAAACGAGCCAGCCAGAATGCCAACAGTGAGCTCATCAAATACAGGAAGTACAATATTCTTACCCCTTGCCGCTCGCTCAGCACCTACACGCGCAACAATCCTTTTCTGTCGAATAGCGCTATAGGCAAGGAAGAAAAGAAACGAGTCGGCGACTGTCTTCCACGTATCTTGCACAAGACCGGGATAGAAGCCGCCGATACCCTGCTGCTGGTATATTTTGCGAGCGGCATCGAGGACACTAGTATATTCTTCCTCTTCTTCGTCACTGTCATTGTCCGATTTCTCGGTCGAGTCAACATCTTTTCGTTTCTGAGTTTGAAGCCGCGCTACTATCACATTCAGTGGGTAGACGACGACATTGGAAATGGCTGCGCCGACGGCGCCGGCTGTTGCATTTCCTAGAGCTGGGAGTGCCGGACCGCGGCCGGCGGCTGATTTCCAGTCGCGTGGATCGTGGGTCTCGAAGCGGTAGGATGGATGGTAGACGTCCTGTTTGTTTGTGTGTTAATGTTAGCTGATAAGGATGCGGAGTAGGGGTTGGGTTGGTATGGGGGGTGTAGTGCAGGTATGTGGGGATGTAAATGTACCAGTTGGGACTCGTATGAGAGCTTGTATTCTGCCATGACTGGATGACTAGATGAGGTGATGAGAACAAAGGACTTCACCTGTGGTGAGTCCGGGGTTCAATGGGATTAATGCTGATAGGGGTGGATTGGGGCCAGTCAATCTCGGAGCCTTGTATTAAGTGGTAAACATGAGATGGACAAGGATGTAGTAAGTCCGTATTGACACAATGAGCATGGAAGAACAACCCTTTATACGAATGTGAAGGCCGAGGTTGAATTGCGGAGAGATCGATTACATCATGCAGATCATGTGGTCTGTGCTATCGGGCCATACTCAACTGCATCGTATTTACGGAGTGCAACTAGTATTTCATCTACTAAGAAACCACAAGACTGACGGCTATTGTTCATTTGCTCTCACGTAGGAGATACGAAAGAAGCACATCAACTAAGGACTCAACCGTCCAAATAAACCCCGGGTCCCACCCATGGAATAGACGACCGAATCCAACCCATAAACCCCATAACCGATTCATAGCGATCAAAAAAGAAAACCATCGCACCATAGCGCATTAAAAACCAAGCCAAAGAAAAAGCAGGAGCAAAGGCACAGGGAGTAACTGTATCCCAACCACAAAAGTGATCAGATTTAACCACCGAAACCGTAGAGGGTACGGCCCTGGCGCTTGAGAGCATAGACAACATCAAGCGAGGTAACGGTCTTACGCTTAGCGTGCTCGGTGTAGGTGACAGCGTCACGAATGACAGACTCGAGGAAAGTCTTGAGGACACCGCGGGTCTCCTCGTAGATCATGGCGGAGATACGCTTGACACCGCCACGGCGGGCGAGACGGCGGATGGCGGGCTTGGTGATACCCTGGATGTTGTCGCGTAGAATCTTGCGGTGGCGCTTGGCACCGCCTTTGCCGAGGCCTTTGCCGCCCTTGCCGCCTGTGTATTTGTTAGTTTATATGTCAGGGTGGTGTGAGTGTGACCTAGGGTGTGTAGACAGGGATGTAGAGACGGTGAGGTCAGGTTAGGAGGGGTATATTGTGGGAGTGGAGGGGAGGTGGTTGTATGGCGAGGTCATCATAAGATGGCCGTGATGTATAGCCCTTGCCCAGATAGGCAAGGTGTGATGCAAGTGGGAGCCTGAGGCAAGATCACGTGCATCCCAGGGGCATCACCACATCCCGATCGGGCATTTCAAAGACGACAACACGACGACGTAGAGGTGTAGCGAGCGAGAATAGGGAGAAATACATACGTCCAGACATATTTTCAGTCGATTAAAAGATGAAATGAATAAAAAAATGTGATGGAAGACGTCGAGATGCGTCTTCGTGGATGAAAAAGACGCGGTGATTGGCGATGGAGAGAATGGGAAAAGAGAAAAATCAATAAATGGCGGGCGGGAGAGGGGGAGACACTTAAATAAGGGAAAGGGTGGGAGTTGGGGGGTTTAGGTAATCTCCATTCTGCAATGCGGCGGTCATTGGCGACCGGGCGGGCAGGAAAAAGGGCGTTATGAAGGGTCGGTTTCCAGCGCGTCAATCAGACATGGCCGAGCCCGCATTTTCCAGCGTGGAGCGGTATTGATAGTCACGTGGCGATAACAGTTATCCGACTGACGATGGTATGTTTCAATCACGTGGTGATAGTGATGTTGGTATATTTCAATACATACCAGCTCTATTGAACTATTGCCTACCGTTATACATACTACAATAGTTGCTCCAGTCGTGTTCATCATGTCTCGTGTCATTCAAAACTACGCAATGCCTCTCGGGCAGTCATGTATCAGTATCTTTGCATGTTCGCATCTTCAACGTAAGACCACAAGAGTGGAACGTATTGCAGGAAAGCAGTCGGAAAGAAATCAAGAGGAAACAGCAAAGAAAAGTAAAACACAATTAACGCGAAAAAGAAACTCGAACAAAACTACCGGAACACCATGCAATATCAATGGAAACCCAGAATCTGCAATGCATCGAAATCAAGAGCGGAGGCGGGCAGACTAAAAACTTTTTGCGTGGAAAAAAAAAGTGCCATCTGAAAGAATAGCAAAGAATCGAAAATGCCTCGAAATCGTAACGTCATCATGCGTATGGGAACGGCATGTAAAAGTGGAAAAAACGTAAAAAAAAAATGAGGGAGGATGACCGCACAACTGAGATGGTCACATCGATAATTTCTCTCGATGCGAGGATGGCAACAAGCCAGGCAGCGAATGATGAATGAAATGTCCGCGGTTTATTATCCATCGCAAGACTGTCGTTCATAGACGAAGCTGGTCGGCCACTGACGAATAAAGAGGTTGGAAGGAAAACCATCATGGGATCAAAGGGCGCCAATAGGCGTGTTGATAAAAGGGATCGAAAATGAGTCAACGGATCTGTCCATATCCATGCAAGAACTCCCAGATTGTCTTCACAGACGTCAACGACATGCATCAAAGGCGGAGGAGAGTCATAGCCAGGGTTCAAGACAGTTATGAACAGACCATGTTTACTCACCCTCTAATCACGGTCGATGAGTGAGGGTCATTCATGAAGCCGCGATGAAAAGAATAGTGGAACGCCATTGGGGAAGGCGAGGGGCGTGGGGAAGTACGGGGACTGTGAGAGCGAGGCTCGCGAGGGGCCTCAATCACAGGGGCCTTGATAGGCGCCGGAGAGCGAGGCGAAAGTGGCGGTGAAAGGCACGCTGCCACAACGACGTGTTTCGGGGTCTCACCCTCCCGAGCGTTGAAGGTCGGGTTTGGGCTCGGTGCTGGAGCGGAGCCAAACTATTAATAGGTTAGTAGCTGCCCAAGTGTGATGTGGCACGGAAGACTCACGAAGCAATATTTATCGACCAGTTCCTGATACTTGGAAGACTCGAGGCGCGGCTTGCTAGATACCAGAGAGGAAGGTTTCAGATCTTCCGCACGACCGGTGCGGACGGTATCGCTCACTGCAGAAGCATGGTCCTGCGCAAAACCAGCTTTTTTGGTCGGCTTCTGCTCCACGGTCTCTCCAGACCTCGCACGGGCAGACAGGGCAGTCCGATCAAAAGATGACTTTGTCCTCATGGCAGCAGACAACGACGCTCCAAAGTCGTATCTGTTGCCGAATGCTTGGCGATTGGTGTTCTCGCGGCGCTTCGGCGGTGCGACCGTGTCGATCTCATCCGAAGGGTTCCGAGTCAAGGGAGCGCCATTGGCACCGTTGAAGGGATCCGAAAATGCCATCTTGTCGCCTAGGTCGGCGAAGTCATAGGTCGACGGCATTGAGTGGAGACGCATGGTGTGGGTGCTGGTGAACGATCGGCTCCGTGGGAGAGCCGGACGGGACGAACCAGCAGGCTTTGTCGGGTTCGCCTTGGGCACCTTGTGGAAGTCGACCTGATAGTTCATGGTGTTGTTGTTGTCCCAGTATTCCTGGCCACCCACGTTATAGCGGATGCACATGAACATGGTCTTCGACTCCAAGTTCGCTTGATCGTTCAACTTGATGTCGAATGAAAAGCGATCGTATCCGTCGACAGCCTGCTGGCGTCGAACATCATGACAGAATGTTGCAGCCACTTCCGAAGTCGTCCTCCAATAATCCAAAGTGAATCGAGCAGTCACATACTTCTGGAAAGCGAGGTTGGCCACAGCCACAGTTCCGACCAAAGTGTTCTTATCAGCTGACAAGAATAAACGTTCCAGACGAACCGGAGCGTGCGACGAAACATCCTTGGGCCAATTTGAAAGCCGAAGCTCCCAATCCCATGACGGACCTTTTGATTCGGTGCCACGACCAAATGGAAATTCCGCCTCAGTATCGTGGGTGTCCACTGGAGAGGTTTCCGTGCTCACAGCCAGGGGGCGGTCGAGCTGCAGGAAGTGTCGAATATGTTCCAACTGGGCGTCAAAGTGAACAGCCTTGGAATACACTGGAGTGCCAGGCATACTAGAAGGACGTCGTCGTGCCGACGCGGGCCGAAGAGCCGGGCGAACCAGTTCACCAGACTTCTTCCTGACCATCGGGGGCTTCGGCGACATCTCAGCATCACTTTCATCGGGCGAGCTCGTCAGGGCCTCTTCCCGGCTGAGGTCAATGGCGGTTTCGGTCGATGACCGCGAGTGAGTGATCTTACGAGCTTCTTTACATAACGGCAGATGAGCCGGCTTTGGGGGCTTTGACTCGGGAGCCATCGGCACACTCGATGAGGGCTTCGCCTCTACTTGCTCAGGGCCCATCCTTTCCGGGGAGCTCTCTCTCCTTAACTTGATTGATCGGACGGCCGCCTCGAGCTCGCCCAACCTGATACCCTCACCCCTGTATGTTGACTCCTCATCACTTGAGTTGGGTGCAGATTCAGGAGGCGAGATTACCGCCCCCGGGGGAATGATGGCATTGTTTAACGGTGGTGGGGACTGACGGAGGCTGGCATGTGGGTCGATGGAGGGAGAGGCGCGGGACGTGGGCTCCGAAGTGGAATGCACCGTCTTGGTATTAACCGAAGGACTCCTCCGATGCCGACGAGTATAGGATGTGGAGGAATATGATCGGGAGTTCTGCAAACGTCCCGAGGCGGAGCGATCCACGTTGGGTCGCTGTTCAGGTGAGTATTCGATGTGCTGCGCGGCGAGCAACGGCTTCAACGGCGCAGTGTATGGCATCCGGCCGACTTGTGTGCTTCAACACAAGGGGAGGGAAAGGTAGGAAGGACCAATGTTTAAACAAAGGAAGTCCTAAATCTCAGTGACTGGGAAGTGGCGGATCAGACATATGAGCCAAAATGAGGAAGGAATGGTGCCACTCGGGAAAGAACGAGTCAAAGTCTCACGCAGTGACACCAGAGGAAGAGCGAGAGAGAGGGATTATCAATCCTACCTGGACATTGAGTGGCGAATGCAATATCAAAAAGTATAAGTATAAAGTACAGTCAAAATGTACAAAAAAATGAAGAGTCGAAACCCCGGCCCGTTGAGAAGAGGCGATGGAGGGCGCTCAAGTATGTTATAGGTTATAGTGGGACCAAAGCCATTCCCGCTATGACCGTTGATAAGACTAGACTGATATTTCCGGTATTATAGCGTTTTTCTCAGGTCAGTGCACTGGATTATCTTTTTTTTTAACTTTTTTTTTTTTTGCTTTTTTCCTTTTTTTATATTATTTCCACCTTTATGCAGGCCATTCTAACTTCACATTCCTCGTACTCTACTTGTACACTATACCCCTATCTTCTAATTGCCACTTCCCAAATTCTCCGACATGTGAGCACGAGCGACGATCTCTATACGGGGCCACTAGCGGACTACAGAGCTCCCGTGTTCCCTGTTTTAGACCCGACGTATACTGTACAACATTCGCAACTCTATGGAGATCAGTAATTAAATTACGTGATGTATAGTTCTTCTTCTAGCTCTCCTTTACTTCAATTCTAGTACTTTGTTGCAGCGTTTACTTCTTCAAAGTGAACCCGCTCTTATCAGTCCGCGGAGAAGCCCGGGAAGGTTAAGCCAGCACCCAAGGTTGGATCAAAACCAGTTTGTTCTTTACACACAGGTAAGGGATGTACTACGCTGCAAGCGCTGGAAGCATAAGATCCACCCAGCCCTCCTAGTGTTCCCCCTTCGCGGCTACACTGGGGCTAGACTTGAACTGTACATATTTCTTTCACGTTAATTACAAAGAGAACAGAGTTCTTCCGATCGCGAACTATGGTCGGTACGGAAACACAAAACCCAGTACCCGGGTTGAACGATATTTAGTTGCGAGCTGGTATGTATGGAATTTTCACTGTGACGTGCATGGTGCAGTTATATGGCCATTTGGTGTGCTGTACTCCGGAGTTTGGTGGATCGACGAGGCGTAACATGCACTCCAGGCTCCACCGAACGTCCCACAAAGCCGGATCTGGAGATGTGGGTGAAGATATAGGAGATGATGTGATCGAGAGACATCGAATTAACATGAAAGATAGAGATTAGAGAGTACAGATTAGAGATTAGCATTTCACATTTCACATTTAACATTTAAAGATGTGGATTAAGAAAATCACGAATATATGATGCTACTTGGCTATAGAGTGGTATTACCACGGAGTGTATGACGTCAAACGTGTCTATGACAGTCTGTGCCTTGGTTTTTGTCTCTTGGCACAAGGCCCAGACCCCCCGGTCGCATATCAATTCCTTTCTGCCTCCCCAAGGTACATGTATAGTATGTCGATTCAATCAGGTTATAGAAAGGGGCCATCTTCATATCTACAGAGAATGAAGATCTAAGTCACCAGATCTACACTTTACTGTAAACCTACTACAATATACAGTAAACAGATTGCTAGGACCAAGTACGACTATCATACATGTACTGTATGCATGCCAGGAAATATCTGAATCATTTAGTTCTCCGCCGCGTTTCACGATAAGCCCCCGGGTAGTGTCATTTCCATGTCTCACCATGCAGGAGGGAGAGGGACTAGGGTAGTTTTGTATAATTAGATATTTGCGAGCTACGAGCTATGTTCTAAACGCCCATGCGCCCGGGCCATAGATTAGCGGCGCAGAGTTTTTATTTGCCACTCCCAACAAAACATGTGGCTGTATGGCGCTGGGTAGTAGTATATTGATATATTGCGAGTGTGCAGATTGGCGAAAACTTAAAAGAGTCTCGACTTTGAGGCGTTCATCTGACCTCGAAATTTCTGATCTGCAAAGTGTTGATCTCCAGGTTTGAGGCCCGCAACGGTCGCCGAGAGCGTCTCCAGTTTAATTGACCCCTACCATTATCCAGATGAACATCTCGGTGAGGCGACATCCCGAACCCTATCCCCGTGCTCCGTGCACTTTTCGTGCCGTTATTGTTTGCTTTTTCTTTGCCTTTTTCTTCGCCGAGATCGGTCCACTGACCCCGAATCATCTCACTGGCCCGTATAACCCCCATGGTCGAAGCGCTGAAGCGGTCAATCCACAACCTATCACGACATTTATTCACTGCAAATGAGATCGGAAAGTTCAGCCTTAGGATCTCAGACCAACCCCTGCTAATTGATTTAGACGTTGAAGCACTACACCGGAGCGGTGAGCTCCAGGAAACCCACCGCGTCAACAGTTCAGACATTGCAACTTCCGCCGAGGGCGTTACCGTGGCTGAACCTTGCTCGGTCCCCTTGCCGGGGCATAGCAACGGCAAGGTCACCGATAGCCCTCTTCCAACCCCAATATAAGCTTCTCTGCTCCATCCTAGTCCGATAAAGCACCCACACGCTTTGGGCAGCGGGCTATCCTGCCCTCCAGCACGCCAAGCGACTACACTAATGCAAAGCAGAAGCAGAAGCAGCAGCCATGCAATCCAGAACACAATTGTGAGGGGCGTCGATGAGGGGCAACACTTCTCCTATTCCTAGAGAGCTCAAGCTACTAGCTACCCCGCGGACAGACCGTGGGGAGTCGCGTCAGCGTCAGCTCTCTGGATACATGGTCCACCTCGAATGCTCGGAGATGAAGCGGACCCCGCGCAGATCTGGGGCCATGCTGACTGCGTACGAGGGCTCTGTTCATACCCCGCGAGGGGATATACCCCAGGATTGAGGATGAGATGTGATTGGTATAGGAGTTTGTTGGCGTAGTTGCCAATGGGATCAGGCGGTTTGGATTGGCTTGGTTTACTGAGCTCGCTATCTTACCCAAAGCCAAAGCCAAAACCAAAGCCAAAGCCTGGGCATAGCATAGTAAAGTCCAGCAGAGGGAAAAGAAACCATCATCCGATTAGAATTACATGGTCAGCTCACCAGCTAACACACCAAGACATCAACACACCACTAATTTTCATTGCCTGTTGCACAGGGTGCACAGCGTGCACCGTTTCAACCCTTTTCACCCTTGGGAAAGTCCCTATTGATGAGAGCAGATACGGCGCCAGCGCATGATTGGCCAAGATGCATAGATAGCTCGCGCATTAAGAAATCGCACGCAAGAAGCGCATATGGGCTGACAATGCCATGTCGCACGTCACGCAAATCCCAAGCACCTCTTCTGCACAGCACTGTACCGAGCACCTGACCATACCAATATCCCTGTAGGCCTCACACTTTATCCCAAGGGGAATCAGCACAAGCAGGACGCAAACTGTTGAGAAAGTGGCACCACATAGGACACTTGGCATGGTCCAACCCCCCGAGGAATACCGTACATCATACCAGGGAGGGGGAAGGCGATCAGGGACAGCCGCTTGAGTCGGTTTGGGATAGATGCAAAAAGTGAGAGTATCCGTAACAGACAGACACAGGCACGGGCCTTGCAAACATAGTCCGCAGGTATATGCGTACATGTAGGTAGTATAACGGCGACAACCAATAGAACCTCTCAAACCGTACATATAAAAACAACGCTAAAAGGCGAGGTATACTTCAGTGCCCCACGCTTATGCACATGCGAGACAGGCGCCCAGGGTAAATCGACCGGCCAGACTGGAGGCGCGGTAGTCAGTGCGCGATCCCGGAACTACGACTCGACGGATGGCTGTGGGGGCGTGGATAGCTTGAGTCTGCACTGGCCGTACACTAGACGCTGCATTAGTGCGGCGAACTGACAATGGCCAATGCATGGGCTAGAGGTCAGTGCATGGCATCATCTGTTTCGGTGTTGATTTCAGGGGCTTGTGGTGATTACCGTGTTTTGTTTTTACTCCAATTCCTCCGAGACTCTTCCGTTGATACAGAAGAAGTATGGGGAAGATGTACAACCTTGCAGGTGTACCCCGAGCCGCGGGGGTCTCCACTGTATCGTATCTGCAATTGAGGTGGAAAGTGGAAAACGGATGTTGCGCAGTTTCGGTTGTTTCTGTGGACTACCACCACGGCTATCGCTACTTACCACCACTGGCCCTAACTTCGTGGCAGATAAATTACCTAAAAGATAGTCGATGGCCAAGTCATCCTAAAATAGACCAGCAATCCAGCCCTCTAAAACAAACACGCCATTCTACTAGCTAAAGCATTGGCCTAATCCGTAGTTCCCGTTATCATGGAGACGGGAGAGGCGTTCTGTCAGCGCTATAATCAGGCTAGAACACAACACAACACATCACAGCCCCTGAACAGGGAATCACCGGGTATCGATATCCGTCGGCGACTGAGATAAGGCGGGGGTACAGCGTGAAGGGATTGAGTTGTGAATCTGTCACCCGCTGTACTATATCGTGAAGCGCTGAGTGGAATAGTGATCACCGTCTTATCTGTGGGGTACAGAGAGTCTAGAGTGTACGAACGGTGACCAATTAGTGTTTAATGCATCGTTTAGCGGAAATGGTTGATCATTTACTCTATCCTAGATGGCTTTCTTTTCGCATACCGCGGGCTCTAATCATGATCAGATCTCCTGGTCTAGGAACAGAGGGCTATAGCGAGGGAGGAGAGAGTGAAGACGCCTTCAATTGCGGGGTGCATCTGCCACCTCATCATGCTCATATATGATACACATGTTGATGTTAGGGCTGTGTGAGTATTTCGAACTGGGCAGGTCGATACAGTATGCGCCATTTGTCAGGAGATATACACCCATGTCACTCCCGTACTGCCAACTGCCTATTCCCCTCGCTACTGTACTTCCCGTCTATCCGGATAGACACTTGAAGCTCGTCTTCCCCTCCCAAGCCACAACCCCAGGTATCCAGCTCCCCAGACTTTCCCCACAAGCCTAGCAGAGTCACAAACGCAACTCCATGGCAAATGACACTTGCACCCCCGATGTTCCGGCACGCTCAGATCCCAAAGTCAATTGTTCTTGTAACAGCCACCCCCTCCTTCACCGCTGTCCAGGCCCATCGCCACGGAGGCGAGATACAGAGATTTAACATCTGGGATCCATGGTGGCGGTAACACAAACTTAGAAACTATAACAGCACTGAAAATCCGAAAGATGAAGGTTTCTCGGCCTAGGATATCACCGCTCGGACGTTGTATCGTTTTGTCACTGGTACCTCGGGGTAGGGGGACGTGTCCTGCATTGTCGTGCGCTGGCCATGAAGAAAATCCTTATAGTTGGGTTTGCAATGGCGGTATCAAGGGATATGTAAAGAAGTGTGTAGAATAGAGTGTCTTTCTGTTATCTTTGTTCAACATAGATGGGGTTGCATTCTTTGCTATGCAGTTGAGCGATAGCCCAACTTGGATCAGTAGTCAAGGGCTTATACTGATGTGATCGGTGGGATGATATACCCCAATGCTATGCAGTACGGATATCTTGAAACCTCTATGCTGATTCTCTTTATTCTCCCAACTATTTGCTATTGTGAATATGCGAATAGCTTCCTTGAAATGCACAAATATATTCGAATTGCATGTTGGGCACATATAAACAGAGGCGGTATTCACTTATGTTTCAGCTGACGCGACTCGAACATCAAACTCTTCATTTGACACAACCCAAGTTCCAAGTCACATGTTCTTCTCAATGACTTCCGGAAGACATCAAGTGGCACAAGTGAACAGTCCAAATCGTAAGGTGAAGCTGTAAGCGGGAGATCACCGGTGGAGCCAACTTCCCACAATCCACGGGTGACCTCACCGTCTACCGAGAACGGGTGTTTACACTCTTTACACCATGTCAGTCCAAGGTCCGGGGATAGCAGACCTGGAAAAAGAACTAGTCTGCTCAGTATGTACACTTCTATTCGACCTTCTACCTTCCCCCTTACATGGAACATCTGCTAACATTCCAACCCCTCCAGATCTGCACCGAACTCCTCTACCAACCCCTAACCCTCCTGGACTGCCTCCACACCTTCTGCGGCTCCTGCGTGAAAGAATGGTTCAATGCCCAAGCCTCGCGACGGCCCTCCCCGAGGTTCACCTGTCCCTCATGCCGCGCCGAAGTCCGCGGAACTCGCCCAAATGCCACGGTGACAACACTCCTCGATATGGTGCTGGGCGCCCACCCCGATCGCGCTAGATCGACAGAGGAAAAAGCGGAAATCGCCCAGCGGTATACACACGGCGAGTCGGTGTTTCCTGCGGTGCCTTCGGGCGGCGAGAGTGCGGAGGAGGATGACGAGGACGATAACCGCATGTTGCAAGAAGTGCGGGAGCTAAGTCTCCGGGAAAGTCGGGCGCAAGCTAGACGGGAGACTCGGCGGACTGCGGGACATTCGTCGCGGACGAGGGAGAGAAGTGGACATACCGAGAGACATGAGGATGGGCGGTCGAGACGACGGCGGGAGGACGATGCCCGACAGCGCACGTTACGGCCTGGAGATTCCGAGCGGACGCGTCGTATCGAGCACCAGTCTAGTCTGCGGTCACTGCTGAGTCTGTCGTCGGATGCAGAGACAATGGAGGAGGAGATCTTACGGCAGATTCTTGAAGAGGGCTTGCTGGATGATATCGATCTTGATAATCTCGGACCTAGACAAGAGGAGGAGCTGAGTGAGCGCATTGCCGATGCGTACCGCCGGAGACATATGCAGCGATCTGGCTCGAGACAGAGACAGGAGCGGAGACCGTCGCCCGAGGGGAGTGCACGAACACGGACGACGTCACAGTCGGCCCAGAGAGCGGAGGCAGAGCCTGCTCCGTCATCTCGTGAACATGGTGACAGACGACCACCGATATCTCGACCACATTTGTTTGACTCGGCTCCGTCGCGACCGAGTATCTCAAGTCATCAAAGGCGCAATTCGGAGGTGGCTGGGCGCCGACGGACTTCACCTGTTCGGTCGAACCAGGCGTCTGCATCGGATGAGGCTATACGGCCTGCTGTTCGGGCTTCGAGTGACATGACCGCGGATCGGGTTCTTGGTTCGCAGATTGCGAGGTTGAGGTCTGAATCATCTTCGGCTAGGACGCGGCGTGCTACTGAGTCGGAAAATGTCTCTGGGGCATGGATGACTGCAGGACGAGACCGAAGCTCTTCCAGGCAGGTTTCTAGTCAGTTTGCTACCAATTCTCCGACTGTAGCCACGCCGGCAGACCACACCACTCAATCGTTGTCATCTCCACTCGTTCCTCTTAGATCTGAGAGGAGATCCAGGCCTTCTTCGTCCAGGTCTAACGTCCCGACAGCGCCCAATGTACAATATCCTGAACCGTCTATTTCATGTGACGGATGTGGAAAAAGCGATATCCAATACACCCTTCACAAGAGATGCACACAGTGTGAAGGTGGAAACTTCCACCTATGCCTGCGCTGCTACCGCGAAGGACGGGGTTGTCTTCGATGGGACGGGTTTGGTGCATCTGCGCACACAACCTTCCAAAAAATATTATCGTCCTCCACTCGACGCCCAGTCCAGATTCCCGACAGCGGTCATGTGCTAGTCTGGTTCAAATATCAACGCCCTTCAGAGACAACCCAGCAAACAATCAGCGGAGAGAGAATCCTGACCAGCGACAATCCCGCCAGCCGCCTGCAAAGCGGCCTCTTCTGCGATACGTGCCAATTGCCGGCAAATGACTGCTTCTGGAAATGCAGCAAATGTAACGAGGGAGACTGGGGCTTCTGCAACAGCTGCGTGAACCAAGGAAGATGTTGTACTCACGCACTACTTCCCATCCGACGCATTACCCACAACCCGCCCCCATCAACATCATCCATGGCTGCATCAGAAGCAAACCCAAATCCACAACCCTCTGAAATAGAGAGCTACAAGATCCTCTCCTTCTCAACAAACTGCGACATCTGCACATACCCCATCCCAGCCTCGAACACCCGATTCCACTGCCTAGAATGCAACCGCGGTGACTACGACGTCTGCACAAACTGCTACCTGAAACTCGTAGCCACTGGCAAGATAAACAAAGAAAACGGCCACAACGGCTGGCGCCGCTGCTTAAGCAGCCACCGAATGATAATCGTCGGCTTCGAAGACCGCGAAGAAGGCCAACGCCGCGTGATCGTCCGCGATCTAGTCGGCGGCCGCGCCCTAAAAGACGAGCATGTCATCCAAACTCACTCCCAATCCCAGTCCCAATCACCAACCTCATCTCCAGCCACGGGCGGCCCGGTCGCATCCCCAGAACTGGGCATAGGAGACTGGAGTTGGAAAGACGGACCAGAGCGCAGAAAGAAAGCCTCACGACTCCGAGCCGGTCCTCCATCCTCTATCCCCGGAACCAATGTCTCAGCATCCGACCTCTCAACCACAGCTTCCTCAAGTCCAATCCAGAATATCCCACCTTTCCGTCGTTTCCCACCGGATGGCGGTGTAGGCCTCATCGTCCATGCTTTGTGGGCTTTCTACCCTGAAGATGACGTCGAAGACGAGCTTGTTTTCCCCCGTGGTGCGGATATTACTGAGGCAGAGAATATTAACGATGATTGGTTTTGGGGGTGTTACGCTGGTCGGACGGGTCTGTTTCCCGGCTCGCACGTTGAGGTAGTGCGTGAGGTTAAGTAGATGGATGGTCCAAGTCGTTTTATGGTGCATGATTACGATTATGATGACCAGATTTATGAATTTGATGTCTTGCATTATGCATGGTTTGAGTGTTACTTCATTGTGTACTGTTAGAGTTGTTTGACCGTCTCAATCAGCTGGTCAATCTTATGATCTTGTTCGCTCAATCGTTCGAGTACGTAGCTATTGACAAAAATGCCACTTGCGTACATGAATTACTGAAGCTAAGAGCTGCAGGTCTCAAGCACACCTGCACGTTGAATCAAATAAATAAATGTTGCAAGATCCTCGAAGTACAATAAATTCCATCCTGAATATAGACCACACTCATCATCTCAGAAAATGGTATCTCAAAAAAGTCATAAGAACATACAGGCATACAAACATCAAATATATACAACACAAGAAACAAAAACATCTACTCAAGAAGAGCAACCATCAACCGCCCATAATCCCCAGAAGTCTCGGCACGCACCCGATCAACCAAATTCTTCCCAAAGCGATGCTGATAAGCCCGCTTGACCATCTCCTTATGATTCCGATCCCAATGAACACGAACAACACGAATAACAAGACGCTCATCCTTAGTTCCCATGCCACGCATACATTCATCTAGCAGGATCGCATCCCGCATAGCCGGATCCGTAGCAGAACGCAACATAACAAGCAGTGCATCTTCCATATGGCCAGAATATTCCTTCTCGATATGTTTCTCAAGGGAAGTATTATACCTCGACTGGAAAGCCTGGCTGATAGCACGGAGCTCGGCATTAGAAGCGCGAGCGAAGATAGCACATGTCTCTGTGATATTCTTCTTACCCTGCAGGGAACGCACATCGGCTTCGATAACCTGCGGGTTGATAGGCATCGATTCCTCATGGCGCGCAGCGCGGATGACAGTCGCGAAGAGATCGCTCGTCTTGAAAGAGAGGTCGTTCTCAACATCCTTCGAGAGGGAGCGCTTGTATCGCATTTCGTAGGCGGTACGAATGGCATTCATATCCGCGTTTGAGCGGCCCAGGAGGATATCATTGAGGAGCCATTCTTTCGTGCCTGCACCGTCGATTGCCAACTGGATACTTTCGACATCGTGCATGAGCGGTCCTTGGACGACTGCTAGGAGTCCGTCGCCGAAGTAGCCGCCCGTCTCGGATTTGACGTCTTTGTATAGATCCCGACCGAGGTGCTTGGAGTATGCATCACGGACAGCCGCCATCTGGAGGGGATCGAGACGCGCGAGGACGGCAATGAGGGCCTTTTCATCGGTTCCGAATCCCTTCATCGCCTTGCGCAGCTGGTCTGCCTGCGGGCGAAAGTCGCCTGGCGCGACTTGTCCCGGGACGTAGCCGAGGGATGGTGTTGAGGGCACGGCTTGAGGTGGGAATGCCCCGCCTGGAGGTGGTGCGCCGTATCCGACTGGGGGTGGGCCCTGGGGGAAACCGGGTCCGCCGGGTGGTGGTTGGTTCTGGGGAGGGGCATAGCCGTGAGGTGCCTGGCCGTACGGCGGTTGCGGGGATGGGGCGTGATATCCTGCTGGGGGTTGAGGAGAGGGCGCGCCGTACGGGCTTCCCTGGGGAGGAGCACCGTAGTGACCTTGTTGGGGTGGAGGGTAATGCCCTTGCTGAGGGGGGTAATGGCCTTGTTGTGGAGGGGGTAGTGACCCTGTGGCGGTGCGCCGTATTGCTGTGTTGGGTAGGGAGGCTGATGATAGCCTTGGGGAGGAGGACCTGGAGGAGGAGGACCTGAGGGAGGGCCCTGTTGAGGTCCTTGCTGTGCGTATCCTCCGTATGGAGGTTCTGGATACTTGGTTAGTGCTCATGCCAAGGCTCCGGGGTATGACTCTGAGTGCAACTTACGGTTAGGGGGATAGTAAGACATGATGTGAAACTGTGTAAGAGACAAAGGTCTGCGAGGGGTGTCTATGTTTATATGTGCCTCGTGTTCGGCAGTGAGATTGTGGCGCAGTAAGTGGGGGCGTTCACAGCCTTGCCATTTCTAGAACTGACGTCTGCCAATGTTTTCCGTAGGTTTCTGACTGTTCTATTTAAAGATGGATATTAGAATATTCCAAGGCTGTGTCTACTAAGTGTTTAATACAGTATGTACTGTAGGCCCCTCTTATCAACTAAAGTAGTATCTACACTACCCCACTAGATCGGATCTATACTTGCTTGGTGGAGATCAACACTTCGCTCCTTGATTAATTAATTTATACGCAAACCCTGCTCACATACACTTATACCCAAGTTCTTGTATACGTATCCATCACAGCTTCATCCATTTTCCAACCCCTCCAGCAACCCCCTTTTTCACTTCTGCCTCGGTGAAGGGCATATCAAAGCCGCCGGTGATCGCAACCCCATTCATGAGTCGGAGCTGGAAACAATCCTTCTCAATGGGTATTTCTTCAAAGTCTTCAGGCTGGAGCTGTAGCTGATCGACTGACTCGAGGGAGACGTCGGCACTGGTAACAGAAAAAGACTGGGTGAAGGTGCTCAGCTTGCCCACGAAAATGTATTGGGCTCCCTCGACTTCGAATTGACCTAGGATCTGCCCTTTGTCGCATGTGAGGGTGCCGTTTCCATGAGGCATCTAATTTAAAATGTGAGTATATTGCGCGGGAATGATGGGGACCCTACAACACACTTACTGTGAAGCAACGTTCCAAATGTTTGACTGACCGGATGAAAGAATCAAGGGTGAGGTGGTCAGTTCATCTTTAAGGTGTCTGAGCGGAGAAGAGCGGTCAGTCTTTGGAATGTTTAAGGTGGGGGATATCCTGCAGTAGGTCCGATGTCATACATGCAGGTTAGTGGGGGCCTGTCCTTGGCCTTGTTGATACATGTATGGTGTTTTACCTTATCAACATGCAGCACAAAGCATGCTATGCGCACTGCACAGGTTACTCGTCTGGGTACGTAATAGGAACTGTTGCTTCTTCACCCATAGTGATACCCGCATACAAGCTTGGAGATTCGATATATAGAGTCCGAAGGTTCCCGGAAGAGATCGACGTACCTCTGGGGCAGAATTTTGTTGTAAATCATGTCTCACATTCTCAGAGATGTCGATAACACTATTCAAAGGTACAAGCTGCGCTCATATCAATGGATGGCGTTCGCAATATATATTCCCAGCAGCATCCAGACCCGAAGTTGATTTTCAACGCATGCAGTTTCACATGTAAAATGTTAAAGATGCCCTATAATAAAACAACATACTCCAATTTACCGACCCTGAAGCCCTACTAAGTACCAAGTGTGCGTAGATATAAAGCCAAGCTTTTCCGCTACGATTCCTTTCGGCTAACCCGATGCGGCTAGCGCGAACCCCCCTAAGTTCGGCTTGCAATGCTGAACAGGCTGCTAGATTCCTCATGGAATTTTTTTGTATTGTATAGGCCTTCCCAGGCCTATCTTGGCTCCGTAGGACCTTAGGTGCCACCTTGAATGATCGTCATGTCGACCATTCCCCAAGGCCGTCGGTCGCATCGGAAGTCGCGAACAGGGTGCTTGCAATGCAAGAGGCGAAAGGTCAAGGTAAGAAATCAATCAAACCTTTGGTGGGATGGGAATTCACATTTATTTGCCAGTGTGACGAGACCCAGCCAGATTGTCGCAACTGCAACAGGCATGGGGTGGTTTGCTCGTTTGCCAGGCCCTCAACCGTGCTATCAACGTCTCAAGTGGACCTGGCAGAATCGCCCAGGTCAATATCTGGCCCAGAAAGTGCAGAATCAGTAATGGCTTCCAATACAGCTCAAAATCCCTCAAGCCTACCAAGTCGGCCAAGTCTACCAAGTCTACCAATGGTGAATCCCTTCTCTTCAACCTTGGCTGTTTTCGACTTGGAGCTTTTACACCACTACACAACCTCAACCTGCTACACATTATCTCGAAGCCCAGCAGTTCAAACCATCTGGCGGGACGAGGCGCCGCGCATTGGATTTGAAATGCCCCCAGTACTACACACTATTCTCGCCCTTTCCGCGCTACATCTAGGTCACTCGGACGAATACAGACGCGAACGCTGCCTAGCTCACGCGCAGATGCACCACAGTATCGCCGTGAAAGAAATGGTTCCACTAGTCTCATCCCTCGCCCAAGAGAATGGCGAGGCACTGTTCATGTTCACCTCCCTGACGTGCATGTTCTCATGCGCCAAACCAACCAAAGAAGGCGATTTCCTAGTCCTATTTGAACAGGGCACACTCTCTGAATGGGCTCGCCTTTTCCGGGGAACACAAACGGTCATACAGAGTGGCGGTGAAAGTCTACGCAACGGAAGGCTGGCACCTATCTTCCTGAATGGATCCTATCTGGCAGCTGCTCATCGCGCACCACAGGCACTTGAGCATGGTAGACCACATATCTGGGAGTTACAAGAGATGATGCAAAGGGAATGTCCTCCTCATTTACCAGCTCGGAAAATCTATCAAAACACATTAGATGAGCTAGCGCGGACATTAGGTGTTGCCTTAAAGCCTGGTGCTACTTGGAGGCTTGAGACTGCCGATGTGTTCCGGTGGCTTCTAGATGTGTCGGATGATTATCTGGATCTCCTAAGACAGGAAGCACCGATTGCTCTAATTATATTTGGATATTGGTGTGCATGTGTTCGACAGATTGAGTGGATGTGGTGGATGGAAGGTCTCAGCCAGCGCTTAATGACCCAGCTGTTGTCTGTACTGGACCCCAAATATCGAGAATGGCTTTGGTGGCCCCAGGAGATTATCAATGGGACTCATGTTACATCGCCTTGAACACGAAAATACGAAGTCATGTTAGTAAAATAAGAGCCTACCAAATGGAGCGCCCTTTGTCCAGATACAACAGGGGTCATAAATGTGTACACGGTGCTAAGAAGTATTGGACAGTCTCTATACGAAAGCCTCGAAGCGAGTGTATTATTTCATGCATTGTTTTCGTCCTACCTGGGCCTCTCGCTTTTCGCCTCATTTTTGCCCAATTTTGAGTGTTTCAGGTTAACCATATAGATCACATAAAGGTAGGGTGGTGAAAGGTCTGATGACCCATGTTGTAGATTTCTTCTCCCCTTACCTTAGACAAGACGAGCTTAGGACACAATTAAAAGACAATAGTTGTCGCTATCCGAATCCAAATTGGATATAAATGATACGAGACGAAGGTGGCAACTTCATGGCAATAGCCAACCGAGACGAATAGGTCTACCCTGACATCGAGCTCGATGCAGAGGTATCATATATAGTCAGGGAAGACAACCGAGAGAAAAAAAAGGTAAAAGAAGGGATACCCGAGTATCATTAAGGAGATAAAACTTCCATATCGGGTCCTTCAAAAGCTGGCGAAACAGTTCATCAAACCACCCTCCCACCTTCTAATTTTCATGACCTCAGTGACCTAATAGGTAGCCGATCCACTTCTACATAGACCTGTTTCGGCCCACGGCCGCACGTTTAAGGCATTTTCTCTCCCCAAGTCCAAGTCGAAATAAAGGCGGAATGCTCGCCCGGGAGTCTGACACCAGCCCCATCCTTGAGGCGGTTGCAGTCAAGAACATCACCTATGCACGTCCAGCCCATCCATAAATGAGAGCCCATTCTTGGCTGACTTCCCAAAGTAAACTCCATTCCTGTATTGTCCTGTTCCTCGACTGAGCATGACTTTCTTCTATTGACTGTCTGAGGTTACTGTAGGCCTGTTGAAGGCACTCCGTTCCAGAGCAGAGCTGCCTCTCCTGAGAAGAAGCTGGACTATCTCCTTCTGTTGGCTGCGCGTAGCATAATACAAAGGCGTCCGAAGATGCCTATCTGGGACGTCGATGAACCGTTGCGCCCACCCAATCTACTATTATCTATTGAGATGGGAATGGCACGATGGCAGTCTGACATACCAGACGGGTCGATATCAATGGAGAGAAGACAACCAACCACTCCCATGCCTAACTCAGGTGTAGAGAGCAGTGTCAGGAGGTAGCTATCGCACTGTCCTTGAAGCTATATCATGAAGGAAAAATCTGGTGGGAAAACTGTAGTCATAGTGATGATGGTACGGTGCTATCTAGAAGGAAAAGACTGCATGCATGCTTCCTGGGGCATTTGCGACACCTCAGGCCAATAATATGCTACTGTCACGGATTCCTCCACTACACTATTTATCTATATAGCGTTAAGTAATGCCGACTATCATTCTCTAAAATATCAATCCTTATACCCGTTTAAGGTTATAAAGCAATCAATCTACCCCGGCTAACTACCATGCATTAGGTGTTCATTTCATCATCATAATCCAATGCCCTAGATATCACATACATCAGGTGATAATTGTAGACCAATTCAATGATGTTATGAGTTGCAAGGCTGTAAAATAGTGATTATCACGGAGTTGTACGCCAAGGGCTGAGTTTGTTGCGAGAGAAGATACGAGACGCAGAGTGTTACGCTCTTGACAGCCAGGAATACGCTTTTTGACAGCTAGGAATAAGATAAATTGGCGATTGGTAGTTGGGCTAACCTCTGGGTCGAATAATATATTATAGCCTTCTTTAGAATTACTATATCTAATACAAATACAGTTGGACTTCGTCCTTCTGCCTAATATACGGATATATCCGATCATGGCAGTATTTCGCAGGAGTCCTCAATTATAGTCTCAAGCTATCACCTTCATCCGTCAGACCACTAGCACCCTCATATTGCGGTTCCACCGTGAATGTCGTGTTGTTCCCTAGCTCAACCCCCTCATGATCGGACCTCGGGTGGCCGGGCTCATAATGATCTCGCTCCTCCCATCTTGTGATCCCAAATGCATCCAGAGGAATATGATAGGCTGGTATTGACGCTATAACTGGCGTCCGTGAGGAATGGGTATCACTCAAGGAACCACTGTTCAACCAGCTACCACCAAGTACCTGCCGAACAAGTGGCCTGAGCGTGGGGAGGAGACTGTGATCGCTGAACAGCAGAGTTCTGTTTGGGTTAGGATGACTTGAAATTACATTCCAGTCAGTTTGGCCCTTGAGTACATAGTTTAATGGGGGGAAGAAGGAGGCATACATCCTGTGACAACATTCTGAGCCGAGATCATGATAACAATGAACCGAGCAAGGCCCGCAAGGATCGTAATTAGCCCGATGGCGAAAATCCCTACTATCGTATAGAGTTGAGGTTGCGTTACATGCAGGTTTGGGAGGAGAAAGAAGGGCAGGACGAAGACTATTTTCTCAATTAGTCGCAATCAAGGATAAAAAATTAGAGAAATAACCTCGTACGCGACGCCTCTCCCGTAAGGTTCAATGCCCAGAATAAGCTGAATGTTTCTCTATTTGCAAGTGCGCTGCATGGGTTTTGTGGATTCCTAGGAAACAAAAAGGTAAGTAACTTCAGCTTCATAACCAAATGGAGAGCGAACTAACCAGTTTATTGAAATCGGAACACACCACGCAAGAAGGATGATAAGCGATGTAATGAATGCAAGCATAATGTATATGGTTACCATCCATAACGCGACGCGCAGCCGAGGCATAATTGGGGGAAAGAGGTAAAAATAAAAAACCGCCATGCTGAGTTTGGTGAAATATAGTCCTGTGATCCAGAAGAAGGCGCTAACATAAAGAAGCTGCATTCATGTTTAGAGTCTGTTGGAGCGTATATATAATGGTCTCACCTCTTGCAAACTGCTCCGTGTCTGGAGATCATTCACAAAGCCAGTTGTAGCTCCACCGTTCACTATTATAGTGTAAAGAACGGTTGCTACAAGTATAGAACACCAAGCCATTACAACGAGGCCCTCTGCGAGCAGACTCGGTGTCTTTCGGAGGAAAAGTCGGACATATAACCGAGCTGTAACAGCGAGTGTGGCAAGGAAGAACAGAACCCAGTCTGTTATCTATATATTATCAGTTCTACACTTTAGTTATACACTTCGAAGCCGGAATGATAGCTTGGAACAGAGGAACATAGGAAGTGACATACAGTTATGGCAACTGACTCAGGGCGAGGCATGCTTCAGGTGATCTGCCATTCATATTAGATTAATAGACTCAGAATAGAGAAGAATTGTGCCCTTTGTCCACATTCTTCAACATACATCTCTGTTATGCCTTCATCGGTGTGGGCACATAGTGAGTCAATTGAAGGCGGTTTGACACAAGTGAGCTATTTCTCGACCGGTCTAAGGTCTCCTAACCAACATTCAAAATCGTGATTGGCAATCTGCTGGATTGCAGAACTTCACTAGCTCCTTAGCCTTTTTCATCTTCCGTTAGGAGCTGTTAGTGAGACTGTCCCGAAGACACTCAGCGAGATAATATAGGAAAAAATTGCGTAGAAGTTGATGACAGATTCGCGTCTACAACCAGGCTCCTTCTTTGCCTCGAGGTAATTTTGACGGTAGGAAATTCGATCCCCGTAAAAGGAGAACTCTATGGGATGTCACTTTTTACCTGGTGTTCCGCCCCGAGATTTGCCAAGAAAGGAACGGTCTTGATTGGTAGGAAATCCGTATTGTATCGATCAGAACAGGTTTGCAGCCTCTTTACTGACTAAGTAGCCGCTTAATTGCCAAGATTCTAGAGATCTGCTCCACAAGGAAGAGATGCCGGGGAGTGGTGATGTCAGCGAGGATCTAGATCTCGAGGTAGCTATTGAGAGGTCTGTGACGCTAACTTTCCGTCACCCCCGCAGTCATGTCAGAATTTCGCTCCATTCAATAACATCTCGAGAATCATGATGGGCTAGACAATCTGTTGTCAGCTATAGATGATTCCATGCCTGACCGTCGCTCTCACATCGCACGTGACGTGACGTGACTAACACCTAGACATCCAGCTGCAGTAGGAACTTTTAGTTATAGTAATTCTTGCGCAGGAGTCGTATTTTCTGGCTCGCGAGCACCCCTACAACTTGCTAGTCTACAAGAAATTACAAGTATTGTGCCAGTCACGACCCACTCGAGTACTAGACCGTATCAGGAATGATAGGAACCTGGGCTTCACGGACTTCATCAAATTTCTCGTCTTGTATAGCTTCTGTTATTCTAGGTGAGTTATGTTGGGTCACTCCGAGTTGCTACTAGGACACTGAACCCGGTCATAGCGTCAATTAGTCAACCCTCCTAAAATTGCTTCTGAGACACCCAAAATACGCCATTACTGCTCCTGTGTCCTAAAAGCGTGCCACGCATAACGTCTTCAGCGGCTTCTCCTCCCAGCCATGAGAATGATGTGGTGAGTATGTTGTTACACTGTAGAAATAGTTAAGCCTATAAGAACAGGACGTATGAACTGCTGTGAGAAGAATGTTACGTAAACAGACTAGGTGCTGTAACACTTTAATCCCTCTAGCTGTCACTGCCCGAACAAAATGTCCAAAAACAATGATACATAATATCTAAAAGGAATTGCAAGCTGAGTAGGGAAAGGAAGGAAGCACCGCAGCCTATAGCAGCCATCTTGCAAAAGCAAATTCAAGATTCAAAAATTGATGGTGGAATTTCAAGTTACTATATTAGTAGATTGTAGGTCTTGCTCAATTTAGCCATCCAATGGCCTCTGATCGTGAGCAACACAAAAAAAAAAATGCAAGTCTTTTCTCGAGTGCCGTACACAGCCCGTACAGCTAGGCGAAAGTTGGATTAAAACCTCCGGTTCAATGAAATAGATGTGAAAAGGAAAACTATTGCTCATCCACAGACTGTCTGTGAACAAATGGCGTGGGATAGCTAGGACCGTATGCCCTTTGTTCAAGACGGATAGATTCCGCAGTCTGTCGGCGTATAGCAGCAAGGTCTGCAGGACGAGTAACTAGAGTAGTACCGTCGGAAGTAGTAGTTCGAGACAAAGGGGCGCCCTTATTTTCTGAATCTTTGCTCTCGTCGGCCGTCGATTCAGTTTCAAGGCCTTGCTCCTCAGAAGGTGGAAGAGCAGACGTACGCTCAGCCGCAACGGCGGCCTTGCAACGATGACTTGTGGAGAGAATTGACAAAGCCAAGCTGACGACCCACCACGCGAAAAGGATCGGCAGGGATCGATACAGCTGTTTCTCACAATCGCCACTCCAGATCTGGACTAAGACCTGGTACACCTCATGCGTGGGAAGCGCATATCCCCATCGGTAGAAAGCTGGGTTCACTTCGAAAGGGCTCACGACACTAGCGATGTTGAAGACCACCCATGTCAAGACGAAAAAGGGCATAAATTGCATCTGGAGATAGCCCGTGGCCACATCCATGACTAGGAAGTTAATGTGCATGTATAGCCAGAGGGCCATCCAGGTTAAGAAGAACTGGAGACCGTTCACGTCCCAGTCTTCACGGAACGCCCAGAGATATCCAGCCGAACATAACGAACCAATAAGCGTATAAGCAGCGGACAAATTCATACGAAGGCGACCGTTTTGCACAGGGAGGAGCTTGCTGAAGAGACCGAAGCTTGACGAGATACCGTTCAGAGCCATGATGAAGAAGAACTGCTGGATGATTGGAAAGACCATGGAGACAGTATTATAGAGCACTCGTGTGCCTTGGTTTGTGGGTTTAACGTCGATCTCTGATGCGGCAATGGGATTGAAGAGGATCTGGGCGATGGCTTCATTCGACCAATCGATCGATTTGCCTGCAGCGCTACCATTGAGGTGGTTGTAGGCGACATGTGCGGCTGCGACTAATGTCTGAACGTTGGCATATATAGCACTTTTCGCGATTGTGGGATATCTGGCTCCGTTCCAGATATAAGTGATGGCGTCGCTGTTGTTGTATGAAGTGGCGGCAGTGGAGCTGGCGAGCGCGGATGATAATCGTGATGATGCACCGGGGTTGGTGTACACAGCAGCCCAGTAGTCTCCCCTGCATACTGACTCATATATATTCTGGGGCTCAGGATAATCGACCGCATTATTTTGGATGAGAGTTGGGAAATCATTTCCTTTCAGCTCGCGATACGCGGCAAGCAACGATTGCCCAATCACTCCGCCGTCATAGTCGACGAGCAGAACATTGAAATTGTGGTAGCGAGAAGAGCTCCGGAATTGAGTGCCATATAGGTAGCACATGTTCCCCAGAAATAAAAGCTGCAAGAGGACAAAGCTTCCACTGATGGCGATTAGGAATGGCTTTCTAACCTGCTTCCAGTAGGCTTCTCCAGGTTTAGCCTGGTGTGGCTTGGAAGCCAGGTCTGATGAGGATTTCATGGCGGATTGGATCCAGCTAAAACAATTTGCAACAGATATAGTGCGGCTCCAACTTCTAGATTTGGATTAGAGAAAGTTGAAGGCTAGAGAAGAAGATGTGCAGTATAACTTGTTCCGCAGCTCATCGATGCAATAAGATAGGGGAAGTTCCACCCTTTTAAGGGTTTAAATAACCTTACCGATATTAAAGTTTATATCCATCGAAGGTCTAGAATAATTTTAAGTCCCGCCTGTGCGCCATATGCACTTCTTAAGATATTTGATATTGAAGCTTATTTCAAGTATCCAAATTAGGGGACACAACTTCCGCTGACTAACCCTCCCTTGGCCAATAGAAACATCGAAAAGCGGAGGACAATACGAGGCCGCTAATTAAAAGCTAAGCTCATGGGGGAGCGGGTCGATTTACCACCGACTTCCTCGGGCTCCGACGCCGATCCACCGACACCCCAAAAGCTTGAGAAATTATTCATTCCGGACGCACTACATGAGAGTAACCTAGGGACCATTGTACAACAGATAAGACTGTGTTTTTTCTCCCTCTCCAGTGATTTAATGCCATTGTTTTTGGTCTTGACGTCATCCTTTCTCTCTTGGAAACAGCGCCCAACTTCCGATACAGTATCATTTATAGGCCGGATTGATAACAAGCAGTGCCTGGAGAGTTTTCCTTCGGCAGCCCTTCAAACGGGGTAATATAGCATAATCCAGCTCTCAGGATACTTCTCTGGTGCAAGGTTGCATCTTCAAACAAATATTGAATAATTGCTTTCGTTGTTTTGGTAAACCAAAGAACTATTATACAAACTATCATATGGCCCCCGTCAAAGTATTTTGTCTGAAGGTTTTTGATATCCCTGGCTGTCATCCATTCTGGTCCCTTTAATCAAATCTGTTGGGCATACCAAGTCAATATAGCCATTTATTGCTCAAATCGTACGATTGAACAACTTTTTCCCCCACGATCTTCTAGCCATTACAAAATGAGCTGAAACAAAGTTTGCAAGGCTTGAATGTGAAATTGCACGCGTCTTGACCAGATAAATTACATAGTGATCCAAGTTGACCAAATGAATATACGGGAGATTGGGTTCATGGCTGAAACAGACTTATTTTGGACCTAACTTCGGAAACTGGCGCTGTGCGGACACATATCGGCCCTGGTAACTTACCTTACATACCATGTCGTTGAGCCTCAGAAACATGTGCGGAATATTGCCGATCAAGCGACCACTAGCCGAGCAATTAATCTGTTCAATTTAGCATATTTTAATGCACACCTGAAAGCATTCTACGAAGTCTACTCCTTGACTAGGCTTGTAGAATTAAATTCAACAAGGTGAGCTGAGAAGCGCCAATATGAGGATATCACGTTAATATATTAGTGAATCTTTTACCTTTCGTTGTTTTTATTTTTTTATTTTTTAGTTTATTTTTTTATTTTTATTTTTCATTTTGGAAGGAAGGGTTAATGGGGGTTCAAGTCTTCTAAGCGCGTAATACTAAAATTGGCTACTCGATAGAGCTGTACAAACCACGAATTCCGTTCCGAGACCCACTTCCTGGCTTGCAGAGCTACCGCTGACTCAGCGGAAGGAGTGTAACGGACGCTGGATTTTGAGTTTTGGGCTTTGACTAGTGGTACAGGGCATTTTGAGGGCAGTTGCGAGCCAACTACTAGTCTCCTCTGTTTGAGGCTGAACCCTAAGTAAAACTTGTTAGAGATAGAATAACCTAGTTTCTTAATAGTGGTATAATCTAAATAGACTGCGCCAAAACCCGCGAATAGGTTGTGATATGAAAATGTAAAGTAAGAAGGGTTCTGGTGTTTGCAGGACAGAGCCTGTCAACTGGGTAAGGTGAAGATGCCTAGGAGTAAGTGATATTGGAGGAATATAGAGACTGATTCTAAGACAACCTCTAGGTTCTCCTAGAAGGACTATTTAACATAGCGGATAGCGTTGCGGTGAACTAACGCTAACGTGTCGACACCTATACGATGTCGATCCTCTGTGATTGTGAGAGGACTCCGTGGCAATTAAGAAACTAGGCTAAGGGATATTAAAGGTAGGCAGGTAGGAGATAGCCGAAAAAAGCGTAATTCATATAGTCGCGGGACTTAGCGTGTTAATAATATTTAAAACCTAAGTTAGGGCCCCGGACCTAGTACGAGATCGTGCGGAGGTCTAGTGACACAACGGTGCTAAGCTCAGTGACAGCCCCAGCCTGGTCGTCTAGTAGAACAATCACCAAAAAAAAAAAAAAAAAAAGCGGAAGGTCATTTAACTGCCAACATCACATCATGAAAATAGCGGTAGTAACATAAAACTGCTAGGTCTAAGGAGCTGGTAATGACGTTGGAGTCGACCTGGCTACCTCAATCATTAATCCCTGATCATTGCAAGTTAGGTTTTACAACAGTCATCTTTTATTTGCTGCAGGCTATATCTTTATTTGCGAAGAGATACATATGTAAAAATTCCTCCGGAGACAATACTCTCGATAAGCGCATAGAACTACATGTAGCAGAAGAGATCTTGGATACCAAATAGGCTAGCCGATTGTACGGGCTGGTAGCTTGGGACTGATGTTAGCGTGAGAATCCGCCCCGCCTAGTCGACCTCAATTTCAATGAATATTTGTGTGCTTCCAGAGTGTATCCACATACCTTTAATTTATGATGGTGTCAGTAGGATCATCGCTTTTAGTACCATCAATATGAGCAGCGGCCAGACCGAAATAAGTCCATGTTTTCTTGGCTTATTAATCAAGAAATTTGGCTTCTTCTATCACGTGGTTTGTTCAGATCTAAGGGGAGTCACTCCTGTGGTCAGCGCAAGAGTCTTCGCAAATTAATCATGAGAAATTGCGTCCCTTTTTGATCTGCAGTAGGTTTATCCTAACACACAACTTAATCGGGCTCAATGTAGGATCAAACTTCGCATTCCTCTGTTTCGACTCAATTGATCCGATTTGCGGAGTGTGGCGCACGTGGCAGTGGTTATGACGTGCGCGCTACAGTGAGTTAAAAGTTCCATCGGTTATTGGTTGTCTTCATCGAGCGTTCCATTACCTTTCTCTACAAACCACATTAAATCGATCCATTGGCAGTGCAAAGGACGAATTTTTCTATGCCATTTCACTATGGCTTCGAATGGATGGAAGTATGCAGTGAACGAGGCTGTTCTCCATATCTGGAAGATTCTCCAGGTCAACTGGCACCTCGGAGTCACTGCATTTGGCGGGCCTCCCGTTCATTTCAAGATTGTAAGCAAACTTCCGGCATTTAATTGACTAAGCAGCCCTGATGGCATGATAGTTCTATGACAAGTTTGTATTAAAACTTAATTGGGTTGACGAGCAGCTGGTATGTTTTCAAACACAGCGTCGTTTGGTCCAGCAAGAATACTAAGTAATTGGCAACATAGTATCAGGAGCTGTTCAGCATCTCGCAAGCTCTGTCTGGTCCTGCCAGCACAAAAATGCTTTACTGCGTGAACCTCATTCACGATGGTTTCCTTGGAGCTGCCCTTGGATTCATCACTTGGAGGTAAATTCACAAGCTCAACATGCTATTCATGTCACTGGCGCGGGATCGAAAGTTAATATTGTCCTGGCGGTTAGTCTTCCTGGTGCTGTAGGCATGTTTGGCCTTTCTATTGGTATCTCCAATATCGACGAGAGTTTACCTCGTGCAGTTTATGCTGTGCTTTCGGGACTCAATGCGGCTACTGTCGGTATAATTGCCCTGGCGGCAGTCGAGCTCTCAGATAAAGCAATCACGGACCGCCTCACCAGAATACTGGTCTTTCTCTCTGCTACCGCTGGTATGCTATACAATGCGCTGTGGTACTTCCCAGTTCTTATGTTTGCAGCGGGTTGCAGTACGGTTACATACGACTACCACTGGCTTCACCGACCTATCCAAGCTATATTTAAGCTCATAAAGGGAATTACAAGGTTTCGTCTTTCTGACGTGGGAGGAAACAGCAGAGATGAAAGCGGTCCTGCTCTTGAAGCCAATAGTTCCGGCGAGGCGCTCGACGTTCAGAACCAGAATTCCACTCGGGAATCTGAGCCACGCATTATACCACAGGGCCGTCGCTTGGATATCTCCTGGAAGTCCGGTGCAGCGATAATTGCAACATTCTCTCTTTCCTTCGTTATTGTCATGGTTCTTCGAGGCGTCTTACCTCGGCCTCCGCTCTTGTATAAACTCTTCGCCAACCTTTACCTTGCTGGGACTATTATCTTTGGCGGTGGTCCGGTCGTTATTCCACTCTTGAGAGAATATATAGTGACTGAAGGATGGGTCAGCCCGCGCGACTTTCTCATCGGCCTCGCCGTCATACAAGCATTTCCTGGGCCAAACTTCAACTTCGCTGTGTTTTTGGGCGGCTTAACCGCTATCCATGGCGGATACCCCGCGATCACAGGAGCCATTATTGCTTTTTGTGGAATTTTCGCTCCTGGCATTACTCTCGTTCATGGCACAATGGGGGTTTGGGGAGTATTGCGAAGTCGACGTTGGGTGAAATCTGCAGTGAGAGGCATCAACGCTGGCGCAGTCGGTTTAATATACACGGCGGTGTATCGTATATGGCAGATCGGCTATATCGATGTAGGTTTCCAGTCAGGTAAGAGTCTAGGGGATGATCCATGGTGGGTGGTCGTGACCGCCACTAGCTATGTGGGCGGGCGATACTTTGGCATTGCAGCGCCACTGGCTATTCTTTTTGGAGCCGTGTTAGGCTTGATCAGATATGCAGTGGTTTAGTTTGGGTGTGAAAGTGTACGCTAAGTTCATACATAGCATGCGAGTCCTACCGTAAATATCTCAACGGATCTCTACACCTTCTTGCATCTTAATCGATTCAATTAGTTCCGTACTAGCCAGCGGCCAAATTGTCATCAAATTAGGTATTGCAATCTTGGTAGTATCGCTTCATATAGAGAGGTCGAACCAAGTTGGAACAAACATGCCCGCAATTAAGAGGGAGGTGATAGAACTAACGTTATAGCTAGGTGCACCGAACGCTGTACTACCCACGACTAGTAGGTCAAAACAGGATGTGACTGCTCATTCGGCATGATCAGTAATCACGATTTGACCAGTAAATACATCTTGAGGCATAGTGGAGTATGCGTCATAATTTAATTATCTGTACTAAGTTTAGACTACGGAAAAAAAGCAGTAATCGACCTAAGCTTGTTTATTCTATCAGGCCGACAGGGACCTTATTCATGTTTATAACTTCACACGAGAGAACATGTTGTATCTAACGAAATCCATCCCTCGTTCGTATGGCGATCAAAATTCCTTCATACCGTCTCGCGCGTGTCGCGCAAGCTCTTCTAGCAATCGCCAATTTTAGTATTTCAGTATATTGTAAGTCACCTTGTTGCCTTGAATGATGATAAAAATTCATTCTCAGTTTTAATAGTGCTATGTTTATTATCCCTCTACGGTACAATATTTTATGCTTTTGCAACGGCAATATGGACATTCAGCTTTGCAGCTCCTTATCTTGCTCTAGCCCCGATTTACAATCCTCGGGTTGAGCGTTGTTTTGTGGTTCCAGCAGTAGAAGCAGTTACAATGTTTCTTTGGCTGGCCGTGATAATTACACAAGCCTACTCTCTACAATCACCCATGCAATACACTTCGGGCGGCCAGAAGGCATCTCAAGGAGCAACCGTATTGGCGGTTTTAGAATGGTACGTGTTGGAATTTAGTATCAACTTTTGTTCCCCGGTCGTCGTTCATAGCAAAGCTCAATAACGGTAAAGCTGAACATGCTGATATTTATCTTCTATTCAGGGCGTTGTTCGTTTTCACGAGCATTAAATCATTCCGCATCGCTACACAGAAAAACGATGTCACTGATTATTTCGCCATGTTGCCGTATCATTGAAGCTCGAATTTCCCAGTTATTGAACTCCAATGTATATTTGAAACGATTTTCCTTTAATTCTTGGCCAACCATAGCACTTTTCCCAATGCACAGAGAGGCTGCTGTACCGAAGAAGGCGGGCGTGGGGGAGATGTGGAGATGTGCGCCGTTCATGCTGAAGTTACATTGGTCAGTAATGGTGGTTGAGATAGGGCTCTTGGGACTTGTGTTGGGAGGGTCGTGACTTTAGATGTGTTAAATACCGGAAATGAAACATGGGAGTCCTGTCTACTATAAGTGTACTTGGCTCTTTTCTCGGCACATTACACAGGTGTGTTACACAGCTGAAACCCCGAACCCCGAGTGGAGGCCTTACAGATATGGGAGTTCACAATCGGCTGCTTAAGCACCAACGAAAGAAATACTATTCTAATGCGGACTGAATAATGCTAGTTCGAGTGGTAATGGACAAAGCATCCTGATCAACTTTCTTACACTTGCGGTATATACAAGTCATGGAAAAGGTTTATAAAGAGAGGCAGTTTAAGTGAACTTCCATATATACACAGTGCAAGGCAGATAGATTTCTAACCCTTTTCGACTTTGATCATCAGAATTATCAAAATATTAAATCCTCGTCCCTACCTCCGATTAGAGCGCGAGTCCAGGTAAAAGTAGGAAAACCGCCTCACTAAACAGCGAAAAGCTTAGGGGTTTTCTCATATATGGAGCACTGGTCGCGGCCGCCAAGTCCTTCACGAGAGGAGACAATTTCAGAGAAAGCGAGATCCTTGTTCGTTTGCATCTTACCATCTCTAAGATATGATAGTCAGTGTTCGTTCCAGAATGTCCTTTTTTCCCCAACCGCCATCTGCCTTATACTTTTCTTCCATGATCTGATGCAGTTTGGTTGACCCTTGGCTGATTGTACCAGCTTAATCGAACAGTGGTAAAGCAAAGTAGCCAATAAGTCCCGATGATTACGTGTACGACTTGTGGTTTATTCATCGTCCCGAACGAGGCCGGGGTGTTGAATAATCAGAAATACGCCCACGCATTCCAGCATCCAGACTCAGATTGCATACACCTCAGCATAGTTGAGGCGAAATTATTCCAAGCAAACAGGAGGCTCCTAAAGTAAATAATACATAGCCAAGCCCGGAGTTAGCTTAACAGGGTTTCGGTGTAATAGATCGACGCTAGGGAAACAAGGGTTAGTTAGGGCAGAGATGCGCCTGTGTATTCATCCGCCCGTATGGTTTATTCATCATTGTTCAGAAAACTGGGTACCATAACTATCGACTAAGATTTGAGTAATGCTGTCAACCAGCAATGCACCCCTTTATCTGAACGGGTTGATTACAATTGACAAAGCTAAACTTGATGGGTACCATTGGCCAGGTAGTCGCTTTAGAGTAACTTGAAGTTACTTGAACAGCTTGCTCGCTGCCTCACGTCGGCTTTTCTTTCTTAACTTTGTCAAGACGTTCCTGTCCATACAATTGCAAATCTGGTGGCTTACTAGATTCAATTTTTCTCGCTTCCTTAATACTTTATCGAACTCCAGAGGTCTCCAAATGACCCTCTACCCGTCAAGCGCTGACAGCAAGTCCGATGATTCCTCCATCTCAGACAAAACGCCAATACAAGACCTCGATGCCGAGCACAAATTGGCAGAAAAGGTGGCCCCTGGAAGCCGAACGACGTGGCACATGGCCGAAGAACTGCAAGCGATGAAAGACCGAGACGAGCAAAGTGGGGAGAAGGCCAGGAAACTTGGAGTCGCCTGGCAGAACCTCACCGTCAAGGGTATCAGCAGTGATGCTACATTCAATGAGAACGTCCTTTCACAATTTAATCCCTTCGGGAAAGCTGGTAAGGGCGACCCTATGAAAACAATCCTCGACAACTCGTTTGGCTGTGTGAAGCCTGGAGAGATGCTGCTTGTTCTCGGACGCCCGGGGTCAGGGTGCACGACGTTGCTTAACATGCTTTCAAATCATCGGCTTGGTTATGCGGAGATCGCAGGTGACGTTTCGTTTGGAAACATGCCTGCCGAGGAAGCCAAGCAATACCGCGGTCAGATCATTATGAATACGGAGGAGGAAATCTTCTTCCCGACATTGTCTGTGGGCGAGACCATCGATTTCGCCGCCCGTATGAAGGTCCCGTATCATCTGCCGCCGGGTATCAAGTCTGCGGAGGAATACGCTCAGCTCAACAAGAATTTCCTTCTGAGATCGGTAGGCATCTCGCATACAGCATCTACCAATGTGGGGGATGCCTTCATTAGAGGTGTCTCTGGAGGGAGAGGAAACGTGTTTCCATCCTTGAGTGCTTGACTACTCGAGCAAGCGTCTTCTGTTGGGACAATTCCACGCGTGGCCTCGACGCCAGCACAGCGTTAGAGTGGACCAAGGCAATCAGAGCGATGACGGATATCCTTGGACTCACCACAATTGTCACCCTGTATCAGGCAGGCAACGGCATCTACGAGCATTTTGACAAGGTGCTCGTCCTGGATGAGGGCAAGCAGATTTTCTACGGCCCACAACAGGAAGCAGTGCCTTTTATGGAAGACCTTGGTTTTATGCGCGACTCTGGCTCTAACCGAGCTGACTTCCTGACTGGCGTGACTGTGCCAACCGAGCGTCTTATTGCCCCCGGCTACGAGCAAAAATTTCCTCGGACTGCGGACGAGATTCTCGCTATCTATGAGCGGTCCCCGATCAAGGCTAAGATGCTGGCCGAATGCACCTATCCAGAAAGCGAAGAGGCAGCAGACAATACGGCCGTCTTCAAGCAATCAGTTGCCTGGGAAAAGCACAGAGGGTTGTCCAAAACCTCACCTGTCACGACCGACTTTTTTTCCCAGGTCAAGGGCGCGGTCATTCGACAGTATCAGATCATGTGGGGTGACAAGGCCACTCTTCTTGTGAAGCAAGGTGCCACAGTTATCCAGGCTCTTCTCGGCGGCTCTCTCTTTTACAATGCCCCGGCAAACTCTGCCGGTCTTTTCCTTAAAGGCGGCGCTCTGTTCTTCTCGATCTTATATCCCGCTCTTATCGCTCTCTCAGAAGTCACCGACTCGTTTACTGGCAGACCCATTCTTGCCAAACATCGCGCTTTTGCCCTGTATCATCCGGCAGCCATCTGCGTTGCCCAGATCACCACAGACTTGCCCATCTTGCTATTCCAGGTCACGCAATTTGGCCTCGTTCTTTATTTCATGGTTGGCCTGAAGGTTACCGCCGCAGCCTTCTTCACTTATTGGATCATCAACTTTTTTACAGCTTTGTCCATGACAGCCCTGTTACGACTGATTGGAGCCGCTTTTCCAACCTTCGACGCCGCAACCAAGGCCTCTGGCCTAACCATTGTGGCATGTTTCGTTTACATGGGCTACATGATCATCAAGCCGGAGATGCATCCATGGTTTGTGTGGCTCTTTTGGATCAACCCTATGGCATACGGCTTCGAAGCTCTTCTCGGCAACGAATTCCACGAGCAAGACATCCCCTGCGTTGGCCCGAACCTCATACCAAACGGTCCTGGTTATACTGGAGAGGGCGGCCAATCTTGTGCAGGTGTTGGCGGCGCGATGCCTGGTGCAGCGAGCCTCACCGGTGATGCCTATCTCTCATCTATGTCATTCAGTCACAGTCACGTCTGGCGCAATCTCGGCATCATCATCGCATGGTGGATACTGTTCGTTGTGCTTACCATCTTCTTCACTAGCCGGTGGAAGCTACTTGGAGAAGGCGGTCGAAGCCTACTCATTCCACGGGAGCTGCAGCACAAATCGAAACATCTACTACAGGACGAGGAGTCGCAAGTAACTAAAAACGTCCCCGCCGTATCCGCATCTGACACGCCGGGTGGAAGCCTGAGCAACGACCTGATCCGCAACAAGAGCATTTTCACATGGAAAGACTTGACGTACACGGTCAAGACTCCCTCGGGTGATAGAGTCCTCCTCGATAGCGTGCAAGGTTACATTAAACCTGGCACACTGGGAGCACTTATGGGATCTTCTGGTGCCGGCAAGACAACTCTCCTTGACGTCCTTGCCCAGCGTAAGACAGAAGGCACTATCCATGGATCCGTTCTTGTTGATGGCCGACCTATCCCTATCTCCTTCCAACGTTCCGCTGGGTATGTCGAACAGCTGGATGTGCATGAATCTCTCGCGACCGTTCGCGAGGCTCTCGAATTCTCAGCCCTCTTGCGCCAATCGCGTGATACTCCCGACGAGGTAAAGCTACGCTACGTGGACACAATCATTGACCTCTTGGAACTCAATGACCTTGAGCACACACTTGTTGGTACTCCTGGTGCTGGTCTTTCGGTTGAGCAGCGTAAGCGTCTCACTATCGCCGTTGAGCTAGTCGCAAAACCTAGCATTCTTATCTTTTTGGATGAACCCACATCTGGTCTTGACGGCCAGGCTGCCTTTAATACCGTTCGATTCCTACGCAAACTCGCTGATGCTGGACAAGCCATATTGGTTACTATCCATCAGCCTTCGGCGCAGTTATTCGCGCAGTTCGATACTCTTCTGTTGCTCGCCCGTGGTGGAAAGACAGTTTACTTTGGCGATATTGGCGATAATGGAGACACTCTTAATGCTTATTTCGCTCGACATGGAGCTCCTTGCCCACCTGAGGCCAACCCTGCTGAGCACATGATTGATGTGGTATCAGGAAACGCGCCCCAAGGTCGCGATTGGAGTCAGATCTGGTTGGAATCCGCAGAGCATGACCAGCTTATCAAAGACCTAGATACTATGGTTGCAGAAGCCGCTGCTCGTCCTTCCGGGACTATTGATGATGGCCACGAGTTTGCAGCTACCATATGGACACAGGTCAAGCTTGTAACTCGCCGCATGAACGTCTCACTATTCCGTAACACCGAGTATATTGACAACAAGTTCCTCCTACACGTCAGCCTCGCGCTATTGAATGGGTTCTCCTTTTGGATGATTGGCGATAGCCTCACAGACCTCCAGAAAAATCTTTTCACTGTCTTCAACTTTATTTTCGTGGCACCGGGAGTTATCTCTCAGCTCCAACCGCTTTTTATTGACCGTCGCGATATCTACGAGACGCGTGAGAAGAAGAGCAAGATGTACCACTGGGCTCCATTCGTCACTGGTCTGATCATCTCAGAGATCCCTTACTTGCTTGTCTGCGCGTTGCTGTATTATGTCTGTTGGTACTTCACTTGCGGGCTCCCAACAGCACCGGAGTACGCTGGCAGTGTTTTCTTCGTTGTGGTAAGTCGTTCTTCTCTCGAAGATCTCAGTAACTCGTATCGCACGTACTAAAACGAAGTCACAGGTGATGTACGAGTGTCTTTACACTGGTATTGGCCAGATGATCGCCGCTTACGCCCCCAATGCGGTGTTCGCCTCGCTCGTCAACCCGCTTGTTATCACAACCCTGGTCTCATTCTGTGGCGTCATGGTGCCGTACAGCCAGATTGAACCATTCTGGAGATATTGGTAAGCACCACATTCACGCCTAAAATCTTCTATCTTGGTAGAAACTGATCTCGACTCCAGGATGTATTACATTGATCCATTCAACTATCTGATGAGTTCCCTGCTTGTGTTCACCACTTGGTCCAAGTCTGTCGAATGCGATACTCGTGAACTCGCTATATTTGACCCGCCATCCAACCAAACCTGTGGTGAATATCTTACGGCCTACCAACAAGGCATGGGCGCGGGGACAAATCTCCTCAACCCAGAGGCGACCACCGACTGCCGTGTGTGCCAGTATACTGGAGGCGGGGACTTCCTTAAGACGCTCAATCTCAGTGAAGAGTACTTTGGCTGGAGGAATGCAGGCATCGTTGTCATTTTTGTGATTGGTATCTATGGGCTGGTATACCTAATGATGAAATTGAGGACAAAGGCTACTAAGAAGGCCGAGTCCTAGACTACCGGGCCCTTGGGGCTGCTAAGGCGTGTCTTCACGTTGTGGTGTTTTGCCTGAGTCTGTCGCCTCAGATTCTGGCTTACGGCTCCCGTTTGGTTGCTTTCTTTCTTTTATTGATTCTTCTTATTTTAAAACATTGTTTTATAGAATGATAGACAATTGGCGAGTCGATTTTAGACCACTGGCGTTGTCATGGACTCTCTGTCTTCTCTGGTCACTTTTTTCACACATCTCTTCTCTCTCGGCTGAATACCTCTGCAAGGAGATGCATACAGACAAATCCCAACTTGCAAATCTCAAGCGCGGTTTCTCAATCAACATAGCTTCATATTCTCGACAGGGCGATCCTTTGGTAAATGTTTCTTCAATACAAGTGATGATAAGGAAAATAAGGAAATGTAAAATTGGATAGGTCCAAGAAATATTCACTTCAAGCAAGCTATGCAAATTCGAAACTGATTTTGGCTGATTCTCAGGGTAATAAGATATCCCTTAAGCTGCTATTGGTATGTGCATTTATAGGGCTCCCATGCTCGGTGAACTGTTTGTTGTCGAGTTCGAAGACCGTCGAGCAGCTTAAGGGGTGTCATATGATATGTAAGCCAAACCCCTGAGCTTCATATGAAACGCACAAACTAACAGCGACCATACCAGATCATGGTCACATGACCAACTAGGTCATGTGATCGCAACGGGTTTACATTACAGCGTGCTCACAATGAACGCGAGTTTCATTTTTCAGAGAATAGGTTGCTCAAGGGCCTCTGTACATGGGTTAAAAACATTGAGGTGAAGGCTGGGTGAAATGGCAGGGCAGGGGTTTCTGGAGGAACATGCTAGTGCACAGGGATCGCAGATCACCTGGACAGATTTCTTACACCGAAGATTGTGAACAATTTTACGAAATTTACAGTATTAATACTAAGATATAACTCATTTATCAGCTGATACGACGTCACTACTTTCAACTCCCACGGAGGGTCAGCCGCACGCCCCATTGAGGCCTTATAAATAAAGCCGGGGAAGCCATTTTCTTTGGGTGTTTCCAAAGTTCCAACCTCTCTAGCCGTAAGTGGTATATGCTAAATGCGTCATTTTAAGAGGCTTATCAGTTGCCCAATCAGCCTCCAAAAATTCCCCCAGCGCCGATTGGTCCAACTGAAAGTCTCAAGTAAGAATACGAGCTGGTCAACATAGGTCTGGCCAGCATAGGTGCAACGGCTCAATCTGATCTCTGGGAGGGTCGCAAATTCTCCTGACATCCTTGACAAACCAACCCCAGCTGCGAAAATGACAATTCTTATCACCCTGGGCAGAGCAAGTGTGACGCTCGTCTTGGCAGGTGTCATCGCGTCTATCTATCGAGTATGGCAAGTCCGTCGTCTATTCCGGAATGCGGCTAGACAACATGGAGTGGTGTGTACAGTCCCCTGAATTGGCAGTTGATCAATACCCTTACAATTCTCACAGCCAATGCTGCCCCATTCGTGGGTTTTTGGACATCTGCACCATATCGGCAAAACCATGGCCAAATATCCCAGCGATGTTCATGGCCAATATATGCCTCTCCTCCTTGCCAAAGACCACCCAGAATTGGAAGTGCCTGGGCTCATGTACATCGATATCTGGCCTATTGCGCCCCCAATGCTGGCCGTCTTTCATCCTGATATGATGGCCGAGTTCACGCAGACCACCTCGCTTCCGAAGCATCCGTCACTGGAGGGCGAGTTCAGGCCTTTTACGCAACTCAACGACCTACTCACCATGTCGGGAGAGACATGGAAGACGTGGCGAGGCATTTTCAATCCCGCATTTTCAGTCAAGAATATTCTGTCACTAATACCCGCCTTCCTTGAGGAGATTGATGTCTTTGTTGATCAACTTAAGGGCGCTGCAAAATCTGGGAAAGTTTTTAGACTTGAAGATAAGGCCATTAGCTGCACGATCGATATCATCGGCCGGGCTATCCTGTATGCACTCCTTTTTACTTATCACATTCTCCAACCTTCACTAACAGCATATATCTATAGTGACATTCGTCTAAATTGCCAAACGAGTAATAACGAGTTACAAGAGACATTGAAGCGACAGATTGCTTTAATGTGGACAAGCAATGCCCCCGATCAACTAGTCATGGCTCTCAACCCATTGCGCCCCCTTCGCATGTGGAACAATAACAGGATCATCAGGAATTATCTCCGACCACATATCGAACGAGGAATACATGAGCATCTGAATGGTGAATCAACCGGACACAAGACCATCAACTCTCTAGCCACCAAGGCCTACCTCTCCCAACAAGATTCTTCCAAGACCAACGCAATCGCTGCCGACGAACATTTCACGGACATCGCCATTGCCCAGATAAAGATCTTCCTGTTCGCGGGACACGACACTACAGCGACAGCTCTCTCATACTCCTACTACCTTCTCAACACAAACCCATCAGCACTAGCCACACTCCGCGCTGAACACGACGCCGTGCTCGGCCCTAATACAAGCACAGCCCGAGCCCAAATCGCCGCCAACCCAGCCCTGCTCAACCACCTCCCCTATACATCGGGCGTTATCAAAGAAACCCTGCGCCTCTTCCCACCCGTCGGCACAATCCGCAAAGGCCAAGCAGACTTCTACCTAACCCACCCAGAAACAGGGAAGCAGTACCCCACAGACGGATTTATGTTGTTCGGACTCAGTTTCGGCGTCCAGCGAGCAGAAGAGTTCTGGCCCCGAGCCACAGAGTTTCTGCCCGAGCGCTGGCTCGCAAAAGAAGGCGAGCCGCTGCATGTACGGAAAAACGCATGGCGGCCCTTCGAGCAGGGCCCCAGGAACTGTATTGGCCAGGAGCTGGCGCAGATCGAGCTGCGGGCGATCCTGGCGCTGACGGTGCGTGAAATGGATATTGAACCTGTTTTCCCTGATGACTCGCCTGTTGTGTTTGGGGAGAAGGCGTATCAGGTTATGGAGGTTGGTATGATTACTGGGCATCCGAAGCTTGGAATGCCGGTTCGGATTAAGATGAGGGGTGAGAGTTAGGGAGGTTTCATTTAGAAGTTCATTTGTTCCCAGTTGCTGTTCGTAGGCCCTGATGAGAGGTCACATCCTGAGAAAGCGCAGGGTCAAGGGACATAAGCTCCACTTCTCGGTCGCCTTTTGGATTCACCAAGCCTCCAGTCAAACGTGAAATGCAATCCTCCGTCTGTTTTGGCCCCATATCTACACACGGGGAGAAGACTAGGAACTCCAAAGAACAACCGTGACTATTCAACCAAGCAAAGGCCAGCTTAGCTACGAATCGCCGGTGGAAGGTATAATAATAGCTCTCTCCCCGTTTCAGACGCCAATGGTTCGTAGATCGAAAGAGATCCTAACAGTTCTGGACCTTTAATCCCCAGGCAGACATAAAAGAGCTTGTTACCTCCCAGCCGGTCGGATCCCAAGGGTCTTTCCAGACTAATATTCCCGCGGTTCCTTCCATCGTGTTGCATAGGTCTTCACAGAGCCCGTGTTCATCCACGAATGGTTCAAGGACAATCAAATTATCGCGCATTTGGGGCTTAGGGAATAGATCAAGCCATGGGTGGTGTGGAGTTGAGAGCTGGAGGGCAGTAGGCTGCAAGCTAAGGGGGAGAGAAACCACTTCATTGTCGGCCAGTGAGGGGCAAGCGAGGCAGAAAGGAGACAAGGCTTCGTTATGCATCGGGCTCGATTGATATCCCAGGATATTAATATTATACATCAGAGCTCGGACCAAGTTTAGTTGAGAAAGGCCTAGAAGGAGTTCCGTGTGGAGTGAACCGGTCAAGTAGCTGTCATGACAACGGCATTCTAACTGACGAAGGACCCGTTTTGTCTCTTCCGAATGAATCCCAAGGCTGTAAAGGTCCATCAGACATGCAAAGTCGGTCATGCAGTTGCCGATAGTTTAGTCGTGAAACTTAGTGAAAGAGTTAGCTAAAGCGATGTAAATATTATAGGATCTATAGTAAAAGCAAGAGCAATGGCTTCTTTAAATAAAGTATCGTTCATACCTTCGGCTATATTTAGCTATTAACGATATCCGCGCTACTTTCGAGTAGAGCCTAGGCCCGATGAAGAATTAATTCTACAGTTATCCTTACAGAAAGCCCTTCACAAATCTAAGGCTTTCTCTTAATTAAGGGCACAAAGAAAATGCTGCATACAACTGTCCTGTATATGCTAGGGGCTTTTTTTTTAAAAAAAAAAAAAAAAAAAAAAAAAAAAAAACCTCAACATATTCAATTTAGCTGAGATATACGTCACCTTCATTTAAGGTTTTATTTTTATCTATCGATATGCCTTAGAGGACCCTATGTTTTTACGGTTCCTACCGATACTCAGTTAACGGCCGCAGCTACTGATGAGCCCTCTATTACACGAGAGGTGATTCCAAGGCTACAGTCAGTCGGTCCAGTAAATTCAAACCCGTAATGTCAATGTTAAATACCGTTCAGTACGCAGAATGGCCATTGTTATACTAGTGCCTATCAAATAATTTAACTAACGCCTTGGCAGTGGGGCTCGAGAATAGGAAAGCAATGTTTGGGGCGGAAGCTGATTTCGCTACGGGCGTTGGTAGACTATATATATTAATCTTCGCCCACTGTCTTTCGGTTATCCCGGTGTTCTTTTCTTATAAACAATTCTACCTTGACTGGACATGATATTAAACATGCCTTGTCCCGCCAAGTTCCTGTGCGAACAGATGTTGGGTTGGCTGATCGCTTCCCTGAATGCATTAGGTTGGCGCTTAGATGCTGCGCCTCTTCGGTCTGGATCTTGGGTATTAATTGCGAGGCTCATCCGCTGACATTCAGGTCTTCTTTCTCGGTTTCCTGCTTATCTTGGATACTATTTCACCCAACTTGGCCCGTCGAGACTACGACAGTTCGCCTGGACCTCCCTTTCCTTAGTGAGGCGCGACGACAATGCACCCAAGGAGCCACGATTCCTATCGGGTGGCGTGGATCTGTCCGTTGGAGGTGGAACAGATCGCGGCATTAGAGATGCTGGATAAAGAGCATAAACGTCTACCGCAACCAAGCGGGGACACAAATGTTTATAACCTCGGCAGCATCAACAACCATAACGTCGTCATCGTCGGTCTTCCCCAGGCGGGGAACTGCCCCGCAGCCACTGTCGTCACTCAAATGAGGAGGACATTCCCAAACCTCAAATATGGCTTGCTAGTAGGCATTGGAGGCGGTGTGCCAGTAAAGACGGATTGTGGGATGATCCGTCTAGGGCATGTGGTGGTCAGTGAACCTACAGGTACACACTCTGGAGCAATACAGTACGATCATGGAAAGGCGAATGAAGGCTATTTCGAACGGACAGGGATCCTTGCGCCTCCGCCACTAGCGCTCCTCAACGCTGCACGAGAGTTGTCTATCTCGCGTCAACGAATGGATAATGATCTAGTTTCGGAAAACGTGAAGAGAATCCAAACTAGCAGACGAACGCTTCGTCGCTTTAAGTCTCCTGGCGCTGCAAATGATCATCTCTATGTAGCAGACTATAAACACAAGCAAAAAGGGGTACCGTGTGGAGACTGCGGATGTGATGAGAACCAGCGGATCCGGCGACCGATAAACGAGGAAGACGATTTGTTTGTTGTCGTACACAGGGGTACAATAGCAACGGGGGAAAAGGTGATAAAGAATGCTAAGAGGAGGGATGCCTTAGCGAAGTCGTATACGGTGTTATGCTTTGAAACTGAGGCCGCGGGGGTCTTGAATGACTTCCCATGTATGGTTATCCGAGGCATCTCCGATTATTGCGACTCGCACAAGAGCGACGAATGGCAGGGCTACGCGGCGGCGGTAGCAGCTGCTTATGCAAGGCAGTTGTTTTTCCATATGTCTGAAGAAGCACAAAGGTGAACTTCTTACTATCCTATTATAGAGAGAAACACGGTTATGTTAATAGCTTATTGATGTATCGCTTAGACCTACCGCTTTCGAGCTCCAGTACAGCCTATCCGCGGTATCTGGAGTGAGCCACTTTGTTGCAAGGAAATATGAGCTCCAATTGGTGCAAGAGGCCCTCGAGGGATTTGAACGTTGTACTGCTGTCGTTCATGGGTTAGGTGGCATGGGCAAAACGCAGTTGGCGATCGCCTATATTAAGCGACATCGACTTGACTACTCAGCGGCAATATGGATGAACGCAAGAGACGAAACAGGGCTGAAGCAAAGCTTTGCTGACGCAGCTGAGTGGATTCTACGCCATCACCCGACTATCACATACCTTGCGGATGCCTTGCAGAGCCGGGATCTAGACGAGATAGTGAAAGCGGTTAAAATGTGGTTGGACGAGCCGATGAATGATCGCTGGTTGGTCATCTATGACAATTACGACAATCCGTTATTAGATAACCATAGAGACAAAAGCCTAAACCATGCTTCCTGTATCAAGGCAGGGGCAGGTCCGTGTGGCGATGAAGGCAGACACCTTACGAATGCTTTTGATCTTCGTGCATTTCTGCCCGAGGCCGACCATGGCGACGTTATCGTGACCACGCGCTCATCGATGGTAAATCTACGCCAACCTATCAAGTCTATTCACCTAAGCAAGCTGGAGGATATCAATGACAGTCTCGAGATCCTTGAGTCTGTTTCTGGTCGTGATGGTTTAAGCCTTGGTGAGTACTAGTGAATTAGGTATGATTTGTTGCCAATTACTAAGATAGAGCAGACCCGGCAGCTGTTAAGCTTGCAGAAGAGTTTGATGGGCTTCCCTAGCCCTTGCAACTGCAGGCGCATACTTAAACCAAGTTTCGGTAACCTACACCGAGTATCTCCAGCTATACCGTGAATCATGGCGGCAATTACAGGAAGAGACACCGTTGCTACAGGTATACGATCAAAAGTTATACTCAACATGGAATGTTTCGTACCAGTTTATTCAGCAGCAGAGTCCAATTGCAGCTCTGCTTCTCCAACAATGGGCATACTTCGCTAATGAAGACTTATGGTATGAGCTGCTAGGAGAAAGCGGGCCTGAAAAGCCAGAATGGCTAGAGAAACTGACGGAAAATAAGCTTACATTTCATACAACCCTAAGACTTTTATGCAGTCATGGGCTTGTAGAAGCTGATCAGTCCACACCGGAGCCCGTTGACTCGGGAGGGTATAACGTACACCGGTGCGTCCATTCGTGGATGATGTATGTGTTGAACGAGGTGGTCGATAGGGATATGGCTCTGACAGCGATAAAATGTGTGGTAGCTCGCGTGCCGAATGATAGTGAACCCAAATTCTGGCAGGTACAGCGGCGGCTTATTGCACATGCAGATCGATGTCTCGAGGTACTAGACAGTATAGACGTCGGAAATGAAGCTGAGGGGTTACATTCTTTAGGCCTCCTCTACGCAGACCAAGGCCGGCTCCAGGAGGCAGAGAAGATGTACCAGCGAGCACTCGAAGGCAAGGAGAAGGCGAAGGCATTGGGACGATGGCACCCATCGACGCTAGATACCGTTAACAACCTTGGCATCATCTACGCGGATCAAGACCGGCTTCAGGAGGCAGAGGCGATGTACATGCGAGCACTTGAAGGCTACGAGAAGGTGCGGTGGCAGGGGCACCCGTCGACGCTGCATACCCTCAATAACCTCGGCAATCTTTATAAGAACCAGGGCAGGCTCCAGGAGGCAGAGACAATGTACGAGCGAGCACTCGAAGGCAAGGAGAAGGCGAAGGCGTGGGGATATTGGCACCCCTCAACGCTAGATACCGTCAACAACCTCGGCCTCCTCTACGCGGATCAAGGCCGGCACCAGAAGGCAGAGGAGATGTACGAGCGAGCACTCAAAGGCAAGGAGAAGGCGTTGGAACGATGGCACCCGTCGACGCTAGATACCGTCAACAACCTCGGCAATCTCTATAAAAACCAGGGCCGGCTCCGAGAGGCAGAGACGATGTACGTGCGGGCACTGAAAGGCTACGAGAAGACGTGGGGACGATGCCATCCGTCGACGCTGGATGCTCTCAATAACCTCGGCAATCTCTATAAGAACCAGAGCAGGCTCCAGGAGGCAGAGGAAATGTACAAGCAAGCACTCGAAGGCAAGGAGAAGGCGAAGGCGTTGGGAGGGGAACACACGTCGACGCTAGATACTGTCAACAACCTCGGCAATCTCTATAGAAACCAGGGCCGGCTCCGAGAGGCAGAGACGATGTATGTGCGAGCACTGAAAGGCTACGAGAAAACGTGGGGACGATGGCATCCGTCGACGCTAGGTACCGTCAACAACCTAGGCAATCTCTACGCGGAACAAGGCCGGTTCCAGGATGCAGAGACAATGTACGTGCGAGCACTGGAAGGCTACAAGAAGACTTTAGGGCCGACGTCTCTTTTGACGTACATCCCGGCTTTGGTCGCGCTTGAGAACTTGGGCCTCCTCTCTGAGAAGCAGGGAACGATTGAGAAAGCTCTTTTGTACTACCAGCAGGCCCTGGATGGTGCTGAGGCTGTTTGGGGGCAGAATCACGACAAATATAAAGAGTTATCTAGCATATTGAGCTCTCTGTCGCCTAACACTTGCGATTCCTTTGAAGTACAAGAGTCCATTCGAGAGGGAACAACCAGGCTGGAGAAAAACTTGGGAAAGATAAAAGCGAAGCTATCAGTCATGTTCAGGCCTTGATAAGCCAACCATGTACGCAAGCCAAATCGTCTCAGACACCGCAGCATGTCTTGCTTCAATGTCAGACATTCGGCGATACACGGCGAGAATTTATTCAACCGTCTTTGGAAGATTGGACTACAGAACCCGACCGACTAGACACTATTGTGTCAGACCCGCTGGCAGCCCGCTACATTGCCAAATTTATGCACCGAACCGGTCGTCTTGCTCAGTTCCAACACGTGGAGCGTGGAGCAGTGAGGGATTCGATGAAGGACCTGTAGGCCTCGCAGCCATGGAACAGAGTCCCGAAGACGCTGGGTACTCATCAAAGCATGCCCGCAACCTTTTTGTATTCAATGCATCATTTGCATTGAACTTCTCATTTGTACTGCTTTGTCGGGTTTCATTGCTGGGTTTTACGAGTTTTGATATTTGGACTTGCATGTACTAAGCTAGTGCTCTCACTCTCTGAGGACCAGCCTTCTGTTTGTACTGAAGCATGATCTGGCGTACGGATTACGAGTCCATGCTTCAACTGAAATGAAGCGCCTGCATAGCCATTACGATACTAGTTAGACTCCATTAGGTTAATAGAACTTTGGATTGATTTGATTGGAGACCCTACCGTCATCTCAGACGTTGGTGTCTAGAACGGAGCTGTCTTGTTGGCAGGAGCCTCGGTATATAGCTGCTGACCATTCTTCTTGAAACCAGTAATAATCTTCTGGCCCTCATCGCTAATAACCCACTGCACAAATCGATCAGCAGTCTTCTCATTCTTAGCATTCTTTCCAACAAGCATATGAGCAGGGTTAAGGAGTGGGTCCGAGGCTTCATCAGTAGCGGCCTTATAGATGGTAGTCTGGTTCTGCAGCTCGGTAGAGATCGAAAGATAAGTACCTCGATCAGTGATGGTGTACTCATCCAACAAGATAGCAGCAGTCAAAGCCTGAATTGGGTACGCAATGTACTGGTGGTACCATTTAGAGTAAGCAGTAGCCCAGGGGACTTGACCGATACCAATCCACAACTGAGAGTCTTTGATATTTGTTGCAGATTTGTCGTAGCGCGTGAGGAAGCGCACGGGTGGGTCTGAAGTTCCTTCTTCGGCGGTTTCATAGATATTCGAGAACATGGTGCTGATATCTTCGCTCTTGGAGAGGTTGGCTGGGTTGGACTGTGGACCGACGAGGAGGAAGTGGTCGCGCCAGGCATACCATGCGGGGGACTTTGCAATGCCTTGATTGATGGCGATCTGCTCGGCTGATGGGGTGTACGTGATTCCGATATCGACGGTGTCGTCCTTGAGGTAGTTGATGGACTCGGTGGTGTCACTCTTATACCAGGCGACTTTGAAGGGATTGGAGCCGTTGCTGACACTGGACTTGATGAACTCGTTGGCAAGGACTGGGCTGTGTTAGCTTGCGAGTCTATATATACATAAAGCCGAGAAAGAGTGCCCGTCATTAAGTTACGCTTAACTTACTTTCAATCAGACCGCTTTGCCCGGCGCCGCCATTGCCGATTCGAAGCAAGACGTGGCTGGATGAGGTATAGCCACCGCTGTAGACCGCAGCAGGATCGACAGCATATGCGGATGTAGCAAGAGCCACGCCCTGAATGATGGTGGCAACAGACGGCATATTGACATATAACAGTTATATAATGAAAGAAAGACTTGATTATGTTCAAGGCCAATTCCAGGTTGGTGGGGGACACAACAGGAAGGCAAATTTGGACTATAGGCGGGAGATTGCATTATTTATAGTGCAAAGCCCCCGACGCCAGGCCAAATCATCAAAATTGACGTGTATGGGCAGGTTCCTCAAGGGTAGACCCGGCAGATCGGTGGGCCTATAGGTGTGCTAGGGTATCTAGGACTATTTTACAAGAACAAGCAAAGATCTTCTCTATTTTGCGCCATTCTGCATCCCCTTCTACCCAATATGATGAGGATCAGTCGATGCCAAGCCAATAGCGCACGAGCTCATCAACATATTCGTATAGTTCAGCTCTTCAAGGATTCGTGTTTGAAGATGATATGAATCCGTCTAGTCGACTCCGCAAGTTATGTCGAACGTTACACTAAGAATAAGAGTGCTAGCTGGCTAGTGAAAGGTAGAGGCTTTTTGTCCATTATAAAGTCCTGCTTGTACATTGGAAATCCATCTCTATTACACAAGAATTGTGATCAACATCCGCTCATGCAATAATATATAAACTAAAGCAAGAAAAAAAAGAAGCAAAGCAAAACAAATACAAGTCTTGAATACAAGCCCACAAAGTCTGCGTCTCTCAAACGCTAACAACATATCATGAAAAGTATGGGTATTTCTGAATCATGCAAATTAGGCAATCAATCATAGATATCATCAAACAAAAAGCAAAACCATCAGTAAATCAATCAATAAGTCGGTAAATCGGTAAATCATAATCATTGCGTACACCTAAACACTCGCTGTGCGCCGCGGAACCTCACTTGGTTTCTGGGCATATGCAATCAACATGCGGAAACCAGTTCCTCTCCTCTGACACTCGCGAAGGACCTTGCGGTCACTCCATATGCTGTTATCGCTATCCCCTCCAGGGAAGACAGGATCTTCATAGCATTTTGAGTACCACCAGCGTCCGACACGAGCGACGATCTTTGCGATGGATTCGTCCTTTGCTGGGGATGGGGATGGGTCGGAGAGGAGATCACCCAGAGAGATGTTCGCGTCGTCAGAGGGGGATTTTGATGCAGTTCTTGTGCTTTGGCTTCCTGTTGCGGTGGTGACAGAGATTGTTGGGAGGGAAAAGGCGTCGGAGGGGGTAGTTGTTGAGATAGATTGGGAAGAGGATGTAGTGGAGGCAGAGGATCGGACGACCATTCCTGCGACTGGAATACGGACCATGCAGCGGCGGAGATTGTCGAAGCCCTGGGTACCGAGTTGTCGCTGGACGCTGTCGCTGGCTGGTTTGAGGCTGATCGTTGAATCGGATAGGCAAGTTATTTCCTTTAGCTGGCGAACTGCTTTGCGGGTGCGTGGTCCCATGTTTACCATGTCACGGTCTAGGAGGCTCATCTCTAGGTACCCGCCTGTTCGGAGGACCCGTTTGCATTCTTGGATAATGTTGCCTTGAACAGTCTCGGAGGATACGGCGGGGAATCGCAGCACGGCTACGGTGAAGTAGTCCTTTGGAAAGGGAAGCGGGTTGCTCAGTCCGGCGTGGTAAACTGTGTGGTGGTTTGTCGGTGGCTGCCATGCCGCGGGGTGAGGAGCTGCTGTAGACACAGGGCGACCTCCAAGACTGTATACCTCTGCATCGGGATATGTCAAAGAGCAATAGAAAGACCAGTCGTCGTTTCCAAGTCCATCAACCACCAGGATCCTTCCTTGGCCTCCGGTCTTGACGTGGTTATGTGCCGGGCTAAATAGAACTCGGCCAAATGACAGCCAACGACTGGTCATGAGCGACGCCGACCGCATGTTAGTCCGTGTCACGGCATCCCATTCACGCTCCGAGGAGCCAGCTTCCTGTTGACGGTGGATCTTTCGTCGCGGTGAAGGGACAGCAGCGAGAGACTGAAGAAATGTGGACTCCTGTTCCCGGCGCTGGTGGGTGGAAGATGGCTGTTCGGTAGGAGCCGAAATATCCACCTCTTTCTCTTCATTTATCTTATCTTCTGTTAAGTCACCATACCTGGAAACGAGATCGCTGTAGGAGGGTTGCGATGAAGGAGCAGTAGACGAATGCAAAGCCGAAACAATCCTAGACCGACGAAGCCGAACAGAGCTGGCACTTGATCTCACAGAGTCCTCACCAGGTACTCGTTGGGTAGGATTGGGGTTATTCAACTCGTCCTGAAGAGCCCTACTCGCCATAGTAGCAAGTTCAAATCTGTCATCCTCTTCAGACTTAACGGGCTCCTTTGGCTCCGGCCCATCCGGCGAGAGAACATCATCAATCAAATCATCAAACTCATTCCAGACCTCATCTTCAGTAGGTGGCGATCCAGGCACCGGAGCGACAGCAGTAACTGCAGCCAAAGCAGCAGAACTATCCGACGAGGTCGAACCTTTCTTCGGCGGAAACTTAAGGAACTCATAGTCTGAGAATGGTCCAGCGAGGAAATCCAAAGCGCTGGCTTCCTCAGAAGCGCTGAAAGCAGGATTAAGCCCATGGCTCCATCGAGGTTCGCTGGGCCCGATTCCCAGATCCAGAGGTGCATCTGTGATCAATGGAGACTCGTGTGGAACACCCGTCGTGGGAACAGAGAGAGATGGAGACTCAACGACACTAAAGGGTCGCGAAAATGACTGCATCACTGGTCGATGTTGTCTGTCGCGCCTCGAGACAACCTGCGGAATTCGGCCAACCGAAGCCAACCGTCTTGGGCGTTCGACTTCAGGTGACAACTCCAGCTCTGGGGGCATAAGGTTGCGATTGAACATGGCAGTCTTCGGCGAGGGACGGTCATTGTCAAACTCTCCATGAAGCTTTGGCGGAGAAGGCAACAGGATGGAAGGCTCTCTTTTTCTGATATTCAGACCTGCTGGAACTTCCACTGGGTGGAATATTTCTTCCTCTTCTGTTGGTGGGGAGTCTTCAATTTTGTTGATGATCTCGTCCAGCGAGTCCGAGTCAGCGTCGACAAACGCATAGTGGGCAACAGGTCGAGTGTTCAGCACGGGCGAAATCGCCGCATGGAGTTGGGCGGTATGGGATGCAGTTGAGGTAGGAGGCTCGCTCTTGTGTTCATTGGCATTTTTTTTCTGAAAGAAATTCCACATGGACTTCTTTCCCTTCTTGACTTGTTGCTGCTCGGCTGACTCCGCTTTTTGAGGTCGTTCCGAGGGTTGTTGAACAGCTTTCTTTGGCTGGCGTGGAGCTTGAATACTCGACTCTTGACTAGTGAGAGATGTGGTGGTCACAGCGGCTTGAGGGTTTGCAAGGACACCATGCCAATTGCTCTTTGGAACTGGCATGCGTGATTTGGAGGCACTAGGCCGACTGATGTTCGTTTGGCGCTCAGCGCTGGGGTTTCTTGATGCGGTCCCAGCAGACTCGACAGGCGTGACAGTATCACCAAACGTCCCCGTCGAAGTGGCAAGCGAGTCAGTAGACTGACCACTGGAGTGTGTGAGCGCGCTCTGTCGAGGTAAGTTCGAAGTAGATGCAACACTAAGGCTGCTCATACTCTGCTCGCTCTGTGTTCGCGACAACGATGCACCATCCACTCCCCCGCCATTGATGATAACAGGCTCCAGACGACTCATTAGGAAATCATCAATCTCCAGATCTGGCCTACTAGACAAGCTTCCTTTGCTGGCGGCACTTCGCGTTGTGCTTGTTGATCTTGTTCTCGTGCCGCTGCTACTACTCCCACTGGCTTTCCGGCCGCGTTGTCCGTACTTCCCGTAGCCCTCGTGTCCTGTTCCAGCGGTGGGGCCTTTACGTGGTAGACGAGCTTGTTCCGTCGTAGTCACATCCATATCAGGCTTAGACTTCTTCGTGAAAAGACCAAATCGTTTCGGTACAGGCATCTTCGATTCCGGTTTTTCCTTGGGGGGCTCCTTCGTCAATGTCCGAGGTGATTTCCGAGATAACACAGGGGATCCTCCATCCCGAGATGAGATGCGCGATATACTCCTCGAGTGCAGCGAGTCAATTGATGCAGCGGCAGATTGGTTTGAGGTTGGATGTGGAAGGTTGGCCGCTAGGACCTTTTCCGCGGATTCGCGTCTTGTGTGACCCGTCGATCTGATGTATCGCAAGTTGCTCCGTACCACAGGTGAAGTTTCCAGCTCTAGACGATGCGTTCCATCTCTGCTTGGTCTTGGTGGAGTGCGTGGATTCTCCGCAATACCTGCGGGGGAGAATTCCATGCCCGCTTGCGGATCAAACAGGCGTCTTTCGGCTTCCTCGACCTCTTTACGGGCCTTTTCGGTGTCAATTTCTCCAGTTTTTGATGGACTGGAATCTACCGAACTTTTTCTCTGTGGAGAACTGTATGGCGAGCCGCGAATGTTGGTAGATGGAGACTTCGAGGTTGACTGTTTCTGATCGTCCGTCCCTACTGAGCTTAAACCAGAAGGTTTTGAAGGCACTCGCTTTTGGGTCTTTTGCTCAGGCCTTTCTTGCTTGGGACTTGATTGAATGATTGAGGGAGAAAACACCGGCAATCGTGTTTGAGATTGGCTAGGCTGCCTGAGACGGCCGACCTTTGTTGAGTATACGATACCTGGGGAATAAGAAGACAGGGAAGTGGGAGTAGATCCTCGACTCCAAATACTTGGAGACTCTGAGTATCTTGTCGAAGGGCTGCTTGCCGAGAAAAAGGGCGCCGGAGGCGGTGGCAAGTTCTGGGTATCGACTGTAGTCCTGAGACTTGCCAGTTCTTCCGGGCCATTAAATCTGGAATTTGCCGAGCTCAAGTTCGCACTGCTTTCGTTTGTATGACTGGTTCTATACGACGAAGCCGAATGCCCCAACCGAAGGGACTCAGGAGTGCCGTGCTTCGTTGCACTGTTCATATTGACGGGTTGAGGCTCTTGCGGAATCACGAGGCTGAGCTTGTGGGATTGTAATTGCTCCACATGTCTTCCTATTGTTGGGGCTCGTCTTCGAAGAACATTTCGTGACCGTTTCTGAGAAGACACTTGTTGTCCAGTCACAAATACTGATGGATTGTTGATCCCTGGGCTGGTAAGCGAGGAGGGAATTGGTTGTGTGGACTTCTGAGTAAAGGCAGCAGATTCCGGCGTAGTTGGTGATACAGTGCTACCGGTCCTGGGACGCGGAAGCATAGATAGTCGATTTCCACGATTTGTATTCTTGGTATTGGATGACCCTGGCACATGGCTGGTCTCTTCGACGCTCGAGAATGATGAGGTCCTGCTTCTGGGTGTAAAATTGACTGGTCTTGCAATCTGTGATCCTTGTGGCCGAACGCCATAGGCATTTGCAGGCGATGCTGAGGACAGGCCATCACGTGGCATGTGATGGCCAGAACTGTACGGCATGATGTAGGGTTGAGTGAGGTCCCTGGCTGCAATCCGAAGACAAATGACTCGGGTACTTGTATTTCGGTATAGTAATCATCACGTATCATTATCTAGTGAAAAGCAGCCTTGGTTGATCAGTATTGTTTTTCCTAGATCTGGTTGGGGTACTCACTGCGATACATGTCAGGCGATCAAGATTGTTGGCGCCTAGCGCATGTATAGTATTAAAATATAAGAAACAGATAAACTGGGGTATCTCAAAGTCATAGAACTAGAAGTAGATATTAGCAGGGTATTAAGAGTATAACAAAAAGTCCGTGAGTAAACGTCAGGGAAAAGTCACCTTGGATCGGCGAAGCCTAAAAGCTGCAGCTGCTTCGCCACACTCAATGTGGCGTTGGATCTCAGGGTTTTCCAGCCACGTCAGAGGTCAAAAATAAATTGAAAGACAACGAAGAGAGAAACAAGATAATTATTAAGGCTCCAGGCATTTATGTGCTGACTAGAAATGCCCCTCGATGTGGGGGCAAACTACCCTTGTACCGCACCATATAGAAGGGTTTGCACGGCAGCCCCGATACCACAAAACCAGGCCGTTTCTCTCATTGGCACACTATAACTATTTCTGTGATGAGATCGGGGGAGTCGAGACTGCACAACTTCGAGCCTGTCAAAAGGACCAGATAGCCTGCGCGAACTAGTGTTGGATGGGCCAAAGTCAAAAAAGGCGACTCCCACAAATAACCGGGGCAATTCCCAGCGGGATCATTGCGCACGCACACATGGCTAACGACCAGGCCCACAGGGATCTCAGTAAGAGGAGTCTCGTTGGCTCAACGGTATCGGTTCCCGGCGGCAAAGCAGTACTGTATCAGCACACAACGTGACAAGGGTGTTGCATGGCTTGACAGTGGAGAATCGTCAAATTTTGACCCGATCGCAGGTCAGCGGTGTACATTCAAGCTGAGTGTGCAGCAAACCCGTGTTGGCAACCAGTCTCCTCGCGTCTCTCTCGCCTCTTTGCCAACACATCCGGAGACGCCGATTTGAAGCCGAATCCATGATTTGAATGATCGACGCGAAGAGTTTTCCTTTGTTCATTTATGCTTTTTCCTTCTTTTTTGGTAACTCCCGTAACTCCACGTCTTCCCCGTGCTTTCGGAGAATTTCCCAACGTGGTTTCAAGGGACCATGCGTATGCAAAGAGACGTATGTGTTCGACTAGGCGCCGGATACTTCACATCTTCCCGAAACAGTTCATTTCCACCCGCATCACGTTTGAGACACATCGAGTCTCAGCTAAGATTTCTCAACGGTCATCCAGAGTTGCGTACTGTTTGGAACAGGCCCGAGCCGAGCCTTTACCAGGGAATGCCACCCACTGGACGTAAAGAGGTCGCTACAGGTGGGGGCGAGTCTAATCGGTAGCCTTGTAAGATTCACAGACCAGTGACGGCTTGGGAAGCCCATGTCGTCTCCGGGGATTCAATGTTCGAGCACCCTTGGATGTGGAGACGGGCTGTGATGGCCCACTGGGCGATCGAGCAATGAACAGGCCCTAGAGGAGTATCGGATGTTAGCTTGAAGCCACCAATTCTAAAAAAAGCGACTTGTGGATTGCGATTCGCGGGGAGGGACTGAGCCAAGTGGGGAGGGCGGTAATGCTGGCAATGAAGCTTGAAGTCGTAGAGCCAGAACATGCCATTTCAAATACCTGCTGTTTCCTCGTAAAAAAAGTGTGTGCTCAGACTCGAGTCCTCCCAATGTTGAGGCTTGTCGATCTCAAGCACAGCAGTCACGTTCTGGGTCATGTTTAAGCTGCGAGTGGTCGGAGCGCTGCTGCAGGAACAAGCGACTAATGCAGTATTCAGCTTCGCCGTCACCGGGGAATTAACACTGAGCGCCGCGAAGAACAGGTGATTGAGTTTTGAGTCTGTGTAAGAGTTGAGATTTCGAAGCTCCAAGGGTTCCTACCTTGGCGCCCCGGGGATGACCTCTGCTGACTACTCTCTACTTGGAATGAAACACATAAAAAGCTTTCTAGATTCACATATATTAAAACAAATCGAATTGAATGGCCTCGAAAGTTCCCAGTAGCATCTCAATACACAAACGCCCATTAAATAAATGATGATTGACCCAGAAGCAAGTGCACTTAAGCAGCAGCGGCAAATCGCTTCTTGCGAGCCTCCATAGCAGCATTGTCCTTCTCACTCCAGTTCTTGGGAGCATTGTTCCCATTGCCAGCGTTGGGCTTTTTTACACCAGCATTGGTCCGGTTTCCGCCATCGCGGTTACGGTTCCCATCTCCACGTCGCTGGTTACGATTCCGGCCAGTGTCGCGCTTCTTGCCTCCACGACCGCCTTGGTCGGCACGAGCCTCGCGGCCCCTCTTGCGAGACCGCTCGTCAGGGAGTGCCTGGTCCAGGCGACTTACACCCGCACCGGGGGAGATCTCGGCCTCGGCACCGGTACCGAACCGCTTTGCGCGCTCCAGTTGCTTCGTAGCCTCCTTCAATGCTGTCTCAGAATCCTCGACAATGCCGAACTTCTCGGCGCGCGCCTTGCGCTTCTGCAACTCGGCCTCTAGCTCTGTCGCGGGCAGGCCGCGAGTGTAGTCGACAGCAGGCTTCTCTTCGACGGCAGCTTCAGGCTGGGCGGCGACTTCGGCGGCGGCGCCGGTGGACTCGACCTTCAGGTCATCGGTCGTGGCAGGGTTCTCATCGAGTTTCTGGTTGGGGACAGCGACGGGGTTGGGCACAGCGCCTTGGCCACCGGCAGCAATGGCTGCGGCACCGGCTTCTGTTGATGGCTTCACGGCAGTCTCTGTAGGTTCGTCGTCCCAGTCAATGACATCCTCGGCGGCGTCAGTCTTGGCGGGAGCTGGAGCAGCGGCGGCAGCATCGGCAGGTTTGCTTTCGTCGTCTTGTTGGAGGCGCGAGATCAGGTCGGCCTTTTTACCGGTGTGAGGGAGAGATCGGGATTTGAGGATCTCGACCAACTCAGGGTTGGTCTTCTTGCTGTAGTCGGTCGCCATGTTGTGATTGGAAGATGTAGTAAGGTGAGGTAAGGTGAGGGGATTCGGAGATGGGAAGAGGGAAAGATGAGGTTAGGAATGCGATGTGGGGCCAGACAACTTGAATGGACGGAGAGGACAATCAACGCGACAATGGGGGCGCGTCCAGGGTCGTCACGTGATATGACAACTGCACTGGCCACCTTTCTATAACTTCACTTGTATTCATTCATGTCTTTCTAACAATGGAATCGATCGGGTCTACATTAGACATCTCCATTTCGTGGGAACAATAGCGATATACAATGTGAAAAATATTGATGACTTAACACGATACCCTATTCAGCCCTCAATAGCTATTGAGATGAAAACGTGGAGATACATTATAACATCCTGTTTTACTCGTTTACCACTGGCTACAAAGTCCGCCAATCACAATCGTGCATAATAAGATGTACGTCTAGACAATTCAGTGGGCTTGCGAACCAGCAACCAGATATGGCCCGGCGACTCCGAATAAATAACTCTCCAATATGACTCTTCTTCTTCTTCTGCCGAGGACGATCGGTTATCCCCGGATCTCCAGTCGAAGCAATACGAGATACGGTAGAGATCATATATCATTGGCAGTGTAGCCCGTGCATGCAGAGATCAACACGCCACAGAAGCTGTAAAGAGAGGCTGTAACAAGCAAGTTGGACTGTGCGCAATGACACAGCTGACCCAGATACTCAATATAATGTCCGAATCAGAGGTTGCCAGTTGTACAGGGCTTGTTGGGAGAAAACGTGGCCTGCATGCACTGCGCCACAACTTTGTGACGCCACTTCATGTTCCTCAGGCATCAGTTGAAGTATAAGTTCCAAGTCAAATTTGCATGTTGTTGCTATCAAGGGCGTATTAAATAATATAGTGGCTTGACTTGTCTGTTCTTCATATTACATGATTGGCAAAAAGTATTGAAAACGAACCAGAGGTATAGAGAGAACAAAGGCGTAGTGTAGCGCCTTCTGGCTCATGCTTGCAAATCTGCAGCGTTTCGTCCCTTCCCATTCTTTTCCTATGTCTATTCTTTTCAAAGCTAGACTCTAATGTTCCTTTATTTATAGATTACAGTAGATTCTATGTATAGAAGTTCTGACAGTCTGTTGCTAACCACAGATACTATAAGACTGGGACATGTAAAGCTCTTCGGTATTCCTAGAGCCGTTTAAATGAGAACTTGACTTCTTTGTCGTAGCTCACTTTCCTATATCGCTTCTTCTTGCTATTTTCAAGTGACCTAAAGCTAAAGCATTATAAAGGAATGACATAGCCCCTTATTCACTAACGAAGAATTGTTAGATATAAGCTCTAATTTTAGTTCTAGATTGATTCCCATCTTAGATATTTTAATCTTACTTATTTTGCTTCCTTTAAGACACCCGCTCTTATTTCCTACCCTTACATGGTTTGTAACATTCCTACATCTAGAAATAAGCAACTTTCTCAGACTAAGTCATTACAAAGTGACATGAAAGTAAGTGAAAAAGCGGCGTTCTCTCTCTCATTCTTCTCTCTTAACTAGAAGTTACACAAACATTTGGGGGCAGTCCCCAGCCCAAAGTATGCTCACTTTCTCTTGGTCACAAACGGCCCACGCTGGAACTCAATGCTGCGCCGCTTGATGGTCACCACCCGCTCGGTTGTGTGGCCCACCTCATAGCCAAGATCCACGTCTTTCCGGCCTTTAAGACCCATACTGAAGCAGGTCAGGAGGGTATCAGTCCACTCTCGCCACATCCCCTGGATCTTCTCATCCGGAAGGTACTCGTCGTCCAAAAGGCACGACGGGGCCTCCATCATTCAGCTGAAATCCGTCAGACCGGGTAAAATTGTTCCCCAGAACTGACGGTCAGGCTCGGGGGTCCCCTTATCGAAACCAGAGGCCGTGTGAAAGATAGCGACGACGTAACGCCATCGTCGGAGGTTTTCCTTGCCAAAGAATCTCTTCATGCTAATCTCTGCATCATCGGCCACCCGAATTTCGAATAGGTTCTCCCCGTAGAGGATGTTGAGGCACTCCTCACTCATCTGCAAGCAGATGAGTGAGGATACCTGTCCACCGAGGAATCTGATTGCCAAACAGATCCTCAGCGTCCCAGTCGTAGGTCGAGACTATGGGTTCCACCCCGAAGTCTCGGAAGCGGCGCGAGACCTCAATTGACAAGCCGCGAGGACTCAGCTGATGCCAGATCATGGGGCGTAGCTCCAATGGGAGGGTGAACAAAGGAGAAATTGGAGAATGGGGAGACATTTGCTCAGTCTCATTGCGTAGAATTTCTTCTTTAGTCTCAGTCTGCTCTTGGTTTTGAGCATCCTGGCGGCCTTGCGTGTCTTCATTGTGCTGGGTGTCTGCGTGGTTTTGAGTCGCGTCATGGCTTTGGAGATCCACTTGAATTGGAGAATCCATGACATTCACATCATCGTCACGACTTGTAGTATCCTCGCCAATTTGAAGATCTTCGTGGCTTTCAATGTTTCCGCGTTCTTGATATTCTCGCGGATTAGGGCATCTTCGGGGTTGGGAGTGTCCGCCATTGTATCAATTTTTGTTTTGATAGACCCGACGGTTCAAGGGATTTTTCTTCAACGATTAGAACTGTCAGTTATTTGCAAGTAATATTAGATAATTTTGTCGTGCATACCCTGGATCTTGGAGCAAGAGACAATGCGCAGTCGATTTCGCGGGCGGAAAAGGAAAGCGTCTCAATATCAACGGTCTCCTTTCGGCATGAAACGAGACGCGGGATCCTGTTAGACGTTTCCGAGTCAGCCTGTCCGAAGTCCCATTAATAATGTTCTTCCAGAACTTACCCTTTCAAGGGGTAGGTTTGAAAGATGATCTTGGGTTTATGTTGAAGCAATGTGGTTCACGAAATCTGGTACGATCTAGAGTGTGAAGATGTGACCAAGGAGGTCTTGTACGATCGATGGCACGAAGACTTGAATCAGTACTAACAATTCGGAGTCGGTCATCGTACTGGAAGACCAAAAGCCTTGATATCATACCTGATTAGGGAGATCCGGTTCAAGAGCGGCTCCAGGGGATGGCAGAGTGTATGGTGGAAGCGATTGCCATCGAGCCCTTGAAGGGATCACTTTCAGGAGAAGCCTCACGTCGAGGCTATGATGAATAGTACTAAAAGGAAGTCCCTGATACAAAAAGTCTCAAGGAAGAGGGACCAGGAAGAAGAATGGTGAAGGGCGTTGAGAAGGGGAGGTAATTTCGAAAGTGTAAACGATCTATATCCCGGGATCGTGGGATGGGATCGTGGGTTGACGACCTAAGGCCGTCGATTCAACATCAGGGCTAAACCGCGATGCACCAGCCGCGCATTATTGGCTCTCTCTTCCTAGTCATACCATGACCTCCTACCAAGGCACATTTTCAGGTGCTGTAGACCCAGATGTGATAATACGGAAGCACGCAGTGACTTATTTGAAGCATTTGGGTAATCTCCAGCCCTACACCCTCCGATTCTTGTCATCTGCGTAGAATATACCACAGTTGGTTTAACTTAATGCGAGTAGTCATGCTTTAACATTTTTTTCGTCTCTTTAGCGTCTCCTTTGCCATCGCTTTTAGTGCCTCTTTATCCCTAGAAAAGATCAATCTCTGCTAAATCCGTGGCACCGTATCCCGGTTGAACCCAATGAGGACACTTAGCGAACAAGCCAACTATGGAGACGAGAACATAACATTTTGAGCAGTAGTCTAGTGGTAAAATCATGAGTAGGACCCAAGAGCCTAGGTCGATATTACGTATGCGGATGAGGGCATCAAAGTAATGAAGTGGTAGTCAGGCTTATGCACTGTATGAATTTTGGAGATGGTCAATTTCAAGCTCGTTCAACAATTTATATACAAGACAGTTAAACACTTTAAACTGGTGAAATCTATGTAGCGTTTGGCCTCTTTCGATAGCCGGTTCACTTGCTCACTTTTGAAATATCAATCAGAATTAGGCACACCCCTTCTCTTCTGAAGTCCAAAATACACGAAACATAGTTCTTAGGGCCTTGCAGCTATTGAAAGGACCTAATTTGCGCGTGTTCCCCCTTTTTTTTTCCCTTGATTGCCCAATGCAGCACGCATACAGTGTTTGTTGCAGCTGCATTACCATGGAGAGCAACCCACCTTGCTAATGAGGCTTTATAAGTCTGCTGGTTTAAATTGGCTATCTATTAATTCTTCTATAAAGCGATCGCCTGGGTTGTTTCCTTCAACCCCCTGAATATCCGCTTGTGCTGTTCCAGAAGTACCAGCGTTGCAATCGTCTGTGGTCCCAGCCTGACAAAACTCGGAGTCCATCCTCGAAATATCCATCTAGCTCCCTCTGTTGCCGTCAGTCCCTTGATGATACCCAAGATTCCCTGCTTCTCCGATGATCCCATAAGGTGTGTCTTGATCACATCAATCGGGCTGCATAGCGTAGTAGCCACTAGCGCTGCCAAGAAGGAAGCCGAAACCTGCAGTCCAGGGCTATTATCATCAATCCCCGTAGTCCTTGCTAGTAATTCCCTAAAACTGTCATAGGAAGCAAGCTGGCAGCTGGTCATTAAACCACAGCGGAAAGCATTAGGCCACAGTCCTTGCCCAAAAGCCTTCCAACCTTCCTGTCTATTGATTTGACTCCATGCATCAAAGACATGTCGGTAGTTCCGGCGAAGATGGGGAGGCAGTGAGCCGTCGTTCTGCATTCGGATATTGCCTATGTCTGAGGCATTTCCGAATATTCCGCCGACGAACCCAGAAATACCTGCTAAAACTCCAAGAACTGGAGGTGATGCGGGAAAGTTGTTCGCTTTTGCTTTGTCCTTCAATGTTTCATAGAGGCCGATGCGGACGGAGCCATAAGTTACTGTCGAGTAGGTAAGTGTCGTAAGTATCAACTGGAAAGAGATAAGAAAGAATAGTCGCATTACACTGTCTCATGAAACCTGCTGAGAGCTTGGAATTATAAGCTTTTCCTGGTCTCCATCTAATAGTTCCAACTTACCCCATTATAGAATGCCAGTATACCCTCACCCCGAACAATTCGAATGCAGCTAGTGCAAGTGCCAGCTTTCGCACCACCAGGTTCCATCTGCATTCTGACCTTGACTAGAATTTTTAGTGAATTTGATAAAAGACAGAACGATTGGCAGGCAAACTCACTTAGATCCAAAGGATGTGAAACAAGCACAGCCATGCAGGACGCAGAGCCCCCAAACCACTTAGGGTATATAATTGATGAAGAAGAGTATGTTGATTGGCCGCCCATCTTCAAATTTTGATCCCGATCTATGCAACTTGTGGATTTACTTGTCACGTTGGATCTTTTTGTATCTCGTGCATTGGCATATAGCCGATTCGGTGATCATCGCATATTCCAACCTCGGTGCGGGGATTGCCGAGCAGTATAACTTGTAAGTAGGCGAGGGCCATATCAAGATCAATCTAGAAACTAATCAACATGTTGGATTCAATGCTCTACTGGTTTGTTTTCTTTGGGCAGTGATTGTCGTGTTGTCTACGTTGAGAAGCGAACGTGACAACGAGACTTTCGTGAAATCAAAATCCAACCGACTTCCGGTAGATTGCTAACAAGCCTCTAGCTTTAATGCTAATTGAGATACAAACTGTGTGCAATTAATTGTGGTGGCTTCTCGGTTATTTCGGTCAATGTGGGCATATATATCTTGATAGCTCCGTCGGCATGGGTTCGCAGACATATTTGCAAGGTAACCTTGCCTGTCTAGACGAATCTCTAGCCCTACAAACCCTACACTCGAAACGACTCTCGAAAAAAGAAACAAATGTTCACTATACACAGGGCTTATATGAAGCAGTAGTAGAAAAAACAGACAAAGGAGACGGACAGGACATAATAGAACAACGCCATGGGAAGAAAACATGGAGCATTTGGTATCCCCTGGGTAGCATCGAAAGATCCAGGGTTGATCACATTGAGGAAGGAAATAGGTGGTTCCTCTTTTCTGATTTGTCCCAGCACAGGTGAATCTAACCATCTAAGAGGGTGCCATTGAAGGTTTTCTTCGGGTTTTGTTTTTTTGCTTTTTTATTATTGCGTTGCCAATATGTTTACCGGTCAACCTCACCGAACACCAGATCCATGGTACCTAGAGAGTCAATGTTAGTTATACTTATATGGCCATTGAATAGAGAAACTTACCGATAATAGCGACAGCATCAGCCAGAAGATGACCACGAGACACCTGGTCGAAACCACCCAAGTGAGCGAAACCAGGAGCACGGATCTTGCAGCGGTATGGCCGCTCGCTGCCGTCACTGACCAGGAACACACCCATCTCACCCTTGGGGGCCTCAATGGCTGAGTAGGTCTCACCAGGGGGCACGGAGTAACCCTTGGTGAAGAGGAGGAAGTGGTGAATGAGAGCTTCCATGTTCTCCTTCATAGCGGCACGGGGAGGAGGGGAAATCTTGTAGTCCTCCACACGGACGGGGCCAGCAGGCATCTTGTTCAGACACTGGTGAATAATGCGGAGGGACTGGCGGAACTCCTCCATACGGCAGAGGTAACGGTCGTAGCAGTCACCGTTGACACCCACGGGAACATCGAACTCGACCTGGCCGTAGGCATCATAGGGCTGCGACTTGCGGATATCGTAAGGGACACCAGAGCCACGGAGCATAACACCAGTGAAACTCATGTTGAGCGCATCGGCAGCGTTGACAACACCGACACCCTGGGTTCTGGCCTTCCAGATACGGTTATCCGTGAGCAGCTCCTCGGTCTCGTCGATACGGTCACCGAACTGAGTGGCCCACTGGTAGATGTCGTCCAAAAGACCGAGAGGGATATCCTGCGACACACCACCGGGGCGAACGTAGGCAGCGTGAAGACGGGCACCAGAGACACGCTCGTAGAATTCCTAAAGCGCCCGAAACGTCAGCATATCATGTCTTGGCGGACCCAATTGGCAAGGCCCGGGTACTCACCATGAGCTTCTCACGCTCCTCGAAACCCCACAGGAAAGGAGTCAATGCACCAACATCCATAGCGTGGGACAGGACGGACATGAGGTGGTTCAGGATACGAGTCATCTCGCCGAACAAAGTACGGATCCACTTGGCACGCTCGGGAATTTCAACGTTCAGCAGCTTCTCGACAGCCAAGGAGAAGCACTGCTCGTTTGTCATCATAGAGACATAGTCCAATCGGTCAAAGTAAGGTAGGGCCTGCATGTAGGTCTTGTACTCGATCAACTTCTCGGTGCCACGGTGAAGCAGACCGACGTGGGGATCGGATCGAACAATCTCTTCACCATTGAGCTCCAGAATCAATCGGAGCACACCGTGAGCAGCTGGATGCTGGGGACCGAAGTTGACAGTGTAGTGACGGATCTTGCGGTCAATCCCTTCGGCCTCAGATTCCAGACCGGCAGCTTCGGGGTCCTCGGGCGCACCCTTGTTGGCGAAATGGGTGAAGGTCGGGTCGGTTTGAACAAGCTTGGTGGCTTGGTAGCTGGTAGGCTCGGCTTGACGACGAGGAACCGAGGTGGCTATCGAGCGGGAACGAGGAATGGATGTGTTGAGCGAGGAGGGGCGGAGGCAGAGCCTTTTGGGCGCATTGCCCGCCAGGCGAGCGAAAGAAGCGGCCATGGAGGATAGAGAGTACGGTGTCCTAGAGGGAAAAGAGGGGAGATGATCCTCAATCCAGCCGCATTCAATGGGTGGAGGTGGCTCGCTACGGGTAGGAAACCTGGTGAACGAAGTTGGGAGTCGCGCATTTTGGGACGTCACGTGCCGAGCTGCTTGGGTCATCAGCCGTGCGCTGGTTGGCCTATGAGGGTCACTATACCGTGTTAGTGTTAGTGTTGAACTAGGCTGAACATGGCTTAGTGTCTGGCATTTTCAACATAAATGATTATGTAACCACATCCTGCAGCACACAGAATAAAGACCACCTGCTGCCTCAGGCCAAATGGAAAATTGCTTCGAGAAATTCCTCTTATCGGTGATCGCGGACTTTACCTTCAACCTTCACCAGACTCACATACTGCCCGCCATGGCGCCTCTTGTCCCTTCGCAGGAGGAGCTGCAGCGTCGCCGTGTAAGCTTCAACTACCATCCTACTCAATTCTCAATACTAATGGTCTCAGATCATCGGCATCAACCCGGAAACCGTTACCAACATCCCCTCCACAGATTTTCCCGGTCATTGGCCAGGTGAGTCGCATGAGTGGGCGCTCGATACATTCAAGAATGTAAGTGCTGGGTTTTCACAAGCAAGCTACAATTCCTGGATTGAGCCCATCTAACGATTATAACGAACAGGGCTTCCAGGTCGAGTTCCACCGCAATGACCGGTTCGAGTCTTCCTTCTCGCTAATCGGACTCGACGCCGCCGTCGCCAATGCTTTCCGCCGTATTCTCATGGCCGAGATTCCGACCATCGCCATCGAAGACTGCTTCATTCACAACAACACCTCGGTTATTCAAGACGAAGTCCTCGCATCACGACTGGGCCTGATCCCGCTCAAGGGTTCCGTGGAGGGAATCAACTGGATGCACTGGGTCAAGAAGGAATCAGACGATGAGCCCGGCAGCGGTGCTTGCGATTTCAACACCATTGTGCTCCGCCTTGACGTTGAGTGCTATAAGAACGAGTACGCGGACAAGGACGAACAGGACCCCCGCAAGCTCTATACCAACGCCCACGTCTATGCCAAGGACCTCATGTTCCACCCAGTCGGCCGTCAGGAGGACTTCTTCGTCGGCGACGGTGCCATCGCACCTGTCAACCCGGATATCTTAATCGCCAAGCTCCGGCCCGGTCAGAAGATCGAAATGGAACTGCACTGTGTCAAGGGTATTGGTGCTGATCACGCCAAGTTCTCTCCTGTCGCCACCGCGTCGTACCGCCTCCTCCCCGATATCAAGATCGAGCGTCCCATCATCGGCGAAGATGCCAAGAAGTTTGCCAAGTGCTTCCCTAAGGGAGTGATTGGCCTTGAGCCTGTTACCGCCGCTGAGGCTGCGCGCAGTGGAAGCGGATATGAGGGCCATGCAGGAGAGCAGAAGGCCGTTGTGAAGGATGCGTTCAAGGATACCGTCAGCCGAGAGTGCTTGCGCTACGATGAGTTCCAGGGCAAGGTGAAGCTGGGACGGGTGCGGGATCACTTCATCTTCAATGTGGAGAGCACTGGCCAGTTCGAGAGCGATGTTCTCTTCTTGGAGGCCGTCAAGGTGCTGAAGTTCAAGTGTGCCCGTTGGAAGAGGGGTCTGACCGATTTGATGGCTTAAGCAATCGGTCTTCCTGTCTGCTGCACCCTATTTTATGCATTATCTGGCGTTGGATATATCTACTGCGTTTGCGCTGTACATTTACGAAAAGTTCGGTCAGGGCTTCGCTTCACGAGGCTGGAGTCTTGATATGGTAATTGTCTTGGAAAAGAGAAGACCGATAACTATCTTGGAATTCCACACATTTAACTGAGGCTAAACATGAATACATGGTTTTCGTAATCTTGCATAAGGCAAGTGAATTTAGTCGAAGTTAAGGCGGAAACGGAAGTCGATGGTATAGGCCGGGTCACTGACAGCGATCTCCTGGCCATCCTCGATCAGCTCTTTCAGCTTGAGCGACAGGTTAGGTCTAGTCCGTTCCTCGAGCAGAGGTGGGAAGCGCTGATACAGGGTCTTCTCTTCAGTCCGCATGCTAGGCTTCTTCAGTTGAGACTCAGCCCTCTCGCCCAGGCTTTCAATGAAATCGCCCAATGTCATGTTAGGATCCACATCCATCTTCCGAGCAAGATTTCCGCAGACAGGACAGTCGGCCTTCTTCTCCGCCTCGAAAGTATAAGTATAGACTCCTTCCTCGCCGGCGTACATCATGTAGTTATTCAGATAAGGATTGCAAGAGGTAGCAATCTTGAGCACCTCTGAAGTGGTAGACGCGGCAATTACGGCATTGGTCGAAGCGATCGCTGGGATGATGTTCTTGACCACACCCTGGGTCATTTGGAAGGTGACACCGTGGATGTGGAACTGTTGCGCTCGTTCACGAGCAGCATTGTATATCCATGAGATGTGCTCCATATCATCACTGTCAAAGGTATCATCTTTTCGTTTCTCTTGCCATGCGATTTGGTGCGCCCATTCGATGCAGTGTTGAGGCTGGCGCGGAATGGTGGCAATGGTGCAGAGAGGAACTGCTGGACGAGGAGCATGCATATCAAGTTGGCACTCAATACATGACGAGAGTGTGGGTAGGATGACACGGGCTTGGCCTTTGAA